AAAGAGAATTGTAGAGAGACAAATCGTAAGAATATGATCCAATATGGATCGATATCCGTATGATAATCCCTAAGCGTATATAGTAATGGATTTGCATATTGATATGCCGTTGGTGTAGTAGATGTTGCACTGGTTGCACTCATGATTATTTCTGATCATACGCCTAGTATTTTGCCTATTAGTATATATTCTTGTGTTGTTCTCTTGTTGTGTAGAACGAAATAGATTCGTGGAACATAACTTATTGCGAAGCGTAATAGGACATTTATATGTTACAAATAGGGAAGTAGTGTGTAACCTTGAGTAACTGTTCGATCATCATTATTTCGTTATATGAGTGTGGTGTGAAATTAAAAACCACATTGCCGATGTTGCCCTTACATTCAAGATACTCAAATTGTATGGAGTATTGACGATGAGTTAATCAGACAAATGGGAGTAGACGTCCTTGTAATCATAATATGCAGAGCAGTCATCTTTTATTAATGTTGGAAAAATACACAAAACGTATTGACTCGCCAATTATGATGGTTTCATAAATCAAGGAATACAGCCTGAAATGTCCTTGGCTTTTCATCCTGAGAAAAAATGTTTCTCATTAAAATGACCCTGATTTTTCAGTTTTAGTTGTTGCACCGTGTGTAGGTGTGGATGTGGGTTGTGGATATCGGTGTACCGTAGCAGGAAAAGAAAGCATTTGCACGAAAATCTATTTATATACGATCCATAACCGCATCGACACCCTCCACTACAAAAGACACATATAAATGTGTTAAGTCTCTCTAAAAGAGCCGACTCTGTAGCCGCTATTTGAAGAATAAGATAGCATTGCAGTAGGCCTGCCAATTCGAAGAAAATAAGAAAGAGAAGGATGCGGTGCCCATCCAACAAGCCAAGATAAATCTTAAAAGACCATCGAGTCGATGGTGACACCGCGCATTGTTACCGAAGTAGTTGTTCAGACAAGTTGATTTGGAATTAACCGGTTGGCGACCTCGTGAGAACGATCGCCTTGAAGTGCATTTTTTTTTAAATGAGAGGAAAACGAAAGAATTTGCAATGCTTTTATAGGCATGAAAAATTTGTAACATGGACTCACAATTACTATCTGACTTTACTCTTGTTGTTAGTCGACGGTGTCGCTAGAAAGAGAAACACACGTTTACTGTGTTGTCTCGACTAACTAAAAAAGTTGCATTAAAAAGGGAATCAATGAAAATAGATATTTTGTTTTCGTCTATCATGTCCTTTTGACTTTGATGGATATTATGGGTAGGAAGGAAAAAGGGGAATTTTAGTTTTATAAAATATCTTTTATGATGCTTCAGTGGACGGGTTGGATTCATGTTCGTCTGAATCTAAGAACATAATAAAGCAAGTTAATGTTTGGTTTTTCTGTTCTCGTTCAATTTTTTTCATCAAAATTCAGATTTATGGTCATTTTTAGAAAAACAATCATAAATTCAATTGAATTTATCTTACCTTCTATGAGATTCACAAAGCCTTTCGTGTATATAGAAAATAACAAATGGCACTGCTTTTGACAAAAAACTATTTGATTTTGGTTGACGACTACCTTTTCTTTCAAAGCAAATGTCATCTATCGGTAGCGACATACGAAATTGATGATGAATCTATGGATTATTAGTATACGATTGTAGAAATAATAATTTTATTGGAATATTCTCTTTCAGTTTAGTCATTAATTTTGATTTCAATGTCATTCTGCGATAGGTTTAATTTTTTTTTGTTCTTTTCGATTTGGTTGTGTGGAAACTTGTTAAGTTCGTGTTTGATAGTCTCCCATGATGCACCTTTTTTTACGTTAATATGATAAAGGATAGCGATAAAATGTAAAATTATGTCAATTCATATAATAATTACGTTTTGATATTATCAAATGAGAATAGTAGTCACGATGAATGAGTGTTCTTAATATAGGTGATAAACAATTTTTGACTAATTGCTAGGTGTTACACGTCTAAAATCGTCAGTACCTATTGAAGAAACATTATCACTCCATTAATTTTCAGTTTATAATAGGGAATTAAACGACTCTATGGACAGATTATGTTCTGTGTGCTGTTATGTAATGCAGAGACAATCTTTTTTCTGATGATTATCTCGCAATTACGTTTCTATTTGGTTTTAAGTTTTCAAAATTAAGAAATATTCTCACTTGAAAAGTAAAAATCTTCGAAGAATTCGCAGATGAAAAGTATTATTATAAGAGTGTATGTGACTAGAGAGTTTGACAGGTACCAATAATTACCCACAAGAAAACGAAAGGATCTCAGTCTATTTCCAGTCGTTGAAAATGAGGAAAATCTAGCGATTGAAATATCGTATTGAAGGGTTTCTGTTCAATCATTATATTGGTACAAAAATTTCAAATATGTTTTAATAAATTTACGCCATTGAACTATTTAGATTGAAGACGCCGTATATTTGAACATTGAAGCAACACAGTATTATAGATATATACTACATTGTTTAATCTAAAAAAGCTGCTGTTGTTGTTAAATTGATCATTTTGAACGGGCTCAATGTGACATCATGTTCAATGTTGTACATCATCTTAGTTATCGACGGAGAAAGAAAGACGATTTAGAGCATACTATGAAATTAATCTCTGTAATCAGCTTCCATTCTCTTTTTTACATTTCAGCTATTGCATTACATGAATATGACTCATTAGTAAAGTTATCTCGAATAATAATTTATCATAGTTAGTAGAAGAGTTATAATGCTAGAGACGAATAGTAAAAAACAATGTTATGCAAAATCCGCATCAAAAACAGGTTGTTATCATATTCATAGATTGAAACAAAGTCATTAGCAGAACATGTTTGGTATCGATTTTTCTTTCATCCATTGCTCAAAGCTGCTATTCGAAATCGACCTTGATGATATTACAGCAAGCTTAGTACTGTATGAGCTATTTCAGCTGGGTAACTTGACCGTTTATCAATATATAATTTGGTACTTCTGGAATTAAATTCTCTAGTCATTGTGTAAAAATAATTTTCTCCATAGTAAATATATTGAGAATAATTATAAAAGGTTGGTACTATATATATAAAAAGTTGGATGCTGAACAGATAAGCCATGATTGGATAGCGCCATTTATGAAGAAATAGCCAAATAGCATCTGCTTTTGGGTTACAATGACTAGGTTTTCTACGGTCGAATAGAAGCAGCCCAAAGTAAATTAAAACCGTGGACAAACATGCATAGATCACAAATATGAATAAATAAGTGAATATCATCGGTACAACATTCGTAAATAAGTACGTAACAACTATACTTCCAACGAAGAAAAATGTGACCGCTGAAATAATTATACTAATGTAAAATTCAAACCAAAAAAGGATCTTTTTGAATTTGCTCTTTTTTTCGTATTCCAGTTTTTCTCCTTCGCTCATTCCATATTGTAGAAAGAATAATTTTACAAAACACCCCAATACAAAGTTACCATATTTTCTGAATAAGTAATTGTATAGCCTATAACCAAATAGGTTATAACAATTCCAAGCAGTACCATCTTCCGCAGACATACATGATGATTGAATATAACAATACCACACAGCGTGCCCAATTAATGGTATACCGTAGGCAACAGCATCGAAAATGTCAAATCGAATTTTTTTTTAAATTTTCTTTTCGTTTTTTTCCAATTTATTAAAATCCTGAAGAATAAAGACAGTTAAAGGAGCAGGTAAAGATCGACGTGGAACCATCAGGGGAGCAGAAGGTTTAGGAGCGCTGTCGCGTTCGGAGCAATCGACGATAAATTCAACTGATGTTAACCATTTTCCATAGCGCACTCTGTTCCAAAGACGTAAAGCGAACTGTAACTTGATAAATTCTATGGCTACGATCCAATATGGATCGATATCCGTATGATAATCCCTAAGCGTATATAGTAATGGATTTGCATATTGATATGCCGTTGGTATAGTAGATGTTGAACTGGTCGCATTCATGATTATTTCTGATCACACGCCGAATATTTGTCTAGTATATATTCTTGTGTTGTTCTCTGTGTAAATCGAAATAGATTCGTGGAACATAACTTATTGCGAGGAGTAGTAGAACATTTATATGTTACAAAAAGGAAAGTAGTGTGTAACCTTGAGTAACTGTTCGATCATCATTATGAGTGTGTTTTGAAATTAAAAAACCATGTTGCCGATGTTGTCCTTATATTCAAGATACTCAAATTGTATGGAGTATTCACGATGAGTTGATCAGAAAAAGGTGAGTAGACGTCCTTGGAATCATACTATGCAGAACAGTGATCTTTTATTAATGCTGGAAAAATAAACAAAACGCATTGACTCGCCAATTATGATGGTTTCATAAATCGAAGAATACAGTCTAAAATGTCCCTTGTTTTTCATCCTGAGAAAAAATGTTTCTCATTAAAATGTCCGTAATTTTTTAGTTTTAGTTGTTGTACCGTGTAGGTGTGGATGTGGGTTGTGGATATCGGTGTCCCGTAACAGGAAAAGAAAGCATTTGCACGAAAATCTATTTATATACGTTCCATAACCGCATTCACACCCACCACTACAAAAGGCACATATGAATATGCCAAGCGTCTCTAGAAGAGCCGACCGCGTAGCCGCTGTTTGGAGAATAAGATAGCATTGAAGTAGGTCAGTCAATCCGAAGAAGAGAAGAAAGAAAAAAGAGAAAGATGCGGTGCCCAGCCACTAAACTCTGATAAATCTTGAAGGATCATCGAATCGCATGGGGGCACCGCCTATGAGAAGCCACGTACATCGAAATTCATATTTTGTCGAAGTAAGCGCTTGTCGACCTCGAGAGAACAAACACTTTGAAGTGCGCCTTTCTCTGTTCAAAATGAGATGAAAAATCGAACAAATTCCAGCCTTTTTATATTCACTAATAGTATTGCACCATTATAGCACAATCGCCACTTTACTTTTTACTCGCATCGTTACTAGATGACGTCGCTAGAAAGAGAAACACATGGCTACCGTGTTGTCTAAACTTACTTTTAAAAAGGTCGTATTAGTAAAGGAATCAGCGAAGTTTAAAATAAGATATCTGTCAATGATGGTTCAGTTGACAGGATCTGTTCATCTACGGCTTAATCTAAGAACATAATCAAGCAAGTTAATGCTCGGGTATATGCTAACTTGTTACTTTTGTGTTATAATAGCTTGCGATGATACACGTTTTTCTTTAATTGATATGATGAAGGATAGCGGTAAAAGACAAAATTATGTCAATTCATAATATGTATAATTGCATCATCAAGTGAAAACAGTAGCGATGATGAATCAATGTTCCTATAATATTTCTGATAAACGATTTCTGACTAATTGATAGACGTTAATATTTAGAGGAAATTCATCTACTGAAATATCATATCGAAGGGTTTCTGTTCAATCGTAAGATGGATACAAAATTTGAAATATGTTTTCAGAAAGTTATCCCCCACTCAATTTTGTTAGGTGATACTTTTCTTTGCGATTTTATAAACAATTTTATTTATCTGTGAATTGAATAAATGACACCAAAAAAAATCACTTGCTTTCTGACAAAAAATATTTCTTTCAGGCTTACAATCAAAAGCAGTTAATTTTACACCAAGAGACGTTATCTACTGAATACTCTACCAAACATTTATCTACAGGAAAATTGAGCAAAAATGCTGTTTCAATTTAAAACGAAGCCTCACAAAATTCTAGCTGATCATTTATTTTTCTATCAACAGGTAGCTATGCGACGAAGAAGAAAATCTTACAAAAAACGTGTGAAACTTATAAAAAAATTGTATGTTCCCTAATTTTTAGGAGAATATTACAACCCTCGACCCAGTCTTGCTAGCTCTAGACGGATGCAATGGAAATTGTGTAAGGACTGGATACATCGGCATCATTTGAATTTTTCTAGAAAGTTTTTCATTTTTTCTGCAAGGGAACGAATGAATCTTCGCCGCGCTCAGAAAAACTAAACGAAAGCCATGAATGAGTCATTAGTAAGATTATTTCGAACAATAATTTATTTGAATTAAAATGCAGATAGTAAGAACAATTAAATATCGAAAAATGTCATTAGCAGGAAAGAATCGGTATAGATTTTTCGTTCATTCATTGTTCAAAGCTCCTATCTAAAACCGACCTTGATCATACTGATACTACATAAAGCTTAGTAATGTATGGCCCCATCCAGATGTCTGATTTAGACGCTGATCGATATATTGTTGAGAGTCTCTCGAAGCGAATTCGTTAGTTATTGCTTGATAAAAATCTTGTCCATAGTAAATATATTGAGAATAATTGTAAAACGTTGGCACTATATATATAAAAAGTTGGATACTGAGCAGATGAGCTTTCAGTGGATGACGATATTTGCGACGAAATAACTCAAAAGCTGTTAATTCTTGATCAGAACTAGCAGCTAAGTGACGGTCTATGAAAAGGACCGCAAAGTAAACTACAATCGTGCATATACTTACGTAGATCACAAATATGAATAAATAAGCGCATATCATAGGTATAACATTTGTAAAAAAAAACGTGACAACTAAACTCCCAATGAAAACAAATGTAACTGTTGAAATAGATGCGCTTAGATAAAATGCAAAACGAGAGCAGAACCTTCGGAACTTGCTCTTTTTTTCAACTTCTTCTTTCTTGTTGCCATATTTTAGAAAGAATAATTTCGTCAAATAACCAATTGCAAAATTAGCATATTGCTCAAATAAGTAATTGTATAGCCTATAGCCGAATACATTATAACAATTCCAAGTGGTGCCATCTGTCGCAGACATGCATGATGATTGAATATAACAATACCATCCAGCATGTCCAAGTAATGGTATACAATAGTAAAATGAATCGAAAAGATCAAAAGTCGGTTGTTTCTTTTTCTTTTCTTTTTTCTTTTTCTTTTTCTTAAAATCCTGGAGAATGTAAACGGTTGAAATAGTAGGAGACAGTCGACGTCCGAGAGGTTCCATTGAAGTGACCTCGATAGTGGAAGGCTTATCACTGCTGTCGTGTTCGGGGGCATCCACTATAAATTCAACTGGTGTTGACCATTCTCCGTAGACCGCTCTGTTCCAAAGACGTAAAGAGAATTGTAGAGAGACAAATCGTAAGAATATGATCCAATATGGATCGATATCCGTATGATAATCCCTAAGCGTATATAGTAATGGATTTGCATATTGATATGCCGTTGGCGTAGTAGATGTTGCACTGGTTGCACTCATGATTATTTCTGATCATACGCCTAGTATTTGTCTATTAGTATATATTCTTGTGTTGTTCTCTTGTTGTGTAGATCGAAATAGATTCGTGCAAAGTAACTTATTGCGAGGAGTAATAGAATATTTATATGTTACAAAGAGGGAAGTAGTATGTAACCTTGATTAACTGCTCGATCATCATTATGAGTGTGTTTTGAAATTAAAAAACCATATTGGCGATATTGTCCTTATATTCAAGATACTCAAATTGTATGGAGTATTGACGATGAGTTAATCAGACAAATGGGAGTAGACGTCCTTGTAATCATAATATACAGAACAGTCATATTTCACTAATGTTTGAAAAATGAATAAAATATTGCGCCTCTCGAATTTTGATGGTTTTTTTACATCGAGATATGGTTCTACGCTGTTGAGATTTTGTTTATTGCTTCAATAGTGACGGTCACCAAAGTTAGAGGTCTTCAATTGCAACTACATCGACGATCAAGATCATTTTCTCCAATTACGCTTAAAGATGCAAGAGTATCTGTTTACTCTTCGGTTGTTTCCTTTCCATATTGTACTTCTTTCTTTGAAATCAATGAGAGCATAACCATGATACTGTAACGAGTCTTTTTTTCTATCTTTATCATCTCGTGAAATATGCGAAGGATCGTAGAAACAGTGAATTTTGTTCATTTCTTACAACATGAAGTACCGATGGTTGTGGTCGACAAAGGGAAAAGAGCAGATTGTATCGATGTCATCTACAAATCCTAAGGGAATATGAAAATTTCTTGTGTTTTTTTATTCTTTTAATATATAATAAATAATTGATTGAGTTAAAAACGCGATCACCAGCCGAGTTTATCTAGAATCATTTATTGATAGCAGGGAATTTTAATTGAGACTGTGCATCGGCTGACTTTCGCCGTGTATAATTTTGTAATTGCTATACATTCTAACTGTAGTTAGACTTGAATGATGTGTGGTCATGATTTGTAATTTGTGAAATAAGAACCAAAGGACTGAAACAATTTACTTCGTTTAAATAAATTCCGATAGTCCCTCCATCATTATGTGTCTATTTAATGTCGTGCATAATTTTCATTTCTAAAATAATCAATTACAACACCAAACATGTGTTATAAAAATTCTCGTTAAATTATCAAAAATAAAACGCTATTTTATAATTCTCAAATGGCAAAACACACGATTAAAAACATATTCCACATAATTATGTTAAAATTAAATTATATTTATTTTTTTCCTTGCTCGTGTGAAGTTTTTATTGCTGAGCTCAACCATTCAATACCAGTTACGACACCTTCTCCTGTAAGCGCATTACTTGAACATATATACCAAGATTTATTGGTGATATTCTCAAGACTTAATGCAGATGAAACGCCTATATCTGATAATGCATCGCGTATATCCATTTTATTGGCAAAAAATAAAATAGGAATGTTGCGTTTTGATACATCCGGATGTGAAAGTAATTGTTGGAGTTCTTCACGAGCAACAAAAATGCGTGTTCTATCCGAACTATCAATAACAAATATAATACCAGTTGTTGTACGATAATAATTTGCCCATAATGTTCTATAACGACTTTGTCCACTCATATCAAATGCAGTAAATGAAAGTCCACGACATGAAAAATGTTCCACATTAAAACCCACTGTTGGCACAATATTATTAGTTTGAGCTTCACATGGACGTAAAAAATTTAATAGTGACGTTTTACCACTATTATCAAGGCCAACCACTAATACATTAGCCTCTCGATTACGAAGACCCAGCCATTCAATAAATGCATCAAGCAAACCCATCTGTACTTTTTGAAAAACTCACTCGGATTAGCGACAAGCTCAGCTTAATGCATTATGATGCCATACGACTAAAAAGTGTCTTGTCGCTAAGATGCGACCATCATTTATCTATTTTGTTATATTCTTGAATAGAGGTCGCTAATGGTATTAGACCTAATAAAAAAATAAAATGGTAAAAACAGAGAGGACACATGAGGTAAACATAGATGGTAAAATAAGGACGAAAAATGAATAAATAGATGCCATGTTTAAAAAAGAATTTGCTTTTATTTCTATCTAAAACCTATTCATCTATTCAATCAATGTAATGAAATGATATTTTTTTATATTTCAATCTCCAATGAGGAGAAGACAAAATGAATTTCTTGTTGTATGTGTTCCTTCACGAAAAAAAGAGCTTTAAAAAATGAATTTTATTTATATTTTTCTAGTCGTCAACAACGTACATTTAAACCTCATCGAAATATACCAGAAGGTATTTATTAACAAGCTAATTTTCCATCTGAATTTTTTCGTACTAGGTACTAAACAACATGATTTAATGAAACATGCACAAAATACATTAGGAAGTGGAAACTTACGTTTAGCTGTACAATTACCCGATGGAGAAGATCTTAATGAATGGATTGCTGTGAATAGTAAATAAACTTGTATTATTAAATTTTATTCCAATCTATATTTTGGTTATTTAGTTGTCGATTTTTTCAATCAAATAAATATGCTTTTTGGTACAATCACAGAATTTTGTACTGAAACAACATGTATTTTAATGACAGCTGGACCAAAATATGAATATCATTGGGCTGATGGTCAAACAATAAAAAAACCGATAAAATGTTCGGCACCGCGTTACATTGATTATTTAATGTCGTGGGTACAAGATCAACTCGATGATGAAATAATATTTCCATCGAAAATCGGCATTCCATTTCCAAAGAATTTTCTTTCAATAGCCAAAACAATATTAAAACGCTTATTTCGTGTTTACGCACATATATATCATCAACATTTTAAAGAAGTTGTTATGCTCAAAGAAGAAGCACATTTAAATACATCGTTTAAACATTTCGTTTATTTTATTCAAGAATTTTCATTAGTGGAAAAAAAAGAATTAGCACCATTACAAGAATTAATCGATCGTTTAACAACTAAAGATCATTAGTGAGACAAATATTTGTGAATTCTTTCTTTTGTTCTAGTCAATGGTTAAATATCAAAGAAAGCGAGAAGGAAAAAAATTGTGCTTTTTGTATACCTGTTGAAAATGCATGCCATGTATTTGCTCTTGAGTTTTATTATTATACGCGATTGTTCTGGCTCTTTGTTTTCTTTTCTCTGTATGAAAATAGATAATTGGATTTTTCAAGAAAAACTTTTGTTTTAATTTAAATAGGTCGGAACATCTCTATTTGTTGTTGTTGTTGTTTTTTCTTCTACTAATTTCAGATGTCTGATAATGAAGATATGTATTTTTCTCTCTTACATAAATCTCATAATCATCTATTAACTTATCGTGCTTTTGAACAAGTTCGTCTCATTGCTCTTCGACATTATTGGTTACCAAATTCAATTATTTTTCATGTACAAAGTGATGATTCTGAATATGCATTTGAATTTTCATTAAACGCATCGAATGAACACTACTATTTATATATACCATGGAATAGCGATTATTTACCTATTCGATGTCATATATCCTGTCGAAAATTAGCCGACGATGGCTACGCATGGACAATACGTATGCTTGATAGGATATTACGATTACTGTGTGATCATTGCCCTGGTTTATTTCAACTTGAATATAAAAATGGTTTATTTGGTCGACAAATGAATCGTTCAATTATTTATAATGGTCTTGCTAATCTTTGTCCAATGGATTATAGTCATTGGAAACAACGTGTACAATTACAGTATGATCGTTTAAGTCCAACGAGACAAACAACGACGATACTAGCCGATATTGAACAAGCCACAACCGGTAATGAAAATGGCATCCGTTCAATTAAATATCAAACACTTGGTCATGGAAAAATACTCAATGAGCATTATTATGATTGGTATGTGTAATTATTTCAAGTAATCGATTGTGATTTTCCTGTCAGATATAGTATATGTTTTTTTTCTTCGTTTCCGTTAATGTTTTATGAAATAGTAAGCATAATCAATTGTTTGTTTGTTTGCAAATAGATTTATTTCTTTGTTATAAAAAAGTAATATCGGATAATTAAAAGTTAAAACTTAATGATCAGATATAAATTGTTAATTATGAACTTTTGAGTAAATTTTTGTTTTTCAGATTGGTTTTTGTATATTTTTCTCAATGGCAACTTCAACGTCAACAGTGATCAAAACACAAACAGCACGAGTAAATCCTCCCACGCTCGTACTTGAACTTAATCATTCGAATGAAACCGGACCTCGTGTTCAGTGGACTGAAGAAACAATTGATAATGAACATTTGAATAGAAAGAAATCCAAATGTTGTTGTATATATACGAAACCACACGATCCACAATCTCTCAATAATCAAACAACAGAAGTCAACGAATTTGATAATTGTCAACATTGTCGATTTCATACGGAATCAGACTATGCTGCTAAACCTGAGGAACGACAACCAAAAATAAAATTAGTTGTAAAAAAAACTGAATCGTCATAAATATAAACTAAAAATTTATTTATTTATTTAAATATATAACTATCATCCCGCTTACTTAATTTTAGATTATCTCGTCGTTTTTCTCTCATAAAATTAAAGACGAAACATGGGTCGTGTTCGTACCAAAACCATTAAGAAAGCGTCGCGTCAAATTATTGAAAAATATTATACAAAATTGACGCTCGATTTTCATACAAACAAACGTGTTGTTGAAGAAATCGCTATCATCCCAACAAAACGTCTCCGCAATCAAATCGCTGGTTTCATTACACATTTAATGAAACGTATTCAAGCTGGGCCTGTCCGTGGTATATCAATTAAACTTCAAGAAGAAGAACGTGAACGACGTGATAATTACGTACCAGAAACATCAGCACTTGAACCACAAGGTATGATCGCCATCGATCAAGATACCAAGGACATGTTAAACGCATTCGATTTCAAATCATTACCTAATGTTGGCGTACAAGAAGCAAATGACCAACAAAATCAACAAGGTGGAAATCAACGTGGTGGCCATGATCGACAACAAGGTGGTTATGCTCGACGAGGTGGATTTCAATAAAAGAAAAACCAAAAGCAGCAATGAATATTAGAATACAAAAAGAAAATAAACATCGATCCCGTTTGATTAACAAATGATAACAATATGGCAATGTAAATTATATTGACATTGTTGTTTTTGTTTTGTTGCTTTTTTTGTATGAATATCATCAGAAGAAAATAAATGGGATATTTTACAAGCAGATTTTTGCATTTCTTAGATTATCTACCTTCAACGAAAAGGTCATCGACTAGAAAATTCTTCAGTTTTAGTGGAGAGAAAAACAAAAATTCTCTATTTCTAGATTTAAATGTATCTTACCACAAGTATATCTAAAGTCATTGTAAATAGTCGTTATGACAATCCATTCCAACTTGGTTCTAGTACAGTTGATTGGTGTGAACCGAACTATGTTATTAGTGAATATATTGCTGAGTTTTGGAATACAGTAAGTATTGATACAGACGAAAGAAAAAAATATCCTTTTCTAATGCACAATCACATCGAGCTTTTATAACAGCTGAATCGATAACTTAACTATATTTTTGTAGTGCTGGTAAACATGCTAAATAAATGCATCGAAGGTAACTTACTTTATTTTCTCGTTTCGACATTGCTATTTATTTTTAATGTATGAATGCATGCTCATTTATTTTTCTCCCTCGGCTTATTATTGATGACTAATTTGTTCGATATTTTTTCGATAGGAAATTTTTATTGATAATTACAGTTTTAATCATGTAGATCTTATAATGTTTTATGTTGAATTTTTTTAAAGGTATCCAATATCTTCTTTTTTTTGGTTCCACCATTTATGATTATTCTTTTCCGTCCATATTCGAAACGAGTAGCAAATGGGATAGGAATTCTTTGGATTATATTGATTATCATTGGTGCTGGTTCTGTTTATTTTCATGCTACACTTAGTCTTGTATGTTGATTTAAAAAACAAAGTTAGCACGTAGAACGAATTTGACTATCTTTTAGGCTGGACAATTAGTTGATGAAATATCAATTCTTTGGGTACTTGCTCTTGGTTATGCATTGTTTTTGCCTGCTGCCTATTTACCACAATCATTTCGTGTTCAACGGTATCTTACATTTTTATAGATTGCAATGATTTATTCGTTTATTTTGTTTTTTAGACATCGTTTTGTCTACAGTTGTATTATTTTTGCTTCGATAATTACTGGCTGTTCGTTTGTTTATCCATATGCGAATGCTTTTGCTCTCATGGCTCTTGGTTTACCTGCAATATTCTTTATTGTTCTTCATCTTTTACGGTAAATTTTTCTATAGTTTTGCTTTCTTCTTTAATCTGTTCAATCTAGATCTGAAAGTACACGTATAAAAAGTCTTGGTATTCATTGTTTTGCTATGTGGGTTATTGCAGTTACAATATGGATCAGTGATCGAATGTTTTGTTCCTATTGGCTGTCGATATCATTTCCTTATTTACATTCTATATGGCATTTATTAATTTTATTTAGTAGTAATCAAGGTATTGTTATTTGTGGTTATTTAACAATAAAACAACAGAACCCTCAAGTAAATCTTCATTTACATTATTGGCCTAATGAACAATGGAAATGGCTCTCCTTACCCTATTTGAAGTTTCATGATGAGGATAATGATAATTTATCAACAAAATCAATTATTTAATTTCTACTTTTTTTTATCTTTTTTAAATTCCTAACGGCACCGGAGCACTTTTCTGTGATTACGATTGTGTATTATAGCGAATTTTTGTTTTTTTACAGTCTCTATTCTATACTTTTAACATATGTAATTTTATATTCGAAGGATGTGTAAGATTATTGAATTCTGTATAATTGTTGTGAATTGTTTTATTTCATCGTAAAATTTATCGATATTTACATTAAAAAAAGGAAATTTTCAATAATTAAATTATACATTTATTTCCACCGAAACATACGCTATTTTCTTCAATTTTGACTGATTTTCGTTTAGCATTTAAATCAACTCTGGGATTTTGTATATGATTCTTTTTCTGAATCATTTCTATTTGATTAGTATGAGTAACTAAAATTCGTGTAAAGTCGACAAAACATTTTTCAACGTTTTCATTTGTTTTTGAACTTGTTTCAAGGTAGGATAAATTATTTTTTTCAGCATAAGATTTGATCATATCAGAAGATACCATACGTCGTATTCTTAAATCAGATTTGGTACCGATAAGAAACGTTGGCGTTTGCTCTGGACAATATCGTTTTACTTCTTCTAGCCAATTATTCACATTACGAAAACTTTCTAAGTCAGTTAAATCAAAGCAAATGATAACACCATGTGCATTACGATAAAACGATGATACAACGCATTTAAAACGATCTTGACCAGCTGTATCCCATATTTGTAATTTAGAACGTTTAGAATCGATTTCTAATGTGCGAATTTGAAAATCTAATATGATAAAAATGAAATATAGATAAATAATTCGATTGTAAATGGAATACTTACCAACACCGATCGTTGCTACATATTCTGTTGAATAATAATCTTGAGCAAACCGTTGTAGAATTGTGGTCTTTCTAACAAAAATGCATATATTCGTTTATATATATTTACAAAAATAAAAATAAAATGTAAAAAAGAAATACATACCCCACACCACTATCACCAATAATTAATATTTTAAATAGAAAGTCATATTCAGTATCGGTAGTGTAATTAAATGACATGGTTGCTAACTTGATAATACTGTTTATTGTTCATTATTTAAACGTTCTCTTTTATACTTGTCAGATCGACTAGCCACGTTGAATTAGTCGCTGACGTGGACATGTAACCGGTAGGATGACTCAACATGCTGAATCATTCATCTGTTTGCTCTTATCAAAGTCTGTTAAAACAAAAATAAAATAATTTCTTATTTGTGAAGGGATGACGAAAAGAGTTTCTCAGCAATATGTCACTGATAGAGGTGTGTAAGAGATGACTTTTTTGGTTCTTATCCCAATGATTCTAGCTATTGTATTGTCTGTGTCTATTTAGAGAGAAATATTGTAGAATTTTATTCTGCAAGAATAAATTAATTTTGGTTTAATTTAGGTTGCTAGCCAGGTGAAAATCAGCAGTGGGTTCTACTATTTGCAGGAAAATTGATCACTTGGCGCACGATGATAAAAAGGGTGTAGTATGATGTGTTGTGTACCGAATCTCTAGTTGCAACTTTTAATTAAGTTGTAGCATATTAATATTTTTTCGAAACCGTTTTATCTTTTTGTGAGCACGGATCTGTAAGGAACCTTTAATTTCAATAGTTTTGAACTGGTTTCGGACAAAACCTTGTTTTCAACGCAACAAAAACAGGATCTTCCCGTGTATCCTCCAAGAGAAGAACCATATAAAGCTCGGTAGAAAACCTATTTTTTTTACAGTGTAGTCGAAGGCTAAAACTGAAAAAAGACGCAAGAACGTGTAATAAGCCAAATCAACGCCAAGTTTCAACTGAAGAGGTGTGCCATCATCGGATGCAAATAAATTGTCTCTAGCATGAGACAAAATCAAGAGACTTGATCTGTGATAATTGTTGGACAAGATCAATCGATAACTTCAACCTCATCTAGATTCCGACTTGGCACTCTGTTAAAAAATGTAATTTTAAGGCGCTTTTATGTTCTTACGGTAGGCTCTGTATTTTAAGAGAACGAAAATATGTGATTCTCTTTTAAATATTGCTTTTAGTGGCTGACTCATACATGATTAACAAAAATATCGACAACTATTCATGCTGATAAATGCACATCCAACTCGAAAAACAAATGCTTCACTGGTTCAATCGGCTTTAACGCTTTATTTGGCAGTAGCTGTCAGCATAGCTCCGATGGAGCGGTCTTTCTCGGTGATGAACTGTTTCGGATTTTATTCCCGGATTTTACACTTTAGCTAGTTTAGGGATATCGGGCACCTTTTGTCCAATTTTTCAGGATTTACAATACTGGACAATATTTTTCGGACGATTTTGTTTTGATTATATCTCGACAGTGGTATGATGTTTTGACGAGCTTCTATATTGAAAACTTTTCATTGCGTAGGCTAAAAAGGAGTTGAATTCATATTAATCGGAAGAAGAGAAGATGCACTACATTATGACAGTAAGAAAACTTTCAAACATACTTCGTATGAGATTTTGTAATGATTTTACCTTCTGGAAAAAAAGCCCGGTTGAAGATTGTTCGCGTAGAGATGAATTGCGGAACGTGAATTTCGAGTCGGAGCTATCCTTGATAAGCAGGTAAGGAGAAAACCTATTTAATTTCTTCTAAAATGGAAAGTTTATGTCGATTTTGATAATACCATGGAAGATAAAAGTAATGTAATTACTTATCTTTATTGCATAAGTCTGACAGTTTCATTTCGGCTCATTTTATTGTAGGGCACTATAAAGATAAGCCAACAAATCTATTTGAAAAAGCACTTGTGAAATTCCGATAAATGAAATACTTGGAAATAAGAGTGTCATATTCAAAGGATTTATTTGTTTGTCTAGGAAATAAAGGATGCAGTGGTCAACAACATTACGATTGTAATCCATCGTCTACCAATTCTTAACTATTTAGAAGTAATGTAGGACGAAAAATATAGCTTTGATAACACAAATTAATATTTTCAATAAAATATCTGCAGATAACAATCTATTATCATAGACGTACTGCTCTACATGCTATCTGTTAAATCAAACTCATTTTAATTATATTTTACTGATAGCGATGCAGTTTGTATGGTAAATTCTAGGTCGGTTTCGATACATAATGATGATTGTTGTTGTTCAGTCGTTTAGTCGAGTGCGACTCTTCGTGACCTGATAGACGTTATTACGTCAGGCTTGCCTGTCAGTGACCATTTCCTTCAGTTCTTGTAATTTTGTTTCCATGACATCAGTTATGGTGTCAAGCCACCCTATCTTCTGTCGACCTCTTTTCGGTTGCCTTCGATTTTTCCAGTTCTCAGGGTCTTTTCTAGTGAGTCTTGTCTTCGCATTATGTGACCGAAATATTTAAGCTTTAGCTTCATTATTAATGCCCTCAGTGAGAAGTCCGGCTTCACTTCATTTAGTATTGATCGATTTGTTCTTCTTGCGGTCCATGGTGTTCTTAGTAGTTTCATCCAACACTACAATTCAAATGTGTCAATTTTTCTTCTATCCACTTTTTTGATAGTCCAACTGTCGCTACCATACGTTAAAACTTGGCAGGAATTCGCCGGAAAAGTCCGGCCGTATTTTTGACCGGAATACTGCTTCCATGTTCCAGCGATTTCCCGTGTTTTCCTGCAGGATACGGTGACTTTCCCGCATATTCCCTGGTGTATCCTACGGGATCCGGTGACCGGAATGTTCGACCTGGGTAGTTATTCTCCAACCTTGTAGTCATCAATCAAGCGCAATTTTCAATTTGTAGGCCTTACAACAAGAATGATATTCATTAATGAAAAACATATTATATAACTGCAATAAAACAACCGCACTCTTCATATACAGTGGTTCACAACATATAACTAAATTGAAATCTAATTAGAGGGTAAATTAATCATTTTAGATATCTATGTATTCATGAATAATATGAATCCGAAAAGGATACGGACTACTCACGCTTATTTCATTTGACTAGTGTTAGTGTTGATACGAACTGATTATTGTATGACGATATACATTAAATCAAACACGTCTAACTACAATACTTGTAACTATTCATTTCTATTTACTATAAGGGTTAAGGTCACGAAAGCGATGCAATTCATCCCGATTATTTTTGTTCTAATAGTTACTTTTATTGAAATGAAAATCTATCGAAATCTGTACGAAAATATTAATAAAGAAAGTAATGGCAGTTATATTTATGATGAAAATTCAATTTGAATAAATAAATGCCTTGTTGAAGAACAAAACGTTTCCTCATTGGGATTTTAGATCTAGAAGTAATCAGAGATCATTTTACTGATTGAAATATTTTTCCGATACTTTCAATAATGAACATAATCGAAAAACATGTACCACGTATCCTTGTTCTAGGCTAACGCAAATAGAAGTTTTTTTCTGTAAACGACGCATCTTCCGATAAGAAATATCAACTTTTGTGTCAATCTTCTGAACATAGATAGTTTCAAAGTAAACTATCTCGAAAAACTTACAATAATCCTTCATGTTCATTTAAATAAACGTTTCACTTCCAAGGTGAAAGAAAACGGCCCGTAAACGGCCTGAAACGGCATAAAAACGATGTAAAACGTTAAAAACGGCGCCGTTTTCCATCAGCTCGGAAAACGAAGAGAATAGTGTTAAAAGCGATGGCCGTTTTCTAGCAAAAAAACGGCCCGTAAAACGAGCTGACGGATTACGGCGAAATAGGGTGAAAATTAATGCCGTTTTATGTCGTTTTATAGCCGTTTCAGGCCGTTTCCGATGGCCTTTCAGACGGCAGGATGATCCTCCTGGGTAGATTTACTTCCACAATTCTGATTATACAGTTTCATCTAGTCGTTTGCATAGCTTGAAAAATCAAAATAAATTGTTTCATATTTTATAATTCAACAATTAACTATTTTATCTCAAATAAAAGTGAGACTCATTCTCAGTTTTTAAGTAACAACAACATATGTAGGAAGTAGACTTTTTTTTCGTTTGCTATTTTATTCATCACGTGACTATGTTCGTTGCAAACAATAGGATGAAAAATCGAACTTACAATGCCTATTAATTCTTTTCGTTGTTGTTTCAAAAACGAGAGATGTATGTCATTCGAGTCTTCATACAGACGAAAATCAAACAAAAGTTGTAAAGAATATAATATCAAGATAAATGACGTCGTTCGATTTTTTTCTTGCTTACTGTCTGTCTACCTTTGTTCAACCTTCGATTGTAGCTTAGTACAATTTTTGGTGAAATATCGATAGTTACACAAATCTAACCGTTGTTTGTCTTCTACGAAGAGTTGCTCTCTCTGATTTAAAGGTTCAGACTAATTTCTTTTCTAAAGAAAAGGGTCTGCTATAAAAGGCTAGATATCATGTGTTTGTTCTTCTTAAAGACCATATATTCTGATCTTCACCAAGCTGTCGATGACTTGTATGTATCTCGTAGTATATTCACATATTTAGAATTTCTTAAGTTAATACTGATTTCGTATCTTTTTAAAAACAAATATGGTCTCTCGTTCATGACTTTTGAAAAATTGAAAACTGACGTTTGAAGTGTTTCTCATCTGGCATACTATAACTACATTATCTAGATGATCATAAACTGTAGCCGTCTATAATTTGACTTTTAAAAATTCTTTTATCATAATTTTGATTTTCGAATATATCTTTGTTCTATTTCTTATAGACATATTATCCAACACACGACGTGTGTAGTCTATCGAAATTATAAAAATTAAAATAAATTTGCTAGCTGAAAAAATGATAATACTAGAAAAGTAATTGTTATAACAAATAATCATGAAACGAATTCATTGGAATGAATGCATGCATTTTATTACACGCAAGATATTAATACGAAGCGAAGACAAACAGGTCTTGATAAATTTCTTTGTTTAAATATTCTCACTTCATATTTTCACTTACTGTTCAATGAAGAAGGAAAAGAAGAAGAAAAAGAACAGATGGTATCAATGGTAAAACTACATTAGTGTGTTTTTGCTTTTCATAGTTACATTTTAAGAACAGAATCAAAACTCTGGTAATATTTTTATTTACATATCGGACATAAAATGTAATCATAATGTTTTCTTCGTTACGTTATAGTTGATTTCTTAATTTAATGCAAGTATATATAATTTGATAATAAACAAAAAGTCATTATCAAATTTTATTCTCAATCACTCTGAAAATACCACACCTACTCTCTCGATACATGTTTTTACGATGTATTACTCAATTATTATCAATTGCATCAAATGTAGTGTCACAGATGAAAATATATCTAAAATATGGCATTAAATATCAAATAAAAAATCATATACTTCAGCTTCTTATTGACTTTCAAACCTAACATTAATTCAATAAAGAAAATGCCAATACCTAATCAGTGGCACAGTTAACATCAGTCTTTATATGAAATTTTCTGATGATAAATTGGTAGATACATGTTGTTGTTTTTGTTTTGATCAAAACTTAATCTTCTTTTTTGTCTTCGTTTACTTCAACAAAAATAATTCACTTTTATAATCAAAAACAACTGTAATTTTCTTTTCTTACCAGAACGAGGAAACAGACAATATGCGAGAGAGAAACGAAAGTTGCAAAGAACAATAATATACAAGAAATGGCGCTGTTGGAATTATTTTTTCCTCACTCATTTGTTTGCTTACAAGGATATTCATCAAGTATGAAATTAAGTTAACATATTGCTCTTTCTTAGAACCGAAATTTGACATAAGTATTACTCTATTCTCTCATGGTTAACCCTACTTTGGTCGAAAGTAAAAATGCCGAAAGAAAATGCACCGAAAATCTCGAAAGATAAAAATCTCGAAAGGTAAAAATTTCTACTGATAATGTTAACAAATTTCTTATTTTAGTTCTGTGCGTGTAAAAAGAGTAAAAGATTTTTTTGTTTAAAAAGTTTTATATATCGAAAAAACGTTCAGAGCAAAATTTTTGTTTAAAAATGCGGAATGATGCTCGATGATAACTATTCTTCAGCCGTAGATTGGGTTTCTATATATTTCTTTTTTGCTCCAACAACTAATGATAAACCAGTAAGTAGATCTGATGAGTTGAATGACGTTTGAATTTGATTGATGATGATGATCACATTTACCTCCGTATAAATAAACATCATTTTCATCCGTGTGAACTACCATTTGAGCATCCACTAACAATACAAATCCAATCTTTTTTTACGGGCCGTCTTCTTATTACGTTTGTATAATTGTTCATTCATAACTAATAATGGGTGACCTTTATTTGATGTAATGAAGGATAAATTTTCATCTGCATCAAAACTTGAATCCGGAGAAATCGACATACTGTTTAGCAAAGTTTTACTATTGAATATTTTTTCTATAATCCTTACGGCAAAGGCGTCTTTGTTAAATTTTAGCCGACAAAGACAGGAATTCAAGTGCAGAAAGGGTGTGGGTAACGTAATCAACCAATAACTATAATCATTATATAAATGTATCTACCAATCGTTTGATACAACTATTTTCGTTGTTTTTATACTTAGGAAATTTTTCTTGTCGACATTTTTCTCGTTCGATATATCTACTTTCGACATTTTTACCTTTCGACCAAAGTAGGGTAAACCACCAATTATTAATGGTATCGTGATAAAGAATTGAGATAGATTTCTTCGTACAAAAAGGTATCAATACAGGTATTTCTCTTTAATTAATAGCAGTAAAAAACAATAATTCGAGCATCTTTGATCATAAAAATTGCATTCAAATAGCATATGCGACTCAATGAATGAACCCGTTCTGGAAGAGGGATTTTTTCGTTTTGTAATAAATCGTTTAGATGTAAATTGGGCTGAGCTACCGAGCTTAAGATATTTTTAGATTTTGAAAATCAGCTCGTATTATATTCAGAAATTGGTGCATCGACTGTATAGTATTTCAATAATTGTCCTACAACACCGTATAATTACTGTTACTACTGAATTTTCATAAATAAACTGTGTGATTAGATGAAAATTCAACAACGAAATCATTTATACAACTTGATTATCAAGTACTATTGCAGTATATAATGAGAAAACCAAACTGTCTCTCTTATTCCATAAGTTACGTTTATTCATATTGATATATGAAACCGTTCCTATTAATTTTCTTATATTTTGTAAGTTCTAAACTTTTCAATTGTTTTTAGAATCTCGAAAAATGAAGTGTATGCTTTTTCGCTTTGTACTATTCATGCTTGAACATCAGTAATGGGCCATAGTTAAATTTTCCTGATCATGCAGTTCAACTGTGAGTATTGGTTGTATATTAATGCCTCATGGATTTTCATTTATTATTTAAATAGTTTCAGATCATAATTCTATTCGAATCACAGGGTTGCATTTTAAACTGAGAGAAGTATTTCGGTAAGTATACATGCAATTAAAACGTGAAGTCAAATTGTATTTGTTCAATATCATATTGTAGTTTTATTCAATCTGATCCGATATGACGATATGTAGTAATCTTGCATGGATTATTTGTGGAAACATCTTCGTCAGTTGTAAGTTTTTTAATTCTTGTTGGTAAGTCGGGTCTCGAGCGAGACTTACCACTTTTGTGATTGTCCTGAAATCAGAAACAAGAATTCACTTATATTTTCTTTCGGGTTTGTTTTTCTTACTGATTTATTAACGTTTTGTATTCGCAACTCCTGTTGTTGTTGTTGTTGTTGTTCTTCTTCTTCTTCTTCATTTTCAGCATCATTATCACAACCCTAAAGTTCACATAAGAATAAAATCCCTAGATTAGCACAAGTCTACCCCGAACAAAAGAAAATAAAACAATTGCGAAATGTGTCGAAACTAGAATTCGACGTATAACTCGTATCTAAACAGTACTTTGTTGAATAAAATTAAAATGATCAAATGCGAAGATATCATCGGAAGATTGAAATTTGTTTTTGAAATAAATACAGTGATGACAGAATACTCATAAATTTAAAAAATCGTAACTCTTATTACATTGTGTTCCTCAAGTTTCTTGATAAAAAAATCGCATAGGAATCGATAAACTTGTTTGTAACTTAATCGAATTCTTTTGTCAAAATATTACGAGTCTCATAAGTAAATATACTATATCAGTGTCAGAATTTTCTATTTATTTATCGGAAGAAATTACATTCGACGCATTTGTTTTCTCACAGACAGTACTTGCTTGGTATTCATCATAGTTTCGAATATTTCTAACTGAAATGCCTGCAGATCGTTCACGTCCGATTCTAGAAGTAAATGTTTCAATTTATTAGCGATACATTCTAGGAAAGAAAACTGATTGGATAAGTATCCTTACATTTTTGCTTTTGTCATCGATCTGGGCTCAGGATCAGGTAATGGCGTGAGCTCTAGGAAGTAGTACAAATATGTCAGATAAGCAATTATATTAGTGTAAGTAAAATGCAAACTCATTGGTGGTAGTTTCATTGATAATGATCGTTTATCTGGACTTTGCTCAGATGGAGAAAAGTTGGACTTTGCCGAGAGATGACGATTCATCTTCGAAGAGATTATCGAATCTTCTCTAAGAGGCGATTGGTAATTGTCGTCTGAATTCGTTCTTTCTCTTTTGGATTGTAATAACGGTTGATCCTGATTGTCACATTCAATGTAAAACGGTGCAGTTGGTGTCTAAAAGTGAATGAACGAAACTATGTATATATTCTCACTACATATACAATGATCACTATAGGAGGTGATAATGGTGGTGTAATAGTCTGTGATAACTTTGTTTTGTTTCTTGGTTTAGCTTGTGAGCGAGAGTCAGTTTGATATGGCAATCTTTCTCTTATTTCCATATAGCGACTATAATTTTTAAATGCTTTATTCAATTGATCGTTACATTGGAGTAGATCAACTAAGAAAAATAGAATAGACAATTCAAAACTCATGTATCAATCTACCAGCAATATCTTCAACAGCTGTCAATGAGAGAAGGCTAACAATGCGTGCTTGCATCATTTTACAGACTTCGTATAGATCCTAGTTAAACAAAAAACACACAAAAAGCAATGTTTGACTTTTCCTATAGACTCTGCTTACTAATAGTAATTGCCAATCGAACGAATGTTCATTGCCTGGTTCTAATGTAGAAAGCATTTCATCAAGCACATGAACGTTTGTATGTACAATGTCGAGTTCGCTTCGAAGTTTAGCAATCTGTATATCGGATAAATGTTGAATAAGTACTGATGTACCACTACTATTTAAACGCAGATTTGAATAGAGTGATTCATTGTTTCGATTCGAGACAGATGATGTTTTCTAATCACAAACAACTAATATATAGAGACAGATTTTCATTGCAATCTTACAGGTCTAGTCATGGTTTTGGTTGCTGATGGGGACTAAACATAGTTGATTTTAATTAGAAATAGGTGATAATAGTAAATACATCATACCGTTTTTGGTATGGCTGAAGTAGGACGAGTGGATTTAACCTATCAGAGTCAAAACAAAAACGCGACTTGATTATTCTTAAAGAAAAAATCACCTGGTTGTTTGATCCTGCCTTATTAGTATGATTTTTATCAACCGGCGGAAATTCATAACCTTGCTGTTTGCATTCTTCATAGAGTTCTTGGATGATTTCAAGATCAGAATTATCACAAAAGATAACTGCCCAATGCTGTTATTTTTTTTTACAGAAATGAGTAACTATAAACGAAAAAAAGACTTACTTGAATCATGTTAAGCACTTGTTTTTCAATAGGTTTAGGTGGATTATTCTTCGAAGCGATAACACTTTTGAGTGATTTGAGAAATGTTTCATTACCTAGATGTATATGAAACATTTCTCCACAATTGTTTACCAATGCTTCAAGCAACTAGCATTATAGACACAAACAATCGAGCAGGACTTCAATAAATTGAAATGACTTACAATAAGTGTTAATACAATAGATCGCCATCCGAAAGTAACTGGATTTTTGCGTAGATTTTTTCGAATTTCTATTATTGCCATTTCGGCACTTTGAAAAACATGTTTTAGAATTCGAACGAAAGACATATAAACAAATAATTACCTATTCTTATTTGTAGCTATGCTGTCACAGATCTCCATTATCAGTGTCCAGTTCTCGTTCGGATTATTCGGATCTGTCACTAGTTCAATGGCTTCCTGAAGTGAATTTGTCGATAAACTTGTTCGTGAAAAATGATCCATCCTATACACGATGCCGATGCCACCAATGATGTTAATATCTGCAATAAAAATAGTATCCATTCTTTTATTGAACGAAGATGGAGTTCACCAGAGGACACTCATTTTTTGTTTTATGAGACATTACAGTGTATGAGAACTACCTTTTTCTGAGTTTACCTGAATGTGAGCGAGATTGCACATGTTTTCTCACTTATTCACAACCGTCGACCAAACACGACAAAATAAAGGCTTCAGTACATACAAAAAACAAAGTAGAGAAGGAAAGATCGACAAAATTTGCATGAGATTCTTTCATTGCATAGTACTCTTTTGTTTACATCAAGCGACAAGCAAAATCTATAAATAGACTGGTAGAAGAGTAGCAAAAAAAGATCTAAGTAATTAAACGTACGCTCAAGTTCAGAGTGAAAAAAATAGATGAAAACGAAAAGAAAGTCACGACGCATGAAAGAAAAATTAAAATGTTAAAATAGAAAATGAAAAATACTCAAGCATCAGAAAAGGTTGTTAATTAAAGTAGTAAAACAAACCAAATAAAGTTGATTTGATTTGAAACAATATTACATCGTTCTTTGTGGACTGCTAAATAGAGAATTATTGTGATTAAATGAAATAATATCTAAATGGAAGAGATGACTATCAAATAAATCCAATTGAGATATAAACAGTTGATTGTGTTAGACTTTGCTAAACTCTGATATGAAAACCTTTGAGGGACGAAAACAAGACAGCGTTTAAGTGATATATAACTTATTCTAACAACAATTGATATTTTAATTTTTATAAAAAATAATCATTTCAAGGATATGATTCGTGTAGAATATAAATTACATTGATATAGATAATGACACAGGCCATTTTAGAAATTCAATCCCATGTCGCACATTTCTTGTCACTATCGCCGGTATACCGCGGTACTCATAATAACCGGCAGTGTACCGACAGTTTACTGGAGGTAGCGCTTATAAGCTCAGGTTCCAGCTAAAAAGGCTTCCAGAAATCGTTTTTTGTCAAATCCCGATTTATTTCGGAAAAAGAATTCGAATTAATCGAAAAAAAGACTATATTAGAATATATTTTGCGAATTATTATTTCTACAGCGACATCTTTAATAAAATATTTATCTCATAAATGGGACTGATTCGAGACCTGTGGCTACTACAGGCGGCTCAGGCACATCGACATTATCAGATTGCACCGAATTCAACACGATTCTGCCGGTTTTAACAGACGTAACAAATATTCAGTCGTTTCTATACTAATTATACAAAAGGATGCATCACTTTCGTGAAAAGCCGGCGGTATACCGCCGGTTTTTTCCGGTTTGAATCATATGGGATAGCAACAAATATTTTCACTTAGTCAACTTCATCTATTTTCTAATATGGTATGATTCATAAATTGGCGATAAAACTTTTTGAATTTTTTTATTATTATTAAATCTCATGAAGTTGATTTCGGTTTTGGATGGCCTTCTTTGACAGTAACATATTGTACGAAATACGAAGAGTTTGAACCATGATATATATATATATATATATCTACATTTTTGTTCGATATGTTTACTTTTGAATAATTAGAAAAGTTCAAGTTCAACTTGATATGAAATCGAAATTAAGACAACAATCATACATTGTACTCTAACGGATAGTAATCTTAATATAATCGATGAAATCGTTGATGGAAAAGCAAATGATGATTTAATGAATTTTTTTCATCGAAATCAAATTCATCGAGAAAGAACTATTGTTGTAGCTGGCATGTATTTAGGTCGGATTCGAGCTCATCTCAAACAATTAGCACCTCAATTTAATGAATTTTGTCATTATCGGTCGATTGATGTTGATGTTATTTCATTAATATGTGAAAAATGGTTTCCAAATATTTATAAACAACGACCTTTGATCAAGGATGAAAATCAATTAAAATATTCTATTGACCTTCTTCGTTTTTATCGTTCGACTATATTTAAATAGAAAGACAAAAAAAGGTTTTTCTTTTATCATTGATGTTTTTTATAAAATATAAAGAAGAAGGGTCAAAATACTTTTTACTGAATGTTGTACATAGTTTCGTATCATTCATTATCTTTTTAATAGTTGTTGCTATCGAAGTTATATGGTCGTCTATGGTTGATAGATGATTAAAAGAACTATTGTCTATGCGCATCTTCAACTCCTACACCTCATCCACCCGCACATTTATACTAACATGCAAAGATAAATTTAGCTCTTGTGCGTAGCTATACAACAAAAGTTTTGAACATAGACTTTACATTGTTTTTCTGCCATTGTCAACAAATTAGAAATAACTTGTTAGCAAACTACGGCTAATCTAGTTAGTAGCTTACATCTGACTTATTAAAAGCTCAATTAAACATTCATGCGCCTAGTTATTTTAGTTTCACTTTTCTTTTTGTCCATGTTCAGTACGTTCTTATTTTTAGTTCGATTTCGATTTTCTTAATATTCTAGTTCATAGATACAATTGTGATTGTGACCGCATACGATTCTAATAGAATCATGTATATATTACACAACGGATGAGAAATATATTGAAATTCATAAGTATTTCGATATATTATTATTTCGTTCTTTTTCTTCTTCTTCTTCTTCTGGATTTACCAACAGCAGTCTTTACGCAACAGTTGAATCACCGGCGGCCTTCATAAAACATAAATAGTTGCAGATAAAAACACATGTAAGAAATTTAACATGAGTAAAACGAAAGTACAAGAAGAAGCAAGAAAAACTAATAGTTTCAATCTCCAAGAATTCGAACGAGTTCTCTTCCATTCTTCAATTTACCAATATGTAAAGTGTTCCTACAAATATTAATAAAATAGACTATGATATGTGACTTTCTTCTCTTTTTAGGATCTGCCGATTGATAGATCTGAAAAAGAATTAAAATCATTCAACGTTTGGCTTCGACGATGTTTCATCATCCTTTTTGCTCTATTTATTCTCATCACAATTCACTTATAGTCTATTCATTTGCCAGAATCTTGATATAACAGATGAAGCGTTCAAGTATTTTTCATGCCGTGCAAAAAACGCCTGAATTGCTTTTTTCGCTTTAAAATATGAAAGCTTTTACTCAAATATTTGTTAACAGTATTCAAATAAATATTTATGTGAAAGTTTGATTAGCGAATGAGAAACACTGTAATATGATATCAAGCCATTTCTTTAACCTATTCATACTAAACGTTGAGTATTTGATTTCGAGATATGATTCAATCAGAGAGAGAGAGAGAACAAGAAAAATGTTTTAGCTTATCTTAACATTAATATTTAATTAAAATCATATGGGAGATTACTTTTATTGTAACATTTCGTTGGTAGATGGAACAGAAATTAGTACAAGTGTTTCTTAGAGAAAATTTGCATACCCAATTTCTTATTATCAAATACTATTTCAACAATTTAGAAACTTCCTGTTCTTGTAGTTCAATTTAATTTTGTTGTTGAGCTAGAGGGTGAGTGTCCAGATGTGAATGTGAACACCCTGTAATCTCACCATCAATGACTGCATATCTTATTCATCTAACCTATCTTACATGCATATACACTAATTCGAGAGTACGCATTGTTGATATTCTACGCATAGAAATAAAATTTTAGATAACTAATACTTCTGAAATCGAGACCTATTCGTACAATACTATGATGCTCTTGTTAAATAAAGTGCAACTAATTATGTATGTTTATTGTATATAATTCAGTCGAGCTTTTGATAAATTGAAACAATTATGTACGGTAATAATGGTGCCAATTGTAGGATTATGTCATTTTCATGATAAACTGACTGTTCATGATATACCAAATTTGTTTTAATATGATAGACATGAATCCTTGTAACCACAACATTTACATAAGCCTTTGTTAAATAGACCGTCTGATAAGTATAAAACAGTTACTCTTCAATAGACAATATTTTTGGCATGGTTGAATTCTTCCTCGATATCCAGATGAAAAACTGCTGTAACCTATTCGTATACATCTAGTTACTAAAAATGACATTACCATCAATGCTGCATCGTCCAGCTGAAAATCAAAAACATGTTTTTACTTTAAAATCACTTTGAATTGTTCGATTACATTCACAATAGCATTGCTCAAATATTTCTCTATAGCTATATGGTGCCGATCCTATACACAGAGCGCGAATATCGTAGATAAAAAAAACAGGACGATAATAGCATAGATACAATTGAATAGTTATAAATGACACAATTATTTTACTTCATTTATCCTATTCAATGGCATGCCATTATTTTCTGTGCAAAATACAAATCAAAGAAGCAGGTGAATTTTCCTCTTGTAACTGCCATGTTCAAAAGTGAAATAATAGATGAATATTGATGAGTGCTCGTCTTGATATTTGTTTTCACTTACTTTTCATTGACCCAATCTGTCTCTTAGCCACAAGTTTGGTAAAAATAAAAGTAGTTTGATGATTTCATCTACAATTAGAGTATAGCTACACAGATTAAAGAAAGAACGGCAACTCTTCGATAATACAGTAATAAATTGGGTAAATGCTTTTTTTTCGACACTGTAGATAATCATCAACAAAGATACGAAATCTTCTGATGGAACGAAATAATTTGCTTCCCTTCAAAATTAAATAGATGGTTTATTTTCACACCTTTATAATTAAAAAATTTACAAAAAGAGAGAAACACTGAGATAGTGTGTCCAAACTCATGTTATGTGATACAATGTATTCGTTTCATTAATCTTCGAATAATACTGAGAGTCTTGATACTTCGATAATCGAGAAACTATTTGAAGCACAAATGAACTACACTTCAAATGTTATTATGTGAAATATTACTAACTTTTCTTAGAAAATAGCAACAATTTGTTGATCAAATCGTAGTGCAATAACCAATAGTAAAGTGAAGAATTGAAATTTTACAGGATAGTAACGTTTTTAGAACGTGTTACTTTACTCTGGACAGGGATATTGTAACATATAATAAAAATGCTGTGTTCTATTATACTGGGGATAACAAACGAAAGTTTAATCTAAACAAGGATACAAGTAGACGAAATGCTCTATTAATAATAATCAAATTTGATGAATTTAAAAAATTACGAAAAAATGTTAGATATGACACAGGCATGATCGAAGGGTGTGGTGGTGTGGGCAATGAAAACAAGAAAAGAAAAAGAAATTAAATTGTCCTCTATTGAGAAATCAATCATACGATTCATATCTATATTAATTTCATATTTAGATTACTAAAAAATGAAAGCTTTATCTGTCACCTTATTTTTCATTAAAAAATTTGCATTTAGACAAAAATTTTTCTTAAAAACTGTCATAAAACGCATGAGTGCATACAGGTACATTCTACTGATTTGACTATTATAACACCCAAGTTTTTCTTGACAAGTAACAAATATGGTAATTTTTCAAAAGCATAACAACCTTGAATATTTTGCTTATGCTTGAAGTGCTTGATAGTGAATACACTTTTTTGTTTTAAATGGAAATCTTTATATCTCAATGTAGAATTCGAGATAAAAGCGATTGATGTCGCTAATGTCTAGTGTGATACATAACGGTGAGAATGATTCGTTGAGTTTAATCACTTGTTTATCTAGAGGGCAAGCTTGGTTTTTTTGCTTGTTATATAACATAACATACTATTCCATTTAACAAAGGGTATAGACTCAAAAGGAATACAGAACAATATGAGCGAAGCTACTCGTACAAATACTGCAGGTACTACGATACCAATAGATGCTAGTGAATCGTTATTAATTGATGGAACTGATGTTCGAACAAAAGTTGGCCATGTTGCCAAGTTCAATCAAGATGGAGACAATAATGATCTTGACGATAATATTGTACTCGATGACTTAGATAATTATAAAAAACCAAAAGGTTCTAATGAATTTGTTGGATTAACTAAAGAGGTACTTTTAAAGATAGCAAATGATTTATTCAATAAATTAAATATTTTTTTTCAAAGGAATTAAAACAATATATAGATAATCCAAAATGGAAACATGTTCGTTTGTTAATTGCTATTTTATACATCTTATTACTTGTATTACTGCTTGTTGGATCAATACTTTTAATCGTATTTTCACCAGGTTGTCCACCAAAACCGAAACTTCATTGGTATCAAAAAGAGATAATCTATGAAATCGATGTCATGGTATTTCGCGATTCGAATGCAGATGGTATCGGCGATATTAAAGGTTTTTATCATTTTTAGAGTAGAAGAAAAAAATGAAATATTCATTTGTATTGTCATATAGGTGTCCAAGAAAACTTAAATTATTTCGAAAAAAATAATATTAAATCAATTCTGTTTCAATCAACAATATTCAATGTAACAGGTGGAACATCACTTCATTTAGATGGACAACGCGCTTATGATAAAAATATTGATTTACTACAAATTGATCCATTAGTTGGAAGTGATAATGATTTACAAGATTTATTGAAAATTTTTAACCGAAGAGGTAAATAAACTATTTGAATATTTTGCATATATTGTTTTTTTTAAATAAGATATGCATTTCATTATCGATTTGCCACTATCATCAATACTTGATCCCAATGGTAAATCATGGTATGGTTCGACTCCACTACTTAATAAAATCGATGTAATGAATTGTTTTCTTTCAATTAAACAATATATATACACATAGAAATCTTTAGAATCCATGTACTACAAGTGCACGTGAACCAAATTTTGGTTGCATGTATTATAAATCATATGGTCGATTACCGCTTGATTTTAGTGATGACAAGATTCTTGAGCAAGCAACAGTATTATTCGACCAATAAAATAAATAGAGTTTTCTTCTAATTTGGATAAATATTTTTTTCTAGGATCGTCTGCGCCATTGGTTTTCATCGAAAAAAGTCGATGGTATTCGAGTTGATCTTCCACTTTTTTGGAATAAAACCACACGTTCCTATGATGTATCTTATAAAGCAATCAATCAATGGAATGATACTAAAAATGAAATCGAAAAGAATTCCAAACCAAAGTAAATTAATTAAAAACGAAAAAAGAATTAATTTTTTAAGAATAAATATTTAAAGATTACTTCTAATGGATATTCCATTTGGCTTACAAGATCTTATTACTAATAGGGATTTAAGTAATCAAGTATCACATCCATTATTTATATTTAAAGATCAAACAAGACCTTCCATAAATGCTCACTCATTTGATCAACGTATAAGATTATTCGAAGGACGTGATTTATCAAAACCACAATTTTGGCAGGTTAATTTAGAGTTTCTTCATTTGTTATATTTTTACAAAAACATTTCTTTTTTTTTGTTTAGTTGGGATCAAAACGAAGAAGTGATGATGTTGGTATTGTTCATGAGAATCAATTACCCAGAGAAATCGTTCTGACCACTATCATGCTACTCGGTGGAACACCTGTCGTACTTTATGGTGAAGAAATCGGTCTTAATCAAGTAAGAAAGAAAAGTGCTAAGAGGTTTTCCTTAAAATATGATGTAAAGTCAGCAGAATTTTTAATCTACAATACCCTGCAAAACTGGCACTCCTTTCGCCAAAACTGTCAACTTGAATAAAATCTACTAATTATTCTTCTTGGTTATCATGTACTGAATAAAGTTTTCTATTTAGAAATCTTTTCCATTAATGCCATGGAAATCCACTGGAGAACACAGAGGATTTTCTTCGTGTTCTACCAATTCAACAAATAATTGTAAAAGCTTTATTTCATCGTTGCAAACTGGTAATCCAACAACAAGTGTTAAAGTAATTTACATTATTATATATAGACTGAAAATAGGAATCGAAGTTTTTTTAGCGTCAAGAAGCATTAGGTGGACAATCACAAGATTCATTATTAACTGTTTTCCGCTATTTGTCAAAATTACGTGAATATGAATCATTTCAATTCGGCTTGTTAGAATACGGTTATGACCAAAACAACAATATATTTTGGTTTATAAGAGAAGCACCAGGTCATCGAGGATACGTTGTAAGATTGTTTTTTTGTTAAATAACTTTTGAAAGATTTATTTTGTATTTTTTCTTTGAAAAGACTGTTTTCAATTTAAACCAAGGTCCCGATGAAAAAGCGCATATATCATTATATGATTTAACTAAAGCTGATGTGCCATCGCATGTTCATTATGAATATCAATGGCCAAAAGCTCATTTGTCAACATCAAGAGAAACTCGTATTAATTCGGATAATTTATTTATTCATCCTCAATCAGTTAATATATTTTGGTGGGGAGCAAAACTTCAGAAGCCAAATATTTTATTCAAAACTGTAAAAGAACATTCACAAAATCATTAATGGCATTATCCTTAAATTATTCGGACAGTAGTTTTAATCTTACTAATAATCACCACTTTTAGTTTTCATTTAAGTACTTTTCTTATCTGTAATAGTTTATTTAGCTTAACATTCTTTACTTATCTTTCTAATAGAATATAGAATCATATTGTCACGAATCAATCAAATACGTGATTATGAAGACATTTTAAACAGAACAAACTTGCATTCGTTTATATTTTGAATAAGATCGAACTCTCATTTTATTCTCTTGTCATACTAATACACTTGATAAAACGAACATGATTCATTTACTTGAGAAACAAGGATTCATTATCTTTTGGAATAGAGAGAATAATGTCATTTCTAGAGATCGCTTTTTATATCTGTTGAAAGTCTCTATTATTTTATTTTTCTCTCGCTAAGATTTCAAATTGTTCGTTTGGCGGAGACAGTCAATATAACATACTAATTTCCATAAGCGATCTTTATTTAATATTATTGGTTCAGATAAGTTTTTCAATAAAATTTAAAGAATCAAAAAAATTTGCTCGAATTTGAGTAATTTATTTCGAGTAAATAAATTAATCATTCATGAAGACCAAAAACTCAAAAGTTATAATTGTATGTTCTTTTGTTTGGAAGAAAATATTCTTAGAAATTCTATGAAAACAATGATGTAAATTGGTCGAATGGAAAATAGTATCAGAATACGTCTGTTTTAGATATCGTATAAATAATTTTCTTCTAGCTAAATTAAGCGACAAGAAAATATATTATTTTATATAATAAATGACGCTTATTAAATATGAAATAAATATCTTTATTTGTAAGACATATTTGAATGATTATAAAATAGTATCTTGGACAAAATTTATGATACTACAACAAGAATTTTTGTTTTATTTAGTTTTTCAAATTAATCTCAGAAACATATTTTCCTCATCTATTCCATAGAACCTTATAATATTGATCATTTGAAATCTATCAGTATTTTTTTTTCTTCAGATAAATAATGGAAGAAAACATTGATGAAGATGTTTTTCGTGTTCTTTATCAATTAGTTGAACAAATCCATGAAGAAAATGAATATTTTCGTATATGTGATGATTGTTCAATCATTGACTCCTCTGTAAAACATCAAATTCGTCCTGAACAAGAAGCTGGAACAAATCCTTGCTTTGGCTTAAGTTTATGTGATAATTGCGCTAAAAAACGTCACGATGATGCACAAAAAGTTCTACAAGATCTAGAACATTTGGCACATGAAGTTGAACAACGTTTACAAGCCATTGAAAATACTGAAAGAGAATTAGATCAATGGCGAGATGCACAGTTGCAAAAGAATCGAGATTTCTGGGATGGTATAGTTTTATTGTGATTCTTGAAGGAGACATAATAAAAATAGGATGTTTATCTTTTTTAAATTTCTATAGAATATCGTCGTCAAGTTGAAAATTTTTCCGCATGTCGTATTCGTACACTTCAATATGAATATACAATGAGACAATTAAAAACGCAACGCATAATGAAACGTCTTAAATGTGCTAAATATATCGCTGAACATATTGATCAATTACGTGAACAATTACATGAATTACTTCAACCATCATTAATTGATTTGCTGTCTTCGGATACATTTAAAGCTCAGTTTTCTTTATTTCTATCGACTAATGATGACAATGAAAATTCTACAACAATTGATCATCGCCGAGAACTTTATCAACAACTTGAACAATTATCTTGTTTAGATAAAGTTATTGTACCCGGAGATGATACTACTATTGATGATGAGATTAGAGATGAAATTGATGAATGAATTATTTTAGTTTTTTCCTTTTTATTTTATTGAATAGATTTTGTTGATATCGTTTAAATATTTATATAAAATATTCACGAGTAAAACTTTTATAAAATAAAGTTCAAATTAAGGAAATTCTTTTGTCAATACTTAATACTGATAGTTCAATCTAGAGAGAATATTTTAGAGTCAATAGTTATACTATTAGATAATGAAAAATTAGAGGATTGAAACGATTAATAATCATTATAAACACTTCATTAATTTCGTATATTCACCATGATAGCTATGTGTGATTTGTTATAAATCCTATATACTTCATTGTATTTCACTCATACTCAAATCTTGAACTGTAATCAAATATTTAAACATATATTCATGGTTGACCTGAAATAAATAAGACGTTCTGTGGCATTGTTTTGACGTCATCTTGAAATACATTAAACTATAAAATGTTTATTGTTTGTTTGCGTGTTTGATACATAAAGAAATTTGTATCCAGTTTCTTTTAGATTCTTATTCATGATATTGGAAACGAAAGAATAACAAGCTGTTTTATTAAAAACATATACATTAACTTATTCTTGTAAAAATGAGAATGAAACTCCTCGTTTTCATTCTGAATCAAGATCAAACGGATGCTCGTTCTAAACCGTTTCAAATTGTAACACAGGAACTATGACATTAGATCTTCTTCAATCAGATAGGTTACTCAATAGTCGATTCTTGTTTTTTTAATATCTATAGAAGACAGTTTTTCTAGAAAGCAAATAGAGTTTTCTCGACATTTGATGATTGAAGTGACAATAAAAAATAGTTATACTCGCTGCTTAGTTTTGAAGATTATTCGAAAGAAAACGTCGATAGGTATGACAAACATAACATATCGTAGATACAAAATATTTATTTCTCTTGTACGTCTATTTATATGAAACATCTAAGCTGTTTCTAGCTTTCTAATTATAGAAAAGTGTTGTCATTTATTTATGTTTTGAATAAGTTTTGTCGAAGAATGGAATTTCTACTCGTTTATTTTCCGCAAATTGTATATAAATCCTAAAATGAATCTTTCACTATACAATTTTCTCCCAGCTCTTGAGAGAATTCAATTGTTGACCTAATAGTATGTACACTGATTAGTTTCAAAGTATCTTAAAAGATGATTTTTTTTATTGATTTTTGTGATTTGTGGGTTGTATTTCAATAGACTTAATTGATTTCTGTTGTTCCTTAGAGAAATTTATGGCTGGTACTAATTGGTGTCCACATGAAAATTGCTGAAATTCGAAAAATACACTTCATCTATTAAATATACAGAGAAACTTAGCTATAGTGAAAAATCACTAAAATAGAAGGCATCTGAATGTAGTAAGTTCTTGAAGAATTTCTTAGATTATTTATATCATAGAATTTAAGTATCTATAATTGTATTACAAGTATGCCTAAAGGGAATTTTAGATTGGCAGTAAATAAGAAGAAAAATATAAAATCACACTCGTAAATGTAGAACAACTGCGTTCACACGCGTGATCATTTTTTTGTTTTTTGTTCATTATTCGTCTCGTTAGCACTGTAGAGTGAATCGATAATCTTTTGAAAGTATTTTCGAGCCATTACACGCCGTGTCTTGAAAGTGGATGTAATTAGACCATTCTGCTGCGAAAATGGCTCATGATGCAGATAAATATTGCTCACGGTTTCAAAATGTTTGAGTTTATTTTCTTTAGCTATACGAAGGAGATCAGTCATAATCAATTGCTTAAATTCATCATAAGTGCATAACTCTTCGAGGGATTTTCTTGTTGTCGAAGTAAAGTTCTTGTTTGCGTATTCTTCATCGGGTACAACAACAGCAACTACTGTCGCTTGTATCGAACAACCATCGATAAAAATCTGAGAAATCCATCGAGAACGAAGGTATACTTCTTCGAGACGTTCAGGTGCCACATACTGGCCTTGACTTAATTTAAAAATATGCTTGCTACGATCAATGAGTCGCAATGTACCATTTTCCGACCATTCGCCAACATCACCTGTATGTAACCAGCCTCCTTCATCAATGATTTCTCTTGTTTTTGCCTCATCAGCGTAATAGCCTACGAGAAAAAATTGCAAACTTTGAAAATAACTCATGATGAAAATCAGATTCATATTGTATAGCCATCGCCAAATTCCATAGAAAGTTCTCGTACTCATGATGTCACTGACAAATCGTATAATTTTATCGAACAACAACCGCGATGTGTTGCTCGATTCTCATGACTGACAACGGTCTCGTTGAATCTGATTGTATGTACGTTGTTAAATATGACTCTTTGAGTTATCTATTACGTGTAACTTACTCTGTTGATTGAGTTATTTGTGAGAGGAAACTCGAGTCAACAATTTATTTGTTGCAATCTAGTCTAGTGTGTTATAGTTCTAACTACTAAAAGTATTAGCAGTTTTAAGTACATCGAAAATCCACCCTAATTTGTCAACAAGCAACTCGTTTTAGACATTCTTCTGTGTTCTAATGGATGACAACAAGCGATGAATACATTCACCGAATATTATTTGATACGATTGTTTTAGAATATACCACTGAAATCTTTCAAAAGCAGACTCGGCTTCGTAAAATAAAATAGAACTTACCTTTAAAAATACTGGGTCCCCGAATACATATTTCACCTTGTCCGTTATCGCTTCGATAATTTGTTCCAGGTACGTCAGCAAGTTTAACTTCTACTGTACATACGGGTGTACCAACTGTCCCACATGAAGTGTCAATTACATGTGTAGTGACGTTAACACCTGTCGTTTCCGTTTGTCCAAAGATCTCGTATATTGGAACATCCAATGCAATGCGAAAGAAACGTAATACATCACGTGAAATCGGCGCAGAGGCAGATAACATTGTTGATACTTCACCACCAAATAATTGTTTTACTTTTCGAAAAATAATCCGGGAAAAAAACGACGATTTATCTTGGCGCAATGCTTTGTCAACAAGATATCGTTTAACTTTACTTTTGTCAACTTCACCCATGACTTTATTGTAAATTTTATTGAGAACACGAGGTACCATGAAAATGCGAGTAGGTTTCACTATTGCGTAGTATTCCACTAACTTATCAGGACTTGGGCAACAAACAATTCGAGAACCATTGATAAACATAAGCAAAAGCGCGGCTTGTTCGTAAAGATGAGCCACGGGTAGAAACGAACAATGACGATCTGACGGATTACACAATATGTCTGCTCGTTTTTCACGATCGATGGTAGATTTCATTCCTGCCATGAAGTTCTCGTGGGTTATCATAGCGATTTTTGGTTCACCTACAGAATATTTAAGTTAATGTCTATACATTTTTTCAACTTCTTCGAAATTAGCGGAGTTTTTCTCACACTCATACGCGGAACTCACACACAGTTCACTTAAGGTAGAATACTGAACGATGGTAAAAATAAATTGTTGTAATCTGCAATAGGAAGAAAGCAGAGGGATCGAAGACCTATGATTCCTTAATGGATTTTAGTACTGTTCAATAAAATAGACATTCGACATTGTTTGTTATAATCAAAAATCTTAAAGTTTTATTTGCCTAGGATAATTAAAACTAATTGCAATATTAAATTTCAAAATACTCTTTAGAATTTTCCATGAACGAATCAATTTTCTATAGAAATAAATCTATTCCATAGTTCAAAAGTTGAAATGAAGTCTATCGATTGAATTCTACGTTACGTTTAAAAATTACTCTCATCTTTCTTCCTTACCAGTTGTTCCACTTGTCAAAAGAAATGTAGCAACACTATTTGGATCAAGTGTCGGTCGAGGACGTATATTAGTTGGGTTTATTGTTTTTAAAATTGATGGCAGACTTCGAATTTTCTTGTGTTCACCATCACTTATTTCGTCCATAACAATAATTTCTTTGATTTCTTCCATTTCAATTAGCTGTCTTTCAACTGATCGAATGCGTGCCAAATTATCGACAACTAATACCTGCGTTTGGGTTCTACGAAGTAAATCCATTATTGTTTTCGAATCATAACTTGTGAAGAGATTAACTACAATAAAGCCGTACATGTAACAGCTATAAGTAAATATTGGATATTCTGGTCGATTGGCCGACATTATGGCTAGTTTTGAATCTGATGGAATGAGTTTGACTTCTGTCCACAGATGAGAGCCTATGATACGTGCTTGCTCCGATACCTTGGAATAAGAAAGCCAACGAATTGGTTCTGTGCTATTATCGGGTTGAACGAAACCCAAACATGGACCATCTTTTGAAACTGTCTGACCATAATCTAATACATCACCGAGCGTACGCACCTCAGGGCATATTGATTTATAGTATGAACCAATGTCGATATCCTTATACAGTGTGCATCGACGAATGTGCTCAATTGGATTAATTTCAACTGTTTGATTATTGAGATCAATGCCATCATCGTACTTGACTCGAATGGATAATTTACTTGACGATGTAGTCAGAGTGCGTTGCTAATAAGAAATTATCAACATACTTTATTTATATATTTAGCAGATATTTCATGTAAATCCTGACCGAGTTTGCTTCACCAGTGGGTACTGATTCGGCTAACTTTATCATAGAATTAAATTGCAAATACTGCATGAATATTCTAATAAGTCGATCAAAAAATGGTTTCCTTATCAAATGATATCAGATGTAGAAAACAACTTACACCATTAAATCATTCGTGCGTACAAGATTGGAAAGGGATTTTTGTGAGCTCTAAATCTCTTAAAAGATATATGGTTACAGACTGGACGTCTTTGCATTATTATGTTTTGATACCTGTGTCAAAAAATGATTGGCAATGAGTGAGGAACTATATTACAAGGCATTCGAATCCTTTCGCCGCTATCTCCCATAATCGTCAAGACTAGATAGACTGAATAATATAACTAGAGATTAAGTTGAAAGATTTTATCACAAGTTTAAAAATGTTTCAGTGGTTTTCAATCAAAATTTCTTCTAGTATATATATATGTTTTTCGTTGATGATGAAAGATTTTCATGACTCCATGATAATCTTGTATGAAATGTAACCATATTCTGTTTAAGGATTCCTCGCTTCTGTCAAGAGAATATATCTTAGATATGTTACACATATGAATTTAATCTTAGAGAAGAAATTGGTAACGAAAGAGTGGCTCAACCAGTTTTGCAGAAACAGTAAATGAGCCACCAATTTATGGTTACAGTTTCACTTATGAGTAGTTTTCACATCTATTAAAATATATCTAAAAATCTACTAAGCTGGCCCAATTGCTTTATCACTGGTAAATTCAATTATCAAAGACTATTCTGGTTTTCTGTTGAATATCTCAGTAATAAAGTGCTACTTCGAGTTTGAACTTTAAAGATATTTACGTAGGATGTATTCTATACTGAGGTTTATATACTATAAAGCAACAGCCGATTGTGATCATCGCTTACTATTGAATATCAATCGTTCTGATTATTGGTTGATTAAAACATTCTTACCTGTTTAATCATACCAATATTGTTTGGTTTGATCGAGAAAGAAAGTGTAGCTGATCGGTGGATACATCGAATAGATGAGATAGATTCATATCGTTTCGAAATGTGGCCACAAGAGACGAAGATGGGAGCTCGAAGAGATAACACTCGACTTATTGCCATTTATACAAAATTGTATCGTTTAATTTCGTTCTTTTTTTAAATCTATAAATGATAAATTATAATAACGTGTCAGCTGCGATCGTGACGTGTCATATGAACTGATTTCAGCGTTCTGTTGATAATTTTATTGACCATGTACAAAATCGAAAACTTAGACCTCGTCAACATATTCATTTTTCTTTAGAAAAAACGAATTTTTGTTAATTTTCAATATTTGCTTCAAAAAAGAAAGATTGCTATTTTATGAGAGCAAGGCAATTGTAAGGATGAATTTAATGAATCTAATTAAGAGATGTATCTCAGTTGACTGTCAAGATATTTCTACGTTTATAAAATATTAATTTATGAAAACACATCTGCTGTGTGGTCATTTTGACGAACAAAAGTATTAAGGATTCTTTTTAAATTCTTTGCAATATGCTTCTCTTCGGAAAGATTACAATAAAGTCAAAATTATTTTTACATCATAAAAAGTTGTTGACATTGATCTATTGTTTTTTTAAACTTTTCTAAACACCAAGGTGCTCACAAATAATTCAATTGGAAACAATAGGATCTATTTAAAATTCAGACAGCTGCAGAAACTACTATTAATACTAATATAATCAAAAATGGCTATTGGAAGGACAGCATCTCTTCTAGAGTTTTTTCTACTTATGACACAAGAGTTTATAAGTAAATATAGCGTTATATATTGGGTGCTATGTGTTAGATTTACAAGACATCTATAAAGCTTTTGATGAAATTTTTTGGTCTAATTTCATCTGTTTTCTATTGCAATGCGCGAGATAGTTAGTGAACAAATTCTCATCAGAACAATTGACAACGACATAACTTACCTTCACTCCTTCGTTTCATCAAGAATCGCGATGACAATTTCGATTATTGTGAATCAATGGCGGAATCACAATGAACATGTCAGGTGATACTCAGTTTGCATCTTTTTGACACTTTCTTCTTTTTCCCTTTTCAAGGAGACCATAGCAAGAAACAACACACCCTCTACTATGATAGAACGGGGTCGACAGAGTTACGTAAATAACTTTATATGTGCATTATCTTCCGGTACTTTCTTTCGTTCTTTTTTCTTGCTTTCTATTTCTTCCTTGCGTTCTTTTTTTCTTGCTTTCCTTTATCATTTTCACTTCATTTTTTTCTTTTCTTTCATCTGACAGTGTTACCCTTCTCTGCACAGCATAGATGAACACCAGTTATGTTTAGTAAATTACATTAAGCATTAATCTTGGTGGTATTGCAAAGTCTACATATGTAAATTGCACATCAGCAGTCTTATTAGAGCAGACTATTTATGGCTCAAATACCGAGAGCTCACACATTTTGCATAAAGTAGAATACTCAACGACATTTACAGCTGATTGCTTATAGATTGGTAAAGGGGTGCGTCAGTAATGCCAGCAAGGAGTTCCATCGCTCCTTTCTAATACTATAATTTTATCTAAACCAATCTAGTTTTAATCAATTTTATTTTAAACCGTTAAATTAATTATAATCATAATATTTCTGTATAGGGAAAATAGTCGTTTAAATGTTAAGGAAATTCTGGTCGGTATGCATAGAATTGGTCGAAAGAAAAAAATGTCGAAAGTGCTATCAATCGAGTTTGAGCATACGCTATCCATTTAAAAGTACAACGATGGATACTCCTACATATTGTCCATATAGCATTGTTGAAAAACTGGGTTTAAACTCTATCTATAGCATTTTCGACATTTTTTACTTTCGACGTTTTTTCTTTCGACCAATTTTATACCATTCCGAATAAATATGACATTGACATTTTTTTGCCTTTGGGAAATAATCAACACAAGAGATAATCTCACTATGTTTAAAAATTTCTGTATGTTTTTTGAATCTCTTCATTTGGCTTTAACTCAATTTGATTATTAAAATAAATTGATGAATGAATATTAAATGGTAATATGTTCAATCGTGGCATATTATAAATAATATTTACCTTCATCTCGTTACCATCAACAAAAGCTTCTCTTTCACAAAAAAGATACAAATAAAGTTTTTCTAAATTTGACATTCGATGTAAAAGCGGCATAATTAAATCACCATAAGCATACGTTTCCCTATTACAGTAAAGCGAAAAGCATTTTAAATTAGGTAGTTTTGTGTAAAAAACAAGATTTTAGATTCTTCTTAATAAATTAGATATTAATTAAAAAATAATCTACCGTATTATCAATTATTATATTTCGATACTGAATGTGATCAACATTAACATGAAGTGTATGAAGTTGATTGAAACGTCCATTACATAGATAAAGAATATCGGTAAAATATTTCGCCCCAACATGTAATTCTATTTCGAAATGAGTGCAGAAAAAGCAATGTCATCTTCACAGTCACTCCCCTACGTAGTCGCTACGAACACGAAAATATTTGTCTTGGTTGTAGAAGTAAGTTGAAAGCAATATTCTCGTCATATACTTCAACACTCATTAGTGATCATGATTCAAAAAAGCTTCGAAGAAGTTACGCAGGAGTCTTAATGCATATCTGCAGCAATTCAAATGTGTAGCTATATCTAAGTGAGAGATTGATTGAATTTGTAGAAGTTGAGAAAATTGCATAATTACTCAAATCTATCTAACTATTTTAGACCAGTATTGATAGAAGAAAAACCGTAGATGTTGTAAAACTATGGCGTACAGACTTTCTCATCACTTTCACTCATTCATCACCCATACTCACTCACACCCTCACTTTGAGATATTAATAAGGCTCGAAAATTCTTTCTTTATTTTATATCTTTTTTTATGAAGACCAGCCAAATCGGCTGATCAATCCTAAAATATTTGCATCAAAAGATAACGTATCTGTAAACCGTCTGCACTATGCAATGTTCTTGATTGCCAGTTTTGTTTAATCAATCAGGTTCGAAATTTGTTATTATAGTAGGTTGAATACGACTAGTTTTCATTGATCGAATTGCGTTAAAACAAAACGTGAGACGCTGAATTAGAATTTGGCGAAACAATTTGCTTGTTAAAGTGTTAACAAAGAAGCTCTTGCTAAAAATTGATGCATGTACATAACGAAACTCGATATTTGCCAAAATAGCTTTTCGATAGCATAGCGCTCGGGACTTCTGATAGTTTAGACTGATATCGCTACATATGAGTAGTAGACTGTACGAATGTTGAACAATATTGAACTGGCCAACGCTTGCATAAACATCATCACAATCATTTGATTATCTTTACGACTCTGTGTTTGACGCAATTGATGCTCATTTTGTCCGCATATTCGTCGACGACACACTCACGTGACAGTATATGAACAAACTACATAAGATCATGCTACTCTGTGGTATCACATTTGTCCAGAATATGCTATAAAACAAGAGACAATGGCGGTATTTATCACGTTTTGCAGAACATGTTGGTTCGAGATGAAAACAGTAAAGCAGATGCACATCCTCAAGACTATGAAGAAGGATTGGAGTGAAGGTCATGCAATGAGCCATTCTAATTTTACTAAACGAGCGACGAGTTGCATTTTGCGATGTTGATAAGCATCGATCTAGAACAGCCAACAAGAGAAACCAGTTGATATGCGTGGCAGTGCCTATGTTAAAAATATTCGTATTTTACAGTAGACAGCTGATGTGTTCTCCACCTTACTTTCATAATGATCCTTCGCTAGTTTTGAAACGAGACCAAAGTTCAGGTAGGCAAAATCGAATATAGGTAGTTGACAGCAAAAAATACCATCCACATGAGTGTTGTCGTAGTTGTTTGGTTGTAAATGCAATGAAATACAGCACACATCCAACATTTCCCAAAATGAGTATTTTAAATGAAGCATGAAGAATTATTTTATTTATGAGCGCATGGGCGAAGTGAATATTCATTCTCACTCGTTTACAAATTTAATTGTGTTAAAATGAATTTCAAGATCTTTATAAGACCTCAAGTAAATAACATCAGTAACCTTGCCAAAGGTTTTAATCTATCGGAAAAGCTTGTATTGAGAACTATACTTTTATTGTGGTTCAGTTCACATGGCATGCTATTATAAATAGATAACTAAAACGGTACAGACTAGGGGTGGCACTTTAATTTTAAGCTTTTACAAAAAAGTGAATAAAGTTTAAAGTCTACTTTAAACTTTAATTTTTAAAGTAAAGTTAAAGTGCCACCCCTAGTACAGACGAAAGACACAATAATGTAAAGTATTGCTTATCCTTAAGCCCGCTCAGAATTTTCTCGTTGGCGCTTCACTCATGTTCTAGCGCATATGACTAGCGTATAAATATGAACGGTGGGCATAGTATGACATTTTTCAGTTAGTGACAAAGGTATCATGTTCCTGGAAAAATAAAAAATATTTCTTGGCATGTATCTTTCGTTTTTGCTCCTACCATCATTATGTCGTAAACAGAATCAGTAGTTTCGAAACAGTTGAATATAGAGAAAAATGAAGATAGTCTATTTTAGAAAAACGAGAAATTTTTCAATATCATAGTTTGTGCAGCCCACCCAATCAATGTTCATCTATGATCAAGAGAAAAAGAAGTAAATCTACGATGAAATTCGAATGAGTGTTGATGATGTAGAACATTACACAAATCGATTGCAAAAAATGCACAAAATTTTTGAAGAACTGGTTCGACTACAATACTTTGATTCAATATGCCGAAGATTCCACTCACTACTATTCACTTATCAGGCAACCTTGTTTGTTTATTAGCTGAAAAAATGTAATCCAATTGCAAAGAATTTAACGACGATCTTTCATGATATGAATGAATATAATAAATCTAAGAATTTCAATCAATACTTTGTAAAAATTTTCAGATTTATCTACGAAAACATTTGGAAAAGACTCGTTAAATTTTTCCAATCATAATGTCTGTGGATACTTTAAACTCTACTAGAATTTTATCAAGCTCTACGATTATGCGCTCATGTTCAATTCTTGAAGAGGCACTTTCAAATATTGATTTTGACAGTTGTTTGCCTCTCGTTGAAACAAGTTTTATCCTTTTTGCAATTTTGAGTATTGAATTACTCATTCTCATATTTCTGAAAAATATATTGTTGATTAATTTACTTGTTCGAAATAGATCCGATGAAGCTCTTATTTTCTATACTCAAACTCTTTTGATTTCAGTAATAAGATATCAGCTAGTTTCACTCAATTTACTCGAAATATAATACGCATAGCAACTGAAAAAAGAATAATTAAAGTGTCAAAAGCCAGTCAGCATGAATAGAATCCGCCACACTGTAAAGAAGTCACTAAGAAAATGAGAATGGTCATTAAAATGATGCTTAAAAATGAAATAATTAATGATCTTACAAGCCGATAGGAATAATCCCGTTGTAATTTTATATCCACTGTTTTTACACTTTCTTAGTAGCCATAGAATAAAATGAATATTGCTCACGCTATGCGTATCGACAATTATATTATTTTTCTAAAATTCAAAAGGACTACTGTTTGGTAAAAGTCATAATATAAAACTCTTTGCAACTAAATAAATAAAATTATTTAAACACCGACTATGACATTAAGCGGGGCTGCCAAGTGTTCAGGTCCCAAATGGGGTACACTGATTTTGAAATGGAGTACACGTCGAATGCAACTCAGTTGTAAATGGGGTACACTCGTGGGGTACGCAGTTTACATCTTTCACGCTGCTCATCAGCGACAGAAACCAGTTTCGAAAACTACTTTCAATCTTGAAAGGGCATTCTCAGTTTTTCTTTTTACTATAAAGACTAGCTTTCAAATTGAAATCTTTATTTTCTAATAAATATGTTCACAATAAAATTTCATTTTGACATACATATATTCAATTCAATCATAATAAAACAATGCTTACTCAGAGCGAACCTTCTCGATTTATATTTACACTAGCTGTTGCACGCTTTTTTTCGAAACTGTATTTTTGTTGACTTTTGGCACACTTTATTAGTTGCGGTTGTGTTTGAGCAAAAGAAAAAACATCTTCGCATGCCATAGTACTATTCAATCTGATTTTCAATTCAGCAGCTATCGTTTCATTCATCATCGAATTGCGACTGGCTGTTCATACGCTTTTCATATGACTAAAAACGCCTTCGACAGATGCATTCGAGCAAGGAATTGAGTACACATAAGAAATCATTTTGTGCATTACAACCACAATATGGATGATAGTAGTCGTAACATTGAAAAATGCAGATGGGATACAAAATGCGTACCCCAAAGGTACAATTTTTTTTTTTGAGGTACAAAAGGCTCAAATGGAGTACGGCTGGTAGCCCTGGCATTAAGCCAAGTACGTACTTAATTCAATATTTTAGAAAAAATGAAGTAGGGGACATCATTTACTATGACACTAAATGCCTATATGACGAGAGTATGAAAGAAAAACCCCGTTTAACAAAACTGGTTAGTGATTTCCTAGGTCTATAGGAATTGAACGACGCGTGGCTTTCTTATCATTCATCAATATCAATACAACAAGAAGGATATTTACTTCTCTAGTGATTTAAACCAGTTTATCAGCAAGTTGAAGTTTATCCTAATTGTCGTTTTCAGTACGAGTATTATATTTCTGCTAGCTGTGGAGTATAAATGATAATAGGTTTTTGTTGGTAATAACAATACTGTTTGTCCGTCAACACTCGTCTGCTATCTTTTAGATTCTGATGAACTAAATTACCGCTAAACAGATGAATCCCATGGCAACTATTACCAAAACGTAAGGTTCTTCAAATTTTTTGAATGAGGGTAGGGTGTGGGTGTAAATTCGTAATGCATGTAGAAGATTCACATACTCCCAGGTCGAACAGTCGGGCCTGAAAACGACCGGTTCCAGTTAGTTCCGTTGATCTTGTGGAAGCAGTATTCCTGTTGGAAAATTTTCCGATGATTTCCGATTAATTTCTGCCGGAAAAGTCCGAACGTATTTTTGACCGGAATACTGCTTCCATGTTCCAGCGATTTCCCGTGTTTTCCTGCAGGATATGATGACTTTCCCGCATATTCCCTGGAGTATCCTACGGGATCCGATGGCCGGAATGTTCTACTTGGGCTCACTCATACCGACATAAATATGACTACATTGAACGATACAGCTGATTTATATAGAAGATGTTAATAGTTGAGCATACAAAATGCATTATGCTTATTTTCTCTTTCTTCATGCTTCCTTACACGATCTTAACTTGTATATAATGATAAGGGTAATCATTTTCTCGATATAGAGGGTTTTTGAAGACGAAAAAAAAATATCAAATTCTACTTATCACGCTTTCCTTTTCCTTTTCTTTAAGAGCTATGAATCATATTTACTTTCTTATTTATTTGCATTTTTCGCCCATTTTCTTTCTTTTCTTTTCTATATGTGTATACGAGTTGCAGTTTATAAAAACAAGAATCTACAGCACGTGGTCATATTGCATCATTAAATTGAATCACTTCCGAATTAGAAAAAGTACAGTTCAACCTAATAGTTGGCTAGTTGGTATATATGGCAAAGATTTTCACTGGAAATGAACGTTACATTTACAAATAAAGATATTTCGAAAATTCTTAATGAATTTTATCAATTAGTTCGCCATGGCAGATTGACTGAGATCGAAGCGTACCTTCATAAGAAGCCTGATGCGTACCATATGTTTTTGGTAACCGGCGTATTACATGACGAATCCTTCAGTCTACTTATGTTGGCCGCTCTTAATGGGCACGATGGAGTAGTACGTCTCATTCTTAATCGTACGCTAGCCGACAGGAAAAACATTGAACAAGAAGGATGCGTGCGCGACATGAAGGGATATTTAACAAAAAATGTAACTGCATTGTGGTGTGCACTCGATCGTAGACATTTTCGTGTGGCACGGACGCTGATAGATCTTGGTGGTGCTGATATCAATCATGGTCCACGATTTTCATTATTCGTTAATGCTATCATGAGACGACGGTTCGATATTGTATATTATCTGGTCGAGAATGGCTATGCTGATGTTAACCAATCAGTGGTAAATGGTAATTACAATATCAGCAGTCTCTTTTTATGTGCAATCAGGGGTCTTACAGAAATTGCTGCCTATCTTATAGCGAGAGGGGCTAACATAGATTATCAGACACCCACGTCTCACTTAACACCATTGTTTGCTGCTGCTAGATGTGGCCATTTCGCAATAGTCCATTTACTTGTATCAAAAGGTGCTTCTTCTAACGTCAAAACTAGTTCTGATATTACACCATTAATGGTTGCAGCTAAACATGATCACTTAAATACGGTAGAATTTTTACTTCGATATCATCATGATGAAACAACATTCGATGATCTAGAATTGACAGCTTCAGTTTTCATGCTTACAAACGGCGATGATCTACGTCCCAGAGCAGAAAAAATGATCAATTTGTTGCGCATTTCACTCCGTGCTCGTATACTATTTAATAGGCCGAAGATTGTTTCTCAAGCAATACCGGCCTATGATAACCAGCGCGAATGCCAATATGAGAGTGAACTAGATCAAATTGCACACGATAATGGTCGTCTCTATGTTGAGGCACTCTTGATCAGAGAACGCATTCTTCTACCTCGAAAAGATGCAGAGTTATTTCAGCCATTACTCGAACATGCTATCGTGCTAGCTGAGCGAGCCGAGTTTGACTTGTGTCTAAATCTGATGATACACACATTTTATCTATACCAACAAATGGAACTTTGCACTGGTCTTCATCGTTTTGTATGGATGTTTTGTAGAATGTTAGGTGCAAATATGCCAATTAATCCCACTCGATTTTTGGAGGTATGTCGTCTGGTATTCGAGCCATCGCAACAGAATACTAACGAAGTCAATATGGTGAATACTGTATACCTAGTGGCTATTGCAGCAAAGGTATGATTCGATTATTACATTAAAAAGCGAATATTTAAATCTAACTGTAGAAATATTTTTCAATAGAGATAACTATTAATTGTGAAATTGAAAGGCGAGTTATTTCCGTATTCTTCAGAAACGTCGAGATCTTTGTGTAACAGAACGGTTCATTATCAGTGAAGCATTTAGTGATAAAATGGAGACTGATTTTGTTTTCATTTTCTTTTTCTTACATATGTTAATCTAATAACGACTATAGTTTGCATCTTTCCATTCATGAGAACCAATTTCATGGCGCTCTAGACAGCAATTCTATGTGAAGTTCACTGAAAATCATTCTATTTAGCTGGATATCAAGAGTGATTGCATTCATATATATCCCTCTAAGAAAATAGTACTAAATAAAAACATATTCTTACAAGTTTATCCTATTGAACTCCGTACATTAGCAAATGCAAAGATGTATGATATGCTCATGTTTGAAGCTCCCATAAAACATTTCTTTGATTATGAAAGCCGTTAAAGTCTTCGATAATTTGCTGTCTTTCCCTTTTGATAGCTTGATCAGGTAGATGATGAAAATTATAGGTGCCTCGCAAACGATTCAAGAAGTAAAACTGCCAGCTACTAAGCTAAATGATTTGAAATAAATGTGGAAACTTCGGATTTCATCCGAGAGCTCTGTGTACTGCAAAAAAGTGCATGCGACATATGAGTCATTCTAGAATGTCTGAACACCAACATTATCATGAGAAACTAGGCAATTTGATTTCTGGATGCAGTTTTAGTGCATTTTGAGACGTTTTTTAGGCGATGTTTCGTTAGAAAGCTACGGTTTAGCTCAAAACTAATATCAGATTCGGAATCAGCGTTAAAAACTGAGTCGATTTATATATGTTGTAGGTAATTCTGAGAAAAAAAAGGTTTTTTTGAAAAATCCCTGTACCCCTCCTCAGGAATGGTCTGATGAAAAATGACAATTTTTTTGCTAACTCAGCCATTTCTTGACGGATCCTTCTCATCTTCGAACTCGACCTAGATATTGATGAGACAATTCTGTGCACAAAATTTCAGCTCAATCGAATATAATTGTGAAGAGTTATCGAATAAACGGACGGACAGACGGACACACTGGCCGATTCTAGTGTACTCTTTTTTTTTTTTTGAGTACACAAAAAAGATCGTTACGCATAACCATCTAACATGTTTAGTTGCAGATAATCGTTTTCTTATGTGTAGTCGCATCAACATTTGATCATCCTGAAATTTCATTGGAATGAAAGCCTTTATTTTGGAATAAAAAGTTTTGTCTCGAACATTGCATATTTCACTCACACTTGGCTTGAAAAACAAATACGAAAAGTGCTATAAAGTCGATGATACAGTAATCATAGTGCATTAGCTTGAGATTTAAAATGTGTTGCGAATGGATTAAAAACTGAATTGTATTCTTCAATTTTCTCAAGAGTGCCAATTCCTAAAAACTCTACTATAGTATATGGTGCGACTCTAATCTACAAAATATGGTTCTCGACTATACTGAGAACACGGTTCCGCGAGAAAAAGCAAGCGTTGGTTGACACTAGAAAGTTGTCTTATTTATTTCCCTCGTCTTTTTCTAATAATGTCTTTTCCATGAGTCCTCCTCCTTTTTACATGTGTATATCTTCAAAAGACATATGCACTGTAGAAACCTAAAAGAAATATCTGAGTTGAACGATATGCCTTTGTATTAACTCAAAAACCTCCTCTACTATTCAGTATTGATCTTGATAGAAAAAGACGAAATCCCGTTTTGAATATCATGAAAAAAGAGGAATTTATGCAAGTCATTCGGAACAGTTTGACTCTGTACGAATTTCGATTCAGTGTATACCTCAATCCTTCAATCATAAAATGACCCGACTTGAATGATATTGATAAATGCCTATATGAATAAATTGAGTAGTATGTGTGTATTATAATCTATCTTGAATTTTAGGTTCTCGAACAAACAGCATTGTGTAATCAAGATCGTCATTCAATTATACAATGGATTAGAGATTTGTCTCGAGAGCAACGTCGAACAGAAAAACAAGAAACCTTATTGCATTTGACCGTTGATATTCAGACATATTGGAATATTGATTATCGAGCTGCAGAAGTTAGACGTGTGTTAAAGTAAGTAAGCTTCAGTGAAAACTTCCTTGCACAAAGCGAATGAAATGTTTGCAACCAAAAAACAAATCAGTATCGGACTATTGATCAATATCGTTTCTATTGTTGATCTGATGATCAACATTGAAAACGAACGATTAGGTGTATCCGGTTTTCTTAAGGTTTACCATAGTTTATTTTATTGAATAATATTTTTCTGCATTTTTAGATTTCCAAATTTGGCTGCTACTCGACTTCTTGTTTGTTATGGGATGCGATGGATCGATTTAGATGCTGTTGATCAAGTGCAACGTAATACAGCTCTGCATAATATTTCCCAGAGTTGGATGTATGATGATAGTAAAGACAAAAAATCTATCATCGAACTGTTGATCAATGCAGGAGCTCATATAGATTTTGTCAATGCCAATGGTTATACACCTATCGACGTAGCTACCGATGATGAAACTCGCACTCTACTACGATCGAAACAGGTATTCCCTCGACTTAAGTGTCTTTGTGCCCGTGCTATTTCTGATGAACGGATAGCATTCGATGGTCTGTGGCCAATGTCAACACCAATGCATACATTTCTACGTTTGCATGGTGGCTTCAAAAGAAAACGTTCCGTGTCAGATCATAGTAGCATTTCGCGGGATCAAATTAATTAAATTGTGTGATGATGCGCGTAGCTAAACAGAATCTTGTTTCAAATAATGAAAATATCAAATCTATGGTAATCACTACCTGTTATTGATCTGCCAAATGTTTTATAACAAAAATACAGATTTATTAGACATATTCTTTGATTTAATCAAGAAATAAAACCTATCTACATTATATTTTTCACGTTACTGAAAAATCGATAAATGTTGTTAATAAAAATGATACGTCATTGAATTTTCTTCTTTCAACATGCTGCCATCCTTACAGTAATCATTATGAAAATTTATTTTGTTCAGTGCAATGAAGTAGTAGCGATGGACCTGTAAAAATGACTTATCAGTTGCATGTGCACATGATGTATATCATTTAAGTTCAATTATTTCTTAGGTATCAAGAATGCTAAGATTACAATTTAACATGAGTTTTCAAAATTTGGACGTACAAAGTACGATCCATTCGAATGCATGTATTTTTCGAGCAAGGTCATTATTTCTTACAATGAATTATCATGAAACTTACGTAAGTATCGATTCTTAGAACAAATCCTGTTATGTAAGTATTTTATTCAGCTTTAAAGTGCATTATAGGACTCATTAAAGTATGAGGTTACAAAAATTAGTGTCATCTGTCGTTAGCAATGGTGATTTTTACACATATTGGAATTCACATTTACCCTCAGGGAATTCATGTAAACAGTAAAACCTGAAGTTGTTTTTTGGATGTCGCCTATGATGTATTCAGCAGAGAGAAAAAACATTGTTCAATAGAAAATCTTCCTTGTGTAACTATGAATAATATAATATATGTGAATAAACCGTCACAGCAGTAATTCACTTCACAACATATATACTCATATAATGACTATAGGCTCTATTCTCATTAAATTTCCTATCAATACGTCTTGTTAACACTATGCTTTCCTCAGTATTCAACGTAATGGCATATTCAGAATGTAGATATGATTATAGGAAATGCTTTCTTTCATTTGCACAGCTTCAGAAGCTTTATGCAATATTTGCCACACTTAAAATTAGCCAAACAAGATTTTCACCTGAGGAAAATATTTATTTTATAGAATATGATCAATATACAATGAGAAATATTCCATATATAGTTTTACTTAAATGCTGTGATAAAAGTTCTTCACCAATCAATAAAGAATTTGATAACATCAAGTGTATGGTCGAGTGAACGCCGACGCTCTTCCTCATTAGCACCCAAACTCAAATTAAGTTCAGTCACATCGAGTGAAACAAGTTTGTTGTATTCAGTTACTGCTTTAATCAATTCTTTGACATGTGAACATTTAATTCCACCATCAGCTGTAGTCCCAGTGCTAGTGATTTCGGTGCTAGGATCTGTGGAGTCTACGTCCCATGAGATATGAACTGTCTTTCCTTCTCCGATAAAGTTCTTTACGAACTCCCGTACGTGGAATTCACTATCTGTTGCCAGTTGTGCCGGCGTAACTGTGCAAATATTCAGTTTTGCAATTGTTTCTATTTCGAATGGATCGAGATCTCGAATACCAATGTAAGCCAAATGCTGGTGATTGAGATGAACGGTCATAGGAAAAGCATTATCTTTATCTATTCCTAAAATGAAAGATAATGGCATCCCATGAAAATTTCCCGATGGTGACGAAGCTCTCGTATTCAAATCAGCATGTGCATCAATCCAGATTACTAGAGAATCCTTTGGATAAGCCGTCAGAAAGGCAGATACAGTACCAAGACCCATAGAATGATCGCCACCAATATTCAGTGTCTTGTCATTCTCACGCAGCGATTGAAGAACCAATTCTCGAAGAGCTAAATTAACTTCAAAAACATGTTTCTCTTTATGGGAATCGTCTTGCATTTTGTTTAAGTTGCGAATCTTGGGAGAATCATAGATGCGCACGCTTTTTGATTCTTTCTGAGCTATGGCAGATATACTTTCCAACAAACAATCTGGTCTAAATACATTATAAAGACAATATTAAAGTAAGCTGCTACATTTTTCTTTCTAGCAATATTCACGTCTGATCAACACCATCTTTACGTTGACCAAGTTTGCATGGATATTGTACGATTCCAATGGCTGATTTTGTCACTGGCAACATATTTTAATGATACCAAAATTAAAGATATGTCGATCAATAAAGATATCAAAGTAGAAATTCTCAAATCGTTTTTAGCATTTCAATTTAGTAGCATACTTTGTATTTATATTTGCATGGAAGCGATCGGGATAGTGACTCATCCAGTAAATTATACGAAACCTTGTGCTTCTTATGCGCAATAGCATATTTCTCTCTCACAGCTTTCATAGTCGTGTGTAGGTGACTATTGCGTTCATTAATTGATTTTTTTAAGTCACCTATATTGAAGAACAAGAAACGACAGTAGCAACGAAAACTCAAGAACATGCAAGCTGAAATAGAAGCAAAAAATTATATAGATCTGAATGGTCCTATTAGTCAAATCAAACGAAAACTAGCACATGACAAATATGCAAACATTTTTTCTTGCGATTCTGTTTTTTTTATTGGCTATTTATAATAGCTATACACCATTATGAAACATTGAAAGCACTATTTTACGCAGTTGAGAGATTTGATGTAAAGCGTATGACAGGAAAAGTAAATAGTACTTAGAAAAACAGGGGGTGTGGCTGTGGATGTTTTCATTTTCTTTTCTATGCATACGCACGAAGTGAAAGACGAAATTGTCCTAATCATGCCATTCAGTTGGCAATATTGTTGAATTTTCACGAAAGTGCCGCATTGATAATTAATAATAGCTATTCTATTGTTCTTTTTTCACCAGAATTACGCCAATACTATATCTGCTAGAGTTGCAATGTATATGTCCTAGACTGAAAGCATAGGGTCCAGAAAAAGAAATTCGCAGTTATCTGTCTTTAACATTTTCTACAAATCATTTTAGCCCAATTAGATGTTTTTTTTAGAGTTTAGCGAAAGTTCAATTAAGTATCAACTAAGGAGGTATAGAGATATTTGACATACCTATATATAGATAAATTAATCTTTGAGTACACCATGAATGATCTATATTTTTAATGCTCACATAATATTCATAATCATTGAAGACTATTTGCAGTGCAAATTAGATCGGAGAGTTTCCTTTTTTAAATGGTATGCGCATCATTCTAGCAAGTTATTCTCTGTCCGTCGTGGCACAAATACTTGTGCAATTGCTCTGTGTTTATGCAAAATCTCATTTGTTGTTTGCATCCATTATGAATCATCGATTAGCTACATAAAAGGTTGTTAGTGTGTATGCAGTTGTGAATGACTATGAAATTTACTGCGATACTAACTACTTTAATAGTGACTTGATTAATTTATCCCATCTAACTTGGTAACCATCTGAGTTGGTAACCAACTGACTTCGTAACCAAGTCAATTATATCTGTTGTCTTGTTCAAACAGATGCCAATAGGTGTAGACGTGGGTGTGGGTGTGGGTTATCAATTCAGATGATTACCAAGTCAGATGGGGTTAATTAATCAAGTCACTATTAAAGTAGTTAGTTAGGATAAAATTCTATATCTTGAATGGATCAAATTTGATTCGATATTTTTCGGTCAAGATTTTTATTCGACGAAGTTGGAGTCGGCGGAAATAATAGTCGGCGAAAATAAAATTGGGCGAAGCTGTACTAATTCGAGAATGGCTGGAAATGCCAGGGAATGCCCGAATGAGTTTTTCTCCCCTTGAATATAACTGTCGATGAATATCTCGTTTGTACTAAAGTTACATCTTTTTTTGAAAGTCATAATTTAAAAGATTAAATATAAATTGTTACAATCATTTGGATTCAACTTTACCAATGAAAAAAATGAACAATTATTTAGTCTCATGTAATGAAATGTAAAGAAAAACAGTACATGCATTAAGCTTCTTAAAAATACACCTCACTTGAAATTTCATGTGATGAATGAAAATTTCTCTATTTTACTTTGCAAAATTTATGCCGTAACTATCTTCTTTATGAACAACTGGAAATTCTTTTGTTGTAAAAATAATAAAGTTTTGCTAAATAATTTTACATGATGTAGATCAGAATTTCTGATGATTCGCGAATTTATTGTTGATGAAGACTATCGTCCAGGACGATGATTCCTGTAACAGTATTCCATGAATTTCCGGCGAAAAACCGCAGGAAACTCGCCGTTTTCTGCGAGAACCCACCAGGAAATACCAGGAATTCCACGCAGAAATCCTGCAACCGTATCCGGCTGCCAGCTTTGACAGGTTCCTGTCGGTTCCGCGCGGAACCGGATAAATCCAGTCATCGAATCCGTTCACCGGAATACTGCTACCATGAAATCTCCAGAATACCACAGAACCGGCAGTTTCCGTGCCGGATTGCTCGACCTGGGCGATAATGAAACCAACTGATTCACAGATATGTTTACATGATCATTTTTGGATTTTATATGTATGTGTGCTTCCTTAGCTATATTTGTTTTTTTGTAAGATTTAGTACTAATCTAGACTCAATGCATTCTAAAATTCAACTGCTATCATCCAATATTTCGCTACAAAATCATAGCATAAGAAGTTTCCTACAAAGGAATGGAATATATTTGAAATAAATCATTTTATCACAAGTTCATTCGGCCGCTTATTGCCATACTATGTATTGTGATTAATGTGAGAATAGAGTCAAGAAAACTATATCAGCCCAGTATCGGTAATGGAACGACTTCACTCAATATAATAATTCACATACCTGTATATATGTACTCGAGAAAGCGCATCCTGGACAACTAAGACCACATATGTATGCATTGTAATCAACGAAAGTTATTCTCAAACATAAATACAACATATCATTCATGTTTCACCAGGTATACATTTTTATTACAAGCTGAGAAGAAATTAAATAAATAAGAAATAAATTAAATAGATATAGGAGAACATATTTTTGCACAAAAACAAATCAGAAGACCAATGTTGATTCGAAACGATAAATATTTATATACGCTACAATATGTTTGCATATGCATCGATTTATTTTGTTTTCTTCATACGACGTAATTGAATATAGGTTAGAGTTAGAAAACCCAACATAATACCAGCTAAAGCTACAAAATTCTTCCATAAATCCCATTCTGATGTATATTCAATTTTTTGATCTTTCAAAATTGTTTTGCCATCAAGTGGACAAATATTTGTATTATTTTTTAAACAAAGTTGCAAACCACTAAATTCATTAATACTGAATATGTTTGTTGAATATCGAAATATACTAATCCATTTGATCCATGAAAGAAATATCACAACTGAGTCGACTTCGACCAAATATCCACTAAATACTAATGTTAATACACAAAACATAGCTGCAACGACGTTGGCAACTCCTATGTAAATGATTGAAAAATAGACTCGAATTTTAGAAGAGAAAAATTGCTTACCAAATACCTCCACACTAGCAGAAACAACAAAACACAATGAAGATGAGCAGAGTGTAGTAGCCAAAATTCCAAAGAAGAAAATAAAATATTTTGCAGCTGTTTGTTGAAAACCTATCGAGAAATAGGCAATCACCGAGAAAAGAACTGATGGAATCGTTCGTAATGGAATAATATCGCAGATTAATTTTGATATGAAATAAGTTGATACATGATAGTAACCACTGGCATTCTCATGTTGAAATAATTGACGTTCTCTAATAAAAATATCGAGTGCCGATAGACTGCTGAATACTTGATTAGTAGCAATGAAAAAAATGGCACCAATACGATTTTTTAATCCAGTATCCATTGATCGATCTGTATTCATGTAGATTAAACCAATCAATATTCCTAAAAATACTGACATAATCGTCTGTACACCGATGAGACCCGGATTTCGAAATGCATTCCGAAGTGTTCGTTGTGATACATAGAAAATTTCATGTAGACGTGATTTATCTGGCAATCGATCTTTAAGGCGCATAACGATTGATGAATCATTGCATAAAGAATTCATGCTATCGATTTGTTTTTTCATATTAGTATAGATGGATGATTGAACATAGAAGTTATGTAAATCTTGAGCCAATTGACTTTTATTTTTATCTGGTTTGTTCGTGTCTGACAATTCGGTCGATAGTAATGCTGATCGATAATCACCTTGACATATGTCGAGAATAAAATCAGCCGGATTGTCGTGTTGTTCACAAGTGAAACCGATAGATGTGAAAAATTGAAGAACATCATTAGCTGGACCATGATAAATGCAATGACCAGCAGCAATCACAAAGAGAGTATCGAACAATTTGAATATTGAATAACGAGGTTGATGAATCGAGAAAATGATTGTACCTTTAGGAAAGAAGATAAAAATCAATATAATTTTATGAACAGGTAAGAAACACACGTCCTGATCGAGATAATTGATGAAGATATTCCATGATATTGCGAGCTGTTGATGAATCGAGACCTGCACAGAATGTGTAAATAAAATCGTACATAAGTATATCGGGAGATCATTAAAAAAATGGCAGTACATAAACTATGAAGTATTTTCTTACAATCAAAACACTTCATAGAAACCTAACATAAGTATGTCGTTAGGAAAGATTGTACTTTTGAAAAACAATTTATCTAAAGAAATTTAGCTTTCTTCGTTAATCAATCTATTATTTTGATATATTCGAAAACGAATTTCTCGAAGTTATTTATTTCATAGCATCTTGAAGACTGCTATCTTTCTAATGCAACAACTACAAATTTATGTATAGTCTTCAAGGACAATCAACTTTATAGGTTTATAGATTTGCATTATTTACCTGTCGTTGGTTCATCTAAGAAGAGAACATTGGGTGAAAGAACAAGTTCCATTCCAATATTTGTTCGTTTTCGTTCTCCGCCTGATATGCCACGTTTAAATTCAGTGCCAACAACTGAGTTTGCACACTTTTCTAATCCTAATTGTACAATAACTTCATCGACAATTTGATTTTTTTCACTGGAAGATAATTTTGTTGATAATCTGACATTAGCTGAAAACATTAAATTTTCTTTCACGGTCAAATTTCCACTAACGACATCATCTTGAACAACATAACCAACTTGATATTTGAAATCAGATGCTTGTGGTTCTCCATTTATTAAGACCTGTCCTTCGAGACCTTGTCGATCTTTTCTATCGGCTAAAATATCCAATAAAGATGATTTGCCACTTCCTGTCGATCCCAATATGGCATTCATGCCTTGTTTAAAAATTCCACTCATATTATTAAGTATATATTGTTGTTTCTTTTTTAAACATGGCATTGGTAGGATATTACAGCATTGCTGTGATTTTAATGTATAGTTTAATGAATGAAAACTTATGACAGGTCTCTGGTGGTGTCCATCGTTATCGGAAGTTAATTTTGTTAACATTTGACCACTTTCTACGCCTATGGATAACGATTGGCTGTTCGAATTTCTAAAGATAGACATGCTAAAAGACAAGAAGGAACACAGATTCTAATGTGTTTGCAACTTGACAAAAAATAAAGATCGACGACCTGAATTTTATAACAATTCTTATTTCTATTTTTTAAAATCTTTTCAACAACGTCAAAGCACCATGCCATTTCTTTTATCAGATGTAGGAACTTAACCCACGAGAGAAACATTGCCAGTACTTTTCTCTATTCTACAAAATCCATTGAATTGACTTCCACAATTTATATTGTCTCTTTTTTTCTCAAATAGAAAAATTTACCTATTATTGCAAAGTTATTAATGTAATCCTATCAGTCTTCGTTTATTGTTTATGTATCAGAAATGTATTCGATATTTAGAAGGATTGTTCTATATACCCTGTTCGGAAAACTACCATTAGGTGCTTTCGTGAAAGGATTTTTAATCATTTTTATCAATGAAAACCATGCATTACTATTGTAGTAAAAAGAAAAATTCAACAAATCATTATTGAATTCAAATTCAGACTAAAACTAATTCTACTGTAAAGTCGAACAGACAATTTTGTGGATAAAAAAAAATAGATTACAAAACTCCTAGACGATGAAATGTAACTACGAAAAAGGTTATTTTTCATGAAACCTTAATGTGTTTTTCTCACACTAGTTAGTATGCAGCGAAAACGAATTAGAGTCAAAAAATTCTTTTCCATAATGCAATTTATTGCATAGTCAAGTAGGCTAAAAAGATGCCATTTTTCTGGTATATGATGGAACCGAAGAACAAAGAATTCCGTGGGTCTAAATCGGAAGCAACAGATGTCCTTGCATGCACACACATGCGCACTTTCTCCTCGAAGAGCATCGAGATAGATAAATAGATTATCAAAATCTCGTGTTCATCATTTTCATTTCAAAGTTCATTTTGCGGCCGATAAGAAAATTTTAGCACAATTGTTTTCGGCAAGTAATAATAATAATATCTATCTGTAGAATCGATTTCACAGTTGTGGTTTTTTTTTATCAAAACTATCTTGTTAGTCAAGCTATTGAACATTGACTTTTGTTTTGGTTGTAAAAGCGAAAAAAAAGAAACTTCTATGGAAATTGACGCTTAAAAAAGAATCATTAACGCTCATTTTTTTCCACATGTTTTTGCCATTACAATGAGTTAATATTATTCTTTCATTTTTATTTAAAAAAATATATTCTATAAGCGTCGAAGGGACTAGTTTTGATCTAAAAACTGTATAAAGGGATTTAAAAAATAATGCTGTTGAAATGAAAAATATAATAATAATCATAGCAAATGGCAACCCATGAATGCAATCATGAAAATCGACTAGTATACATTTCGACGATGATTATTCATTTGCATAGATTAACAATTCACTTGGTTGACTTTCTCACACTTGATATCCTCTATTGAAAATAAAAATTCTAACTTTATTTTCAAACGAGAAAAAAGAACATACGATTGCCTGCATTTTATTTAATGTTGCCAAATGATTTAATGTCGTTGTTTCATAACGAGAAACTAGATTGATTGGAATGTTATCTGGTCGTATGGGAAGAGTTCTTGAGCTACTCATTGATGAACTATCGTGATAGGTTGTTGGATCATCGGGTTTTTTTTCGTTCAATGGCATCGATCGTATTCCTAAATTGTTTAATTTATTACTTGCTTTGCTTCAGCAAACTATTGTTTACCTATGCCCATCGTCATTCGTTGACGCTGTGGATGGTGTTGATATGATTCAGTAATACGTTTTGGATTCTATTTAATTTTAACAAAACAAAAATAGCATAGTCATTGTCAATTGAATAATAACACGTACTATTGTTGGAGCCGGTGCTGGCACGGGTCGTATATCGAGAATGGAACGATTTTGTAGATTAACTACAGTTGATGACTTTGGTCGACTGACACATCGTGGCGCGCCTAATATACGTTCATTTACTTTAAAATAAGCTTTCTTTGTATCATTCTGTTTATGTTCTTTTTTCATTCATTAGAACTTACAATGTGTAGAAACTCGATTGGTAACAAAACTATTAAGTTGTTGTCGACCATCTTCACTTCGAATTTCGACTGTTGTTCGACTTATATCCAATTCGCCTTCAATATCAATAACTCCTTGAGGAGGATTATCCTAGACACGAGAAAATTATTTTTTTAGAAGAAATTGATTATTAAATATTCTCGTACTTCATCAACACGTGATACTGATGTGAGCACAGGATACAAAGCTGTTGAGAGATTCGCTGAATTACCCACTGATTCACGTTCAATACCTTCAATGAAAATAAAAAGATAAATAGAATAAATTTATCTAATAAATTTCATTATAGTAACTAGATATTTCAAATTAGTAAATGTTATTTAGGAGGTTTACACAGTAATTTCAATTGTCTAATCTAGAAACAATTAAATATTAATGTATGAGTCTATTGGATACAATCGATTTAAAGGGGGAAACAAGCTGAAACTAGTCAAACTGCACACCTCGAACATATTGCATTGGAAATAAGGCTGAAAATACATGCATACATATGATATATTGTAATAATGATAATAATAAAAAGGAACGAATTCAGATATTTTATTAGTTTCCAGAATACTTACTATTAAGTCGTCGAAGCAAATAAGTAGCAGTAAAAGCATCCCGAGGTTCGTTAACTAAACGCATTTCATTGGTTATATTGTTTTGACGAGAAGACATAGAAGAATAGCGAATAGAGTATTCTAGAATTCAGATGAAACTCCGGTTAGTAGGATGCTTGAAAAGAATCTTTTTTTTTAAAAGAAGTTCATTCATCTTTCAATCGAGATCGTAAGTACCTTGCTCATATGTTATCTTTGTTGATGATTGCTGTGATGGAAAAAGAGAAGAAGCAGTTAGTATAAAATCATCATCTGAAAGTTGTTGGGATAATCTGTTTTTCTCTTGCTTGTTTAGGATCATGTCACGGGTTAAAATTTTGTAATATTCCGCCTAGAAGACGAAGAAGAAGAAGAAGCAAGCTTTACTTTCACACACACAGAGACAAGTAAACTATATAACCAGTATGTTAATTATTAGATAATATCTAACCCACCTCTCCCATAAATAGTGGTGAATGTATACTATAAATTAAGATGAACGACAAAAATCCCTAGAATCCTCTCATTTTATTGATACCTGTGATCGCTGCGCTTTTTCATCAGTAGGCGTCAGTCGATTGATAGAATTATTCGTTTTTGCTAATGCTGGCCATCGACTTGATCGAGCAGTTGTTTCGCTTGACACATCGTGTCGACTGGAATCATTCGTATCAGTTCCTCTATTAACCAATGTCGTTGCTGCTGTTTTAGCTGTATCATCAACCTAATTAATCGGAAGACAATTTAAATTAATGGACTAATAAAAAGAATAATAATACTAAGAAGAAGAAATATATATAACAGATCATTCAAAGTAAATCAAAAAGAAGATGAAATGCATTTGAGCAATAGTACATAATCTTATGTAATCCTGACAGTGAAAATCATGCATAGAATTTTCAGATACTAAAACCAAAATAGAAGCAAAGAAGCAGCTAATCTAGCATTTATTTTTATAGATATAAAAAAGTACCGACGCAATTTCTTCCATACGAGGAATTTGAGCGCTTAAACATGCAAAACACGGAGAAACAAAATAAGTTTCAGACCGACAGCGTTTTCTTTGCCGTGGTCGTTGCTGACTTTTTTCAAGCATAATCTGAAAAATTTTTCATCGTCAAATTTTCATTGAGAAGCGATCAAAAAGCACCATGCGTTAGATACTAACCTGGTCGGTACTATCATTATTATCAGTTGTTAGAATATTAGTTTCTAATAAATCCTTGAAAAAAAACGGAAAAGATCCTAGCATATAGATATCCTAATGAATGATATTAATAAGATATATTTTCTATTTAAGCAAGTTTAAGTTAGTATGATGAAACTTACAATTGTTGGAAAACGGATATTACGAGACTTAGATAAGGGCAGGCCAACAGGTTTGTTCTGATCACAAATACAACATCGATTAACTATTTACAACATTTACAGATAGTTACTTTTTCAGCATTGTCTTTATCTATCTCTTCTTTCCTCTTGGAATCTTTGGAGGCTTTTGTATTGGAACGCTTCTTTCTCGTTTTTTTCAATCGAACCTTAAAATAAAAAGGATTCATGTAATTACTACTAACTAGACTTTTCTATCTGACAAATTTATTACTTTAGCAGCAGCAATAATTTCCAAATGTTTTGGTAGACCATCATCAATTGACGAATCTGAACCTCCATCATCACTAAAAAAAAGAATACAGAATAGTCCATTTCATGATGAATTCTTCTTCTTGATGTTTATACCTTGAGTCATCGTCAGATGACCATTGATCTATATCAATGTCATCTACTGATGTTGCATTTATACCACGCGAAAGAAGTTTCATTTGAATGCTACGTCGTAAATTATCTTCCAATTCATTCAATAGTCGATCACGCTAAAAAATATATCAGATATCAACAATTATGATCCTATAATTAAAGCAATACATAAGGAACAATGAATATAAAACAACATCAAAGGAAAGATTACACAACGAACGTTGAAGGAACGAAGACATATTATACATAAATATGTACTCAAAGTACGAAAGTTTTATTCATTCGACGTTGAAATTAATAATGATTCTGATTGACGTATATTCAAAGAATTATTTATTAATCAAACAATTGAAAAAGATATTTGCAGGAAACTTACCTTGGTATGATCTGGATCACAATAATCAAGTAGAGAATCAAGAAAGTGATAACCGATGGATTCAAGATCTCTTGTGTTAAATTGATGACCGGCTCGGTCACGTTGTGTTGATCCACAAAAAGTAGCCTAGAATTTTCATCTTTAATCAAACATCATATCAGTTAAAATATAAGAATTAAACCTCTAATGTATAACTATTTAGAATACCCATCGCCCACATTACTATACGTCCAGTTCCTTCTTTATTTTTTTGTACTTTAAATTTACATGAATAATATGCGAACTAAAAATAAAGAGAAATTTCAAGACGTAACAAAAACAATAATAATGATGAATAATAAAAAACAAACTTTAGCTGGATCATTTTTTGATAGCATTGCAGGAAAAATTCTTTCTTTTAATCGTTCATTCGGTAGATGCTTATTTTCACAACCATAAACAAAAACATTCTGTTTTCTTGAATGTCCATGAAAATCACAATAAAGAATAAGTTCTGTTTCACTCATAAATCTAAAAATACAAAAGAATTAACTTTTATTCATTTACATGGTTTCAAACCTTTTTATCATTTCTCTCGTATGCCAAATAGATGGATAGGCATCTTTTAATATTGTTTTATAATTTCTATTTAAATCTCGTCCAGATAGAGAACAACGATAATTACCGACAATAACGCCATCGGGATTAAGCATTGGAACAATTTTAAAAATAAAATTATCTCGAAGAAGCTGAAAAGAGAAAAATACAAGACATAATAAATTATTTTAAAAATTAATTTTCATACTTTTGCATCTTCTGAATCATTAAGCAAAAAATCTAATAAGCCTTTCATCATCCATGATGCATTTGTTTCACCGGGATGAACACGCGCAGTAACAACAACACCTTTTTTAACTTGTTGCTCAGGTGATGTACACATATTTAATGGATTTGATGTTGGACTTGTTATTGTTAGCATATAAACAAAATTGCCAGCTAATGTTCGACAAAGAACTTTTTGTTTACAATATTCACTTTTTACACGATCATTTTGAATCTCATTTAAATAATCCTAATAATTAAAAATTACAAATAAGAAATGTTTCCTTTGTCTAATTACTTGTAAATCTGAATAGGTATATGGATAGCAATGAGCAAAATAATATGTATCATTATCATTAGGAAATTTACACGTCCAAGTAAGTGAATACATATTTGACGAGGGATTATCAGGAGCACTAGAAAAAAAAGCATTTCAGAGCGAAATTTTCAATCGATTTACATATATAATATTCATACGTTAGATTGTTTTTATAATAGACTATTTCTTCGCCCCATCTGCGCCAACCAATGCCTTTATCGTCGGCATCAGATACACTATACATCAAAGGTTTCATACCATTATTATAGAGACTTGTTGGCTAGAGAATAATCAACTAATAATAATGAATCGAAATAAAAATGATAAGAAATACTTTGAAAAAATTAACGATGGTGAAACGATATCTTTTATTAGCTCGAATGTTTTGTAAACGAAAATAAAACCATTGTGTATTACGTTTGGTATACAAATCATATCGAAGATAGAGCTCATATTCATATTCACCACTGCAAATGAAACAATAGCAAAATTTTATGAATCATATTTCTTTAACTTACACTTGAACGGCTTTCATCAAATTTCCACTTTCAAAACGAGACTCAAATAGTACAGTTGTATCTTCGGAATTGCGTATTATTACACCTGCTTGTCTACAACCATCTCTATTACCACCAATACGAGATCGCATGAACTATTTGTTACGATAGATATATGTATGTATGTCGCAAAAGAAAAATCCAATCATATAACTTACATAACCACATGTTTCTGGGCTGTAATTAAAAACAACACGGCCATTATTCTCATCAAAACTACGAACAAAAGGTGTATGACTAGGAGCTAACACAAATGAGTTATCATAAACAAAATATTCTCAATACAAATGAAAAAGAACGAACTTGGTTTATAAAACAGTTCTGGGCATTTCGGTGGTGCATTAATATGTTTAATACGTGATTCAGTTAAAACTTCAATTTCAATTGGCCATCTGGGTTCAAATGAATTGTCGTCATTTTGACCTCGTAAATTATATGAAACTCGATTTTGTCGAATAGGCTATAAAAAAGAAATACTCAGAAAGTATGTATAATTAACAACTTAATATTCATTGCATTCTTTTATAAACTTACAAGTCTTCGATCAGGAACGAATGGTTTGCCTTTATATTCTAAATAAATCGTGTTATTCAATTTTGATTATTGAAAAATTTTAATTAAGAAAAGAAAAACATTTCTTTTTCCTGTGTCTGTCATCTATATCATCATGCATCAAGTAAAAGCACTTTTAACTAATTTGAAAATTCATATTAAGTTGATTAATAATAATGATTTTATAAATCCTATAAATACATGGATGTATACTAAAACATCAATATATTATAGGACAACAAAAACAAAAACGATAATTTCTATGTCGAATATATAGATAGAGTGCAAAATACATGACCCACCAGAATTCTCCTGCGGAGATCGACGATCACTATTTACTGGAAGAGAAAATATATATGTGTGTATATTTCACTCGTTATATGAATTGATTGAAAAAAATTTACTGAATCCAATAATTTTTAAAATATTAAATTTACAACTTACTTGTTGGTTCGTCATCACCATAACTCGAATCAGAGTCGCTGGATGATGATATAAGTTGTGATTTCGATGGAACAAAACCATATTTTTTAACAATTTCACTTCGACCTTGACAAACAAATAAAATAACCAAGGTCAATTGATGCATTTAATAAGACAAGTCCTACCAGTAAAATAACCATAGTGCTGTAGATGTTTTCGCATAAAACTATCATATGGGCTCTTTAAAAGAAAACATCATATTAACAAGAAGATAGAAGAAATTAAACATCATACAGATATGAGAGAATAATTTGATTCACCCAGCTCCATGACTTTGTCGATTTCAGATCAATATGTCTTTCTATTTACTATTAATATAATAAATACACGAGAAGCTCTAAAGAGAAGAAAAAGTGAGGGGTACGAGTTCAGAAAACAGCACAACGAACATCTATAGCAACAACTTGTTTCTTGTTAAGTAACAATCTTGATGCACAATTTCTTAACGCGTAATTCAGTAAAATATCAAGAACGCTTATTTTTAAAAGTGTCTTTCTTCAAGCGAAAAAAAAACAAACTCTTAATGCGACACAAAATTGTTTTTTTTGTTAACAGAACAACAATTTTACCTAAACTTCGCTGTTTTTTCTTCTTTCTTAACAATACATTTTTTCGTTTGTTTATTTAAATTTTTTTCTTAAATCAACATAAGATCATTTTCTTTCAATAAAGGTTTCATATATTATGCAACATTCTTTTCTACTAACTTGATAAACTAAACGCATATCAATCACTATGTGAAAAGTGAGCCGCAAAGATATAATATATCAACTCATGATGAACACTCATCATAAATTGAGCTCATAACTAGTCCAAGTCAAACATTTATTTTAGATCGTTTTCAAAATCATTTAAATTTAACTTTGCTTATCCATTGTTCATTTAATATTGAAAATTCATAAGAAATATTAAGATTCTCATTTTTAAATGCGGTTTTAGTTCTTTTTATCCGATGATAAGTTCACATTCTTTACGCTTTCTTTTCCATAGCAACGATTGACCAATGAACGATGAATAACGGAATTCTCATCTATTAGAATCTCGAATTGGCAATTTAAAAAATGTATTATAGATAGAAGAAATGAAGATATGGAAAAGCTGAAAAACTTTTTCATACAAAAAAATTAGCGACATCACTATTAAACTTGATACGTTGCAAGTAGCGTTTAAGACTAGTTTTTCGATTGATTGATACGAATATTTTTCGAATTTAATGAACAGGATTTATTCAAGCAAGAAATCGATCTATTTTAGGTTATAATCAAATTTCCGTATGACTAATTTAAATAAAGCAAATGATCAAATGCTCAATGAACTTCTCAATGATGTAAATATAATCTTATTAGAATATTGAAATTATATCATTAGTTCTATGTTAACATGTTTGAATAGGATGCGGATCTTGATGAGTACGGTGAATGGACAGATGAAGCATTAACTCGTGCTACTTCAAATAAAAGAGCCGATGGTGAAGAAGAATATGGTCAGATCAAATTGCGTAAACCAATTGATATGGAAACTTTATGTTCAAGTAAAGGTCAAATATTGGAACTTGATCAAAATGAATTGGACCCAGCTGAATTAGCACGAATAGCCACACAAATGGCAATGGACGATACTAAAGAAAATCAACAGAATGATACTGATCAATATATAAATAATGAACTTAAAACAAGAATACCAACAAGAGATTTATTTAGTCAAAGATTAATTGATAATACACAAGATTTTGATGATCAAGTTCGATTTTTCGCTCGCGTTTTTTTGTTCTTTAATCTTATTCTGTTTTGTTTTCGATTAGCTTGGCGGTATGCAACATTTAATTAAAACTAATGGTGATGATGGTACACCGTTGAATGGTGTACCAAGTAGTGAAGCTGCAGGTGGAATCTGGAAACAAATTATTTATGGCGGTGTTGGAGAGATGCCACCGCTTGGTTCAACTGTACGTATTCATTATAATGCATATTTCGAACTCAACGATGAACCATATGATAGTACAGTAAGTTTTTATTTTATTAAATGTTAATTCATTCATTCATAGATTTAGTATATAAGACGGCGACCATGTGAATTTCAATTAGGAAAATTTAATGTTCTACCAGGTTTAGATCTTGCTGTCCGAACAATGCAAAAACGAGAAAGAGCTAAATTTATTATGAGCAGTGATTTACTTTATGGTGAACATGGTATGTATTTTAAGTACTCCTAATTGACATCGAGTTTTACTATTCTACTTTATTTATTTTTTTTCATTTATCTATAGGTTGTCCACCACGTATTCCACCAAAGGCCTGGTCTTTGTTTATTGTTGAATTAATATCATGGATTGATAGTACCATAGTTGAAAAATTAGATAAATTAAAAATAAGTGATGATGAAGTAACCGACGATTTCGATGAACGTATACGTATTGTACAAACATTACGCGATATGGGAAATGTAATATAAGAGTTTGACGCACAAAAAAACCTATTTCATCTTAGATTCTATATTAAGGATGAATATGCTAAACAGAATCTTGAACGAGCTATTCGTTATTATGCAAAAGGAAAACAATTTTTAATTAAAACTAAAACTAATGATGAACATCAAAGTGCCCAATACAAAGAGCTTTTACTTAAACTTTATCTAAATTCAGGTACAACCACAAGCACAGTTTTAAGAATTTTTAATTGAATTTCACTGTTGTTCATTCGTATGTTGATTGAGAAATTGATCATTGTTATAATGGAACTTACCTGAAGACTAGATATTTTATATCCCTTTCATTTCACCAGTAGTAATCTTCATCAGAATCTGATCGAAAAAAATATTGACCTATTTCCTAAATCCACAATTCACAATTTTTCGAGTCATCTCTTATGCATTATGTTCTTCTTAACACTGTGAATCTTAAATAATTTGATTATATTCTTTATTTCAATTTGAAATCAAATATTGCTACGATATCCGAAAATCTTTCTCACTATACTTCTTATACGAATCACAACAATATTATGAAAAAACAAGAATTCTGGATATTTTCGAAATTCAAAATTTGCTTTTCATAAGTGTTTTTCTTTGACATGACGATTAAGAAATGTTGCTAGAAATAAATCTATTGAAGCATTTATTTATTTATTTATTTATTTATTTAAGCTCAATGTTATCTCAAGTTACGCAAGTATGAACGTACAATTAAAAATAGTAATGAAGCATTACAATTAGATTCTAAAAGTATCAAAGCTTTATTTCGAATAAGTATTGCCTATCGTTCATTGCATCAATTTGATCAAGCACGTACTTATCTCAACACAGCAATCAATATTGAACCATACAATGCCGAAATAATTGATGAAGCTCAACGACTTGATCGTGCTATTGAACAGCAAAAGAAAAATGAACAAAAATTATATTATAGAATGTTTAATAAGCAATAACTGTTTTTGTCAGATGATTTGTTTGTTTTTAAATAAAACTAACATATGAAATAAGAAATTATCGATTATTCTTCTTTACTCGATCGTGTAAATTCACATCTATTGATTGAATGAGAGCTATTACAGAATGATTGTTTTTACATACGAAAACTTTCATGACATCTTAAGAAGTCCGAATATAGTATCTATGATATTAAAAGAAATATAAAAAACTATGAATATGATATCTTCCTAATTATGTTTACACTGAATCAAATAAAAATAAACATCATTCACGTATTTCATAGCTATTTAAATTCAAAAAAGCTTCTATAAGTGAAGCAATTCTTTACACTACATACAGTACTAGGGACGAGTGAAAAAAGTAATAGCTCGTTACACGGTGATGATTTCACTGGCTTACGAATAAAAAGTTAAAATTCGATATTCTGATTCGATAGTTGATTTCGGTTCACGGAATTTCTACTATTACTGCGCAGAAGCTAACTGCATATCATTCACAGGGCTGCCGCCAATAAATGCATTATAATCATCATGGTTTGTTGCCTGTATTGCATGATTATTTCTTAATATACAAGACCCATTGGCTTGAACTGTAGCAACGAAACAAACCTTTGCCAAAATCTATTATCTATCGTCAAATAAATTATACTAAGCAAGAATATCCTGAAGTCATCAAGATCAAGGAAGTCGTTTACTGAGACAGTGGAGTTCACGACATTTGAAGGAGATCGACCCGTATTGAAAGAATTGATGAGTAAAACATACGAATATATAAAAAAAGAAGAGACACCAAATATACTCGTCCAAATGAAATAAAAACTATTCATCATAGATAGAATACACTAAAACGCTATGAATATTGTTGCTGTTGTATTGTTCGTTTAAATCATAATCGCATCAAATCGCAGGATGTCAAACAAGATAATTTGATTTGCGATTAACAACATAAAACAACTCAAGTGTTATCTGTATATTTAATTTGCGGTAAATGTATTTTTCTCTGTAGATAGATATAATCATACGTTAAGAGTTTTGAAATGTACATAGACGTGCGTGTGCATGCCCTTGAATATCAAGGTTTCTTATCAATCATAATCATCGAATGAAGTATATTATTTCAAATGTGTGAGATATCACTTTTTCCTCAATAAATTGTTTATTATTGATACAGATTGTCATGTAATAAAATAGTTTTTCATTTCTATGATTTTACTTCTATATTTATTGGACAATGTATCATTTTTATACATGAATAACTATTTTCTTTGTTAAATGATAACAACATAGACTCTTTGTAGTTTATAATCATGTATAATAAAGTGTCTAAATCACACGTCTATGTTCTGAATTTTTTAATGCGTCATAAAAATGATATTTGTAATTTAAATTTTTCACTTTGAAGGATAAGAAGAAGAAAAAAAAGATATTGAACTTAGTTCATCTATTAATCTTATTGTTTGCATACGTACTCACAAATATCGATATTCTGGTTTTTTTCCTCTTCTTTCACACTCTGATATATAGAACATCTATTTGCATTATACCATCGTCGCTGTTGTTCTCTCTCTCTCTCTCTCTTCCGCTCGCTCGCTTGCTCTAGTTCGCTCTCTACAGAGAATATTAAAATACATTTTCGTATCATCATTTATATTAAAGTAAGTTTTTAGACAGAAATTTATTTTTCATTGAACCCTTCGTTTTTTTTCATGCTGATAAAAAAAAACATAAGATGATCTTTAAAGACATTGAGACTATAGTTCACCTTGATATGTCGCACTTATTCATTCATATATATATATATATCATTATCTTCGTTTCACCAATATTTCGTCCTATGATCATGTCACTGATGTGCAACTCGAGCTGTTTCAAGGTTATTCTTTTGGCGCAGATACATGTATATATATATATATATGCATCCATATTGTATAATAATGTTCTTCTTTCGTTTTTTTTTCTTGAGACTTTGCATTAACATATGAGAGATTTTCGATAACCTTCGAGTTCAATTTATGTATATGTACATGTTGTATTTGTGTATACGAACCAGTTGTATAAGCAAGTGAAGATGAGCCCTTGGTTTGGTCAGAACAGAAAAACGATGAGTCTCACACTCAAATGACGAGAACAGAGAATGAGTGATTTAACATGAAATTGACATTCATTTTTCAAGGTTTGTTTAGTTCAGTCTAAGCTTTTGCGCATGTGTATATGTATGAATGAAATAAACTAAAGTAGAGAACAGTATAGATTTATGTTTTATCATGATGCCACCATAGGAATGAAGATAAAGAAAAAAGGAATTCCAATCATTTTGAAGTAAGTAAGAGAAGTAAAGGAATTTCTCGTTTAACTTTGAACAATGAAGAGATAATTGAAAAGTAAATCTCTCACTTTATTTTTTTTTTAATATTCTCTTTGTTTGTTTTCCTTGTTAAATAGGCTTCTTGAGTTTGTTTAATCAAATATTAATTATACTTGCTCCATATTCATCTATGCATACAGAGAGATCAGATGAATTTGACAATTCGACACCAGACATACATGTATATCATCTCAAACAACCAATTCTTTTCTTTCGTTTTTTGTTGTTGATTCTTTCAATTACTTTCAACCCGCAAAAAAAGGAACACTTGACCGCATATTGTCTCTATTGATAGATAGATTGCATCAGTCGATCTAATTTGATTAGAATAGACGATAAGACGGCATTTTTTGGTTTGATGTCGAGACAATAAAAACATAGAAAAGCAACTGAGACGAAGGATGACTTTCCAACCCTATTAATGATAAGGTAGGGATTAGTCTTTTTTTTCAATCCTTGATCGTCTCTTTTTCTCTATGCATTGACATCGGTTGTGCATAATAGTTTATAATGAACTCTGCTACTCTGTAAATAAAAGAAGAAATTTAAAAAAATAATTCATAGAGTTCTATCCTATTCAATGTAAAATTAAAACTAGTGCATATTAGTACAAATAAGGGTCATTATTCGTACTTAGAAATTCATTTCAAACAAAAGAATATTTTGCTTCGTTAGTAACAACAGAATGATCAATGGTCTGTCTTTTCACAAGGCTATTTATGTTGTTAGTAAGATATTGAGACGCAATTGAAAAAGAGTAAGAGACCAGTGTGAATATCAAACTAGACAACGTTTAAGGACAAATCAATAGATGAAGAAAAAAAAGCGTTGTTCTCGCATTGAACAAAATTCTTACAGGACGTGCACTAGAGAGACAATTAACATTGACCAGTCATCATCATGAAGTCTTTTTTTTTTCTATCACACTAGATTGTTGAATGATCTACTTTATTGATGATATGCATATGACAGGCCGACACATTAATGTTAGATGTCCTGATGAGCGGCTTTAGTATGTTAATTGATTTTTGTTTTGTATCCCAATTCAGTGATATCTTAGATCAAAAGAGTAAAATGTACAATAGCGTGATTATTATCATTATTATCGTTCTTGTGCAATCGAAATAACAGTTGTATGGACCACAACAGGTGATATTATGAATAATGAATCATTTTTTCTTTTCTTTTCTTTTCTTTTCTTTTCTTGTCGTTCTCATTCCACTAGTCTACTAAGATGACATATTCTACTCTAACATCTTATCAGTACGTGTTCTCGTTCAATATTTATTATTATCATCCGCATCTTATTGATTACTTCTTCTTTTACTAGATTGAAGTGTGAGTATGAGAGACATACAAGCATGTGCTCTATAGGAAAATTTAGACATGTTGTTCTTGCTCGTCTGATAACTGTTATCATTGATTTTTGAATGAGACTGATGGAGATGATGTTATAGTCTGGTCATGTTCACATATATATATATATATTTTGTTTTGTCCACTACTAAATACATAGATATATTCTAGTTGACGATAAGTATGCGATACAGAACTATTTGTTCAATAGAAGCAAATGTTTTTTTCCTTTTTAGTAGCTCAATACTTAAAATAATATATTATATTTCTGTTTGATTTTTATTACCTATCGATACTTGTATTTTTTTTTCTTATATAATTGATATCTGGATTAGATATATACGAAGCCTAGTTTGATTGAATAGTAGTAGTACAAATTACAAGAAGCCCTTTCGTCTGTACAGACCTGTTCTTTCATACATACGTACGTATACTCAACCTATTCAATCATTGTTGTCAGTATCCTTTAATGGATTGTTTAAATTCATTATTTTATTCTTTTTGCTTATGTAATATGCATCTATATATTCGTTCCGGGCTATATTTCATACGTATACATGTATAGACTTCGTTATTTAATGAGTAGCAGCACTATGTGTATTGTATTGTTCTATATCGTATTTGTGTGTTCGCACACGACACCATTGTGCTCATGAATGAGAGAGGAAAGAATAATAAGTTTTATATATTTCGTTCCGGTTATACAATATCGACTACTGTTGTCGATCAGTAGCAAGTTAAAAAATATCAATCAACAATAACAAATGCTAGTATTAGTAGTAGTAGTAGTAGTAGTAGTGGCTCTACTTGTCGTTGAATTTCAATAGGTAATCAGAGCAAATACGGTTGATTGAATGTGTCAGTAAGAATGATTATTACGTACGTATCTAAAATGTGTGTTTATTCATGCACATTGTTCAAAATCATTGAATGTGCAAGATACGATAATCGAGAACCTTCAATTTTTTTCTTCTTCGATTGCAAGATAAAATTATGCATCGGTCTTTTCTTTTTCTGTTGTTCTTGAAAACATTTTGCTTCCGCTTGATGTAATAGTTATATATCATATATACTGACCATTTACTTAGTTCATTTCTTTCTCTTTCTTGACTTCATTGAATACGAAAATGGCCTTCTTTGAACAAACATTATCATAAAAAAAGAAAAAAATTCGACTTCAACAGAATGAGTTGCATAAGTTTATATCTCTTTTACTCAACCATTATAATCTTTTCATAAAATGTACATGACAAACATGTGGGCGTATATGTTGGTATTTGAAAAGTCATGTCATTAAATTTTCTGTAACGATCTACATGTGTCGCTTGATTCATTGTTCTTCAATATATACTACATGATTGATCTATACGTGTATAGAAGCAAACAGACAGACAGACTAATCGACTATCGGATGAATAGTTAATAAAATGGTATCGTTCATTTTAATTTTACATATCGTTTTATTTTTGATCGCTTCTTCTTCAGTTGTTGTGTAAGGAATATATAAATAGGCGTCTGATATCGAACTTCTCAATTTATATGTATTAACAAGTAGGTGTGAGATTCTGTTTATCCTCTGTTCTTCTTCTTTTACGGTGCTCATTTCTTAAGAGCACGACGCATCGCGAATAGTAACAATAAAACTATTATTCAAAAACGTGACTTATTCAAAATGAAATATAAATGAAGAGATAATTGCATAAAGACAACAAATGATCAGATTTCGATTAAACTTTTGACAATGGCATTGTCTTAACATATATCTATGAATCTATTTGTCCTTGTTTTCTGTTTATTGATTCATTCTTTTCTTCTTCTTTTAGATGTTAGGAAGAAACTCATTTTTTGTATGAGCCATCATAAAATTTCAATGTTTAAACGAGCATTTTTCCTGATATTGACGTTTTTTCTTATCATTATTAATAATGTTCAAACAACATCGAGTAAATTTGAATACAAAAAACAAAATATTTTTATTTATTTTTCAATATTAATGATTTTGTTTTAGCCATTAGACGAAATCATGAAACATTTCAATTACTTAAAGAAACTAAAGCAAAAGTAAAACATGGAGCACGTATGTATTATATTTAGAAAAATAAAACGTTTAAGAATTTTGATTTGATTTACATTCCGGTTTAGAATGTACTTCACCATCGAAATATTTTGCTGGTTCATGTTATACCTATGCAAATACAGTACCAGCTCCATCGTGGGAGCGAGCTTATAATAATTGTTTATCATCATCATCGACAATAAAAGATTCTAATTTATTAGCTATTGAATCAGTCGATGAATATAGATTTATTGAACGTGAACTGATTGGACTAAAATCAGGATCAGAAAGTGTTTCAGTATATATTGGATTACGTAAAATAAATAGTAAAATCTTTTTTTTTATTATTCAATTCGAAAGTCTATTGAAATATGCTGATTATTTTGTTTATTTTAGGTACATGGTTATGGTCTAATGATATACCATTGAAAGAAACGCCTGTTTATCGTTTTTGGGTTGATAATAATCGTGATATTCTTGCTTATGATTGTGGTATTATGTGGCTTGCAAAAAATACAAGTGTAATTACACCAGCACCATGCGTTGAGCAAGCTTTAAGACCTTATGTTTGTAAACAAAGTAAGTTTGATAGCTTATTTCAAAGTTTCGCAGGCTCAATTTTTTTTTTTTTTAGCAATTGATCGATGCCATAATCATCGTAGTAATTGTGGTAAATATGGAAAGTGCATGGATTTACCAATGAAAAATTCACATCAATGTCAATGTCGATTTTTCTATACAGGAGATCAATGTGAAAAATGTAATTTTGAAGAAAAAAGAAATCTAATTCCTATTATTATATGAAATAAAATTTATCGTTTAGGGAGTAATCAAGGCTTGCAAATTATTATTGGTAGTATCATTGCTTTGATCGCATTCATTATTTCGTATATCATCGATTGTGATGGGTCACATGATTCTTGGTCGTTTAAAAAATCGAATTGCGAACAATATCAAAGGTAAGTTGGTTTTTCAAGCTGCTTTTTGATAAAAAAAAGTGCATTTACTTCAAAATTTTCAATATCTGATAGGAAAAAATTCATGAAATTTTTCTACTCGATATAAACAATACATATTATATATCGATAATCTTTAATTTGAGCCAAAATTATCGTAGACGAAAACTGTAATAGTTACCATCGGATTGAAAATTTCTATATGATTGGAATTTTTATGTTACCATACAAATTAAGTGTTGTATTCAGTAGACTAATTTTTAAAAATTAAAAATTCATATTCAAACTTCTTTGAAAATTGATTTAGTTCAATGAAAAAATGTCGTACAGAAGTCAGAATGGTTTCACTTGATTGAGAATTATTTATTCTGTTACTCAGTTTAATCGGCAAGAGTTTTCTTTTTACAATAAATGAGCAGTAGAAAATTAGGATGATCATTACTCTAGCTCGTTCTATCAGTAAATACTATTACGAAAGAAGACTAAACTCTGTATGATGCATTGTTGAATCCATTGTAAATATATTTCAGTGCTCGGTTGCATGTTCGTAATCAATCTAATTTCAAAAGACAACCATCGAAGTCAGTCGGTCATATGGCTATCAATTCAAATTGTATTAATAGTTCTACACCGAAAACAAAACAACGTTGGTGTACTTCATCTTTTCCACTCGATGTATGTCAACGGCAATATTCATTTCCGACTAAAACTGGTAATCTTTTTCTTAAAGAAAAAAGATTTATTTTCATTATTTCATCGATAATATTAACAATTCTCATTTTTATCATAATAATTAATGCAAAATATTATATCAAAGAAATACTTACCCATTCAACACGGCTATTTCAATTTTGTATATTATACGAAAATAATTATTATCATAATTTATTAACATTACCTATCGCTTTCGTTATTACTCTATTAATAATAATTAATCAAACGCGCAAAGAATATTATCGATTAAATAAAGAAAAACTTTCTATTTATATTCCGATACCATTTAATCCATTTTCAAAAATAAATCGTTTTGATACAATGATTTTATGTGGCATCGTTAGTCATGAAATACTTGAAATTATTGAAGAACTCTTTTTAAAAACAACACAAATGAAATTACTTACGATGACTGGTCCATTATTTGATCTTATTCGACAAATAGGTCTTATTGTTATTGTTGGCTTACGTTATTATCCTGTTTATTCTGTTCTTGAAATATCTAATGATAATATTCTTTACTATGTATTATGCTCATTTTATATGTGGCTAGATTTAATTTTAAGAATATTTGAACAAGTTTTTTGTGTTCAAATTAATTCGTTGGTTCGAGCTTGGAAAAAGATAGAGCAATTAAAACATGATTTAGCTACAACAACAACAACAGCAGCAACAACAATGTTAATGTCAGAATATGAAAGTTTTCATTCAGAAGGCTCACGAGGCCATTTTCATAGATTGAGAGATCGACTATCATTTCGAGGAACGAAATTTATAGCAACAACCATCGGTTCAGTAGTTCAAGTAAGCGAATCAATTTTTTGGTTGTCAGCCGTTTAGTTATGTACACATTTTGATAGATCAAAATCGATTTTTGTGTTCGTAAATAAGTAGATTTCAATAAGACTAATTGTATTTAAAAATGCAGCATACATGCCATATAACAGCCAATAGAGTTACTAGATTTTCTTATATTTTTTTGGAAGAAAACAGAAGATATTTATCTTTACCATGAGATGAATATTCACCCTTATTTATCAGCCTCGAAGCTCATATTGCAGTAATAAGAAGTTCATTGTAAACTAGAAAAAACTCTAAAGTAGTTCATCCGTGTGAGTTTTTAAGCTCGTATTATGATTCATATGTATTGGGTAAAAGAATCTTTATTTTTTTTCTTGAGATATTGAGTTTACTTGAGAATTCAACATAGCGAGAAAAAAAAAGAAATGAAAAAATTCTATAAGCAAGCAAGTCTATTCACATAGCACATATTATGTTGAAATTTTGTTTTTTAACTTTCTAGCGAGTACCGAAAAATAAATATAAAATTCATTCAAATGATTATAAGTTGGCTACAGAAGTCAATGATAACGAATCATTCGAAATACTTTCAAGATCTGCTGCTGAAATCCTTTTGAGACTCCAATATAATTTTAAATGGTAGGCTTTAATCGAAGTCGTTAGATCACTAATAGTATACTGTATAGTTCTTACTAAAACTCAATGATATATGAAAAGCACCATAATCCCTGCGGACTACTTGAAGACGTGTGCTGGACAATGTTCAACGATTTATGAGCCATTTTCAGCTTATGCAGCAGTTACAAGTCATATTCAATAGTAATATATTTCGATTTATCTATACAATTTAAGCTTTTATTCGAGATATGACTTTATCGATCTAGTTGTTGTGAGAAGATTTAAATAGAATAAGTTTCATGTATGAATAACTGCTAATTTTGATAATCTATCATCATCAATTTAACAGATAATACATCTTTTTTTCTTTTAGCCATTTTCAATACATGAAGTATCGTCAATCCCTTATCATTCATTAAACTGGTCATCACTACATTTAAACATATCCATGTCTATTCATCATAATGACTCTCAATCGACATTCGATCAATTTGGTATTGATCGTTCTATTGTTTGTGTATTTAAATATGCACCTTACTATCTATGTTTGACATACATTTGTTGTCGATTAACATATCTTGTTATAATTAGTCTCTATCGAAGATTTGTCTCTTGTGACAATGCAAAAAATTCTCTTAAAAAACCGTTAAAGCACATTTATCATAAACCAATATATTCAGTCAATGAAATTCTATCCATTGAATATCTGTATGTTCGCCGTTTATTTGAAAAGTCATTCCAAAATTTAGGGAAAAAACATATTTCTCTTTTCAAAACATTGCTTCACAAAATCTATCGACCAAACAAATATTTTCATTATTCAAAACAAATATTAAATATGTATATGATTGCATTCATGTTAATATACTATTTAACATTTAATATTTTACAAAATGGCTTTAGTATTATTGATAAATTGTATAGCTTTGTGTTAATACCATTATTGATTCTTTATGATGAACTTGATTTACCTGAACCAAAACCAATAAATATGAAATATGAAATGATTTTCGCATGTATTTTAACAGCAATTATCTACTTTGTACAATTATTGTTCGGTATGAAAAATTATCAAAAACATATGCTTGATGCTTATCGAGGTGTATTTATTGATATTCCACCGAGATCTGCATTTAAAAATGTTCAATTAATGTTGAACAATATTCATTATCCTGGCTATTGTATTGCTCATCTTACTTGTGGATATATTATTATAGGGAACATACTTTTTTTTGTTTTAATTGCTTTACATGTTTTATTTAAGCATTTATTTCTTATTGAAGAAATTGCAAGAACACTTATACCGATACTTGTAATTTATTTAACAACATTTATTATACAATGGTTTTTATCAAAAACATTTTTCGTACAAAAGTAAGTCAATCAATAATATCCTGAAGATTTTTTATAGTTAGAAATTCTTGTCTATTGTTTCGAAAATTTTTCATAATACCTAAAGTAATTCATTTTATTTCTAGACTAAGATATGTCACGTATTATATAGGTCTTTAAAATGTTTTAGTTTTTTCGAATTTAGATTGTTTCTCGATTAGTTATTGTTTTACAACATGCTGAGACACTCATCGATGTCGAAGAATTAGTTGTCTCAAACCGAACGCAAGATTTTAATTACAATCTTTTCTGTGGTTTTAAAAGCAACATTCATTAATAGGAATAAGTTCTAGATAGATTAGAACTAGTCGATAGAAAGTGACAAGGGTCGATTTAATTTAATCATGAACATTTCTAACTGGTTAATTTGATAGCAGCTCGTACTTAGAATTCCTGATGATGTTTTTTATAGGAGGTTATTAGATTTAAAATCAGATATTCTACCTATCACAAAAGTAATCAAATAAAGCAATATGAATAACAAGAGCATGCTAAAAGGAATTCTTAGAGACACTATCATATGATCTACTATTAAAAAATTAATAACTTAGCTATATCATGCTTTAGTTTGTGAGAATCACGAATCAATATATTATTTTTTATCACATTAGTCTAACTCGTTAGTTTAGTTTCACTTTGCTCGTCAAGTAAAATAGTCTCATGATAATTAAAACTTCTGTAATTTTGCATGTCTCTAGTAGGATTAATCGGCTTGTAACAAATTAAAATGATTTAATTAATAGAATTTTTACCGTGGTACCTAATATAGATAGATAAAGCCCGACATGTGACTGTCTTGAAGTCAAAAATTGTTTTTTAATAAGTCAAATTAACACATATAAGTTCACAAGAGTACGACTCATTTGATATTTGTCCATTTTCTTATCTTCCGATTCCTTATCTGTTAGATGACTTATGTTTTTTCTTGCGAAGTACTCATAAGCAACAATTAATTAAATTGAAGATCTTGATAATGATCTTCTTTTTCAAAATTACTTTAGCGTAACATTATCAATATCTTTCATCGTGGATCTTTGCATACGAATAGTACACTTAAATTTAAAACTCGAAGCATACAACTTTTTATGAAGATTTTCTTCATTGACCTACGATAGATTAATGAAGTCTCATACTAAAGAGAAGAAAATAATGGACGAAAATTTTACATACTCTACCGTTCATGTCAACGTAGCTTCGTTATTATTTGTCTAAATTTGATGTATGATATTGAAACTATTTTAGGCATGGAAAAACGATTGCATTAAAAAATCTTCGAATCTATTTTGTATTTGCTTATTTCAATTTTTTCTTCGATTGTTTTCTTGGTATAATATCTTGTGTATTTCGTGTAACAAAAGCATGGATAACTAGTTTTTGTTTTTTACCTCGTTTGGACTATTCTATACTTGGACGGTCATTAGAAAAAATGGATTCTGGTTTTATATCTTATGCATCATTTATTCACATGGAATGCCTTCATACACATCCTGTACTTGTTTATTTTTGTTCAATTGTCGATGAACATATTAATAAACGTTATCAACATTTACGAGCATCAAAACGAGATATTTATTTATATACAAAACAACAACAGACTATATTTCGTTGGTGGTTAGCAATAACATTAAGTCGAAATAGAAAATTAATACAATATAGAAAATATCAATTTATGACAGTAGAACTGTCAAGAATAGATAGTTTTAATGAAATATTCGAAAAACAATTCTTAAAAAGCTACAGAATCAAAGCAAATAATCAAGAAAATATTCATTCGAATATGATTATTCGAAATCATACAACAACTTGTACAACATTATTACTTGATGTTGATGAACAAGATGATCGAAAACCATCATTTTAAATTCTTATCATCCTATGTCATGTTGTTTTGTCTTTCAGTCATATACTATTATTATTATTATTATTATTATTATTATTTGTTCAATGAGAACAGTTCCATCAAACATTTGTATGCGCTTTTGTTTTTTGTCTTTTAATCGCTGTTACTTGTAAAAAAAATAGTATTAAAACAGCATTGTATTTCTAGCTTATTTCTCTGCGTTCATTTTGAGAATGTATGTTCACGTGTCATATACCTTTGTAGTCTATTTTTTTGATAAAGAACAAGTTGAATAATAATTTGTTTGTACTTACGATTAGTATGCAAAATGTGTTTGAAACATAATGTGGAATCATCAATTTTGATTATAAAAGAGCAGTCTTTTAGCTTCATTCAATTTATGAGACAACATTCTCTATGTTATACATCTTGCTCAATTCAAAAAATAATCAATTTTAGAACGTTTCAGCAGAATAACAAAATTATTCTTTATTACACAAGGTTTTGTATTTTTGTTTCGATGTCAATTGCTCTATGTTTCAAAAACACCATTTACCAATTCATTCAAAGATGTACTGATCTCTTGATAATTGAACTTTCTTCTATTTCACATTCATCTTTTAATTTCTTTTTATGTTTTAAAGTATTTAATACACAACCCTTACTATCTTTGTCGTGACGTGTATGTTTTACTTACAGAGTGTGAAGATGCTTATCTATAGCATTTTCCATTATAAATATCAACGATGCTTTTGTATATTTCGATCGAAAAAAAGGCTTCAACGTCAATAAATCAAATTGAACTTCTTTAGAGAAGTTTTTATTAATTTTAAAATAAATCATTTCATAGAAAAAAAAAGACTAGTCATCATGTATGAAAACTACGACATCTATTTTATTTGTTTTGTCGTGTTGGACAAAGAACAATTTCTCGAATACAAACACGCTGTGGTTGTTGATATGCAAATAAAATCGAATTTGCTACATCTTCACTTTCCAACGGTTGACCCATGGTTTCTTTCCATTCCTTATAACCTTCAACGATATCTTTTGCTGTAGTATGCGATAAGAGTTCAGTTTCAACAACACCTGGTGCAATTATAATAAAACGAACATCAAACGATGCAGCTTCTTCACGAATTTGTTCTGTCAAAGCATGAACACTAGATTTTGTGCCACAATAAACAGAATGATTTGGATACGTTTTACGTCCTGCTACAGAACTAACATTCATGATGGTTCCACGACGACGTTGTTTCATTCCTGCTAAAACTACATGTATACCATTGAGAACACCCATAATATTTACTTGTACCATCCGTTCCCATTCTGTCGGATCTTGTGTATCAGCTAAACCTAATAGCATAACCCCAGCATTGTTGATCAGACAATCGACTGGACCAAATTTATTTTCTGCTTTTTCTACAGCTGCTTTGATCTCGTCTCGGTTTGTAACATCAACTTTTTCACAAATGGTATTCGGTAAGTTTAATGCCTCTAAACGATCTAGACGTCGAGCCAATAACAATAAAGGATGACCCGCTTGAGAAAAAACTTTTGCAGCGGCTTCACCGATTCCAGAACTCGCACCAGTGATAACAACTAAACTTTTATTCGACATTTTTCTCTATCTAAAATATTGTAAAGAATGATGTAGAATACGATCGCTATTGCTATCATTTATTTTACAACTTGTATATTGACATCGTGAATAGACAAAATAAAAAAAAACATCACACAAAGCCGCACTGCTGTTCGTTATCAAATAAATATATATCAACATAGAGTATCAAGTTGAGTCGATAGAAAGAAAGAAAAAAGAAGAAAAAATATATATTTAAATGCCTATATCACAAGATAAATAGAATAGGGACGACATCTGTACTCCTTTTGTAGCAACTACTTCATAAATATGAAAACAACACAGTTCAGCAAAAATAAGCTCGCGTATTGATTAGGAGTTATTGCAATTCCCAAGTACTCAATAAATTGAATATGGAGATCTTTGCAGAGTATTCATGTGTGAGTAGACGGACAGAATATTTTCTTCTAAACAAATACACACGTTTGTGATATAATTACATTGGCATCAATTGCATAATAGTTCGTGATAGGATTTTTTTTAGGTTTGTATTCCAATCGCTTAATTTCCTCATAGGCAATTGACTCTGCCAATGCGTTGATTTTTCTTGTAGGTTCATTTTTGTCGCACTAATTATTTTATACTAAAATACTTCAAGCTGAAATTTGTCTCGTGTTGACGGTTTTTTTGGTACCAACCTGAGAGAAAGATGTAGAAATGGAAAGTTTCCTAAAGATCATCTTTGACTGCATATTCATCGAATATAGCCAGTTATTGAACAAAATTTGATATTAGCTAGATCTGAAAGTTAGTAATCAATAATTCATTTGTTATCTTGAAAATAATTTACGTCTTTAGATTAACGATACATGATTCTCTTATGCAGTTTCCTGACTAATTGATAAAAAATTGTAGCTATCATGGATATTAAACAACATTATATTCGAAGTAACGGGTGTGGCAGAATAAATGACCGAATAGTATTTTGTCAATAACTTCTTCATTTTTCACTTTCTAGCCTTGAAATTTTTCGCAAAAGATCCGCCATTCAATGCTCTACAAGATCTGCATTAAGTGTATTTTTGTACAAAGCGAAATAGAAATACAAAAAAAAAATACTCAACATGTTCAAAAGAACCTACTTTCTAAGCTGTTTTAGAACATAACAAGCAACGCAACAAAAATCAAAATGTTTTTGAACATTTTCAAAGTTGCTCTTTCTTGTGACGTAGGTAAAATTTCTTTCGAATAAAATGAAAACCGAAAAATTTCATTTTTTAAAAATCCTATTCAAAATGCTTCAAATGTCATTTTGCTTCGCCAGCGGAATTGAAGGAGCGAATTTTAGGGCAGCTTTCTCCTCTGTGTTTGGCACAGTAATCATGCCCCATCATAATTAAGAAAACCAGAATGCGAAAGATGCAGCTTTGGCATTTTTTATGAGTCTTTTTGCAGGAGCTTCGACACTACAGAACAAAAAAACAACTAAGTTCTCCAAAATTTGAAAAAGAATATTATCATTATATATGGAAAGGCTGCGCAAAGAAATTTTTCAAATAATTACCAATGGATAGAGTTTTTCATGGGCTACAAAATACTTGTATCATGTTATGTTTGTGATCACTAGTCAACAAAAAAATCTAAAAGAAAGTAGGTCCTTTTGAACATGTTGAGTATTGTTTTTATGTATTTCTATTTTGCTTTGTACAAAAAAAAAAAATGATGCAGATCTTATAGAGAATTGAATGGTGGATCATTTGCGAAAAATTTCAAGGCTAGAAAGTGAAAAATAAAGAAGTTATTGACAAAATACTATTCGGCCATTTATTCTACCGCACCCGTTATTTATTTATTTTCATATTTTTATTTGATAGAACGAAATTTTTCAGCTAAATCCTTCCATAAATATTCTGTCTACTGTTGAAAGAGTATAATCATCAGTAATATCTTCTCGAGATCAAGGCCAAACCTACTCGATAAGATAACACGTTAATAAGATTAAAAGAATCTTTTCGAATTATTGATATACATTTTAGACTAACCGCTTGTTCGTTCATTGATTTACAGTGTGCGAGTGTTATCGATTTTGAAAACTCTTTCTGAACTTTGATTTTTGTTTTCCATATCAAATGTAAGAAAACATTGTTCTTGTGGGTTATTCAGAAACATTTTTCCAAGCGTTCGCTCAGTTTTTTTTTGTCTTGAATAGGTTGTATCTATACAATCAAAATCACCGATTTCATGATTACCAACTTCCAAGAACATCACTCAACACCATCGCTCTCTCAATGAAATTAACTAGTCAAAATCTTTCATGTGGCCTTCTATGTCACTATCTTCTACAGGTTTCGATGACTTCAAGACAACTGAAAATGATATTGCATTTGCTAATATCAATCATAAAACAGCTTTGCATGTATTTCATTTACTATCATTATCTGTTGCTTTTCCATACGTAGATAATTACACACATTCATTTGGTGACTTGACTTGATCAGAATGTGTTGCATGGATTAATTAAGTACATGTTGCTGTCTTGTCCATTAGAATAAAATATGTTCTTACTATGTGATAGAAGTTTTCCGAATGGCTAGATGAAGAAAAGCGCCCAAAAAGAGTTCCCATCATAAATGACTGGATCTTTGCTGTCTTGAATTAAGAATATTGATGTAATTCGAATGGGTGATGGAGGAAATAAAAATATATTATACGTTATCATCTTAAAATTAACTGAAAATAAGAAGACGAAAAACTCCAATCAATTGAATTGTAATTATCTAAATGAATAATGAAACAGAGAAGATTTTAATCATGCCAAAAAATACTCGTATGTTTCTTTTTTATTGACATAAAGATTCTATTTGAAAATTATAGTCATTATTACGGAAAATATTAAGGTATTATCTTTTAGTTCACCATATAAGTTGTTCTTCAGGTTCTTTTGGTAGTTAGAAACAACAGACACTTATTTTGCAAGATCTATTTTTTTTTCTTTTTCTGTTTAGTCAAACTAGCTTCGTCTATGAATATGGCATGAAAAGGACAACTGCATATCATCTGAAAGTGGCCTTTCTAGGCAAAAGTAAATGGTTATCTCAATATCAAATAAGCCATCGTTAATAAAGAAAAATCTTTCGTTGATAGTTTTCGTCACTAAATTATCTCAGACTATATGATTATATTCATTTTCATAGCTAATTAGAAATACGCAACACTGATTAGATAGACAATTCAATAGTTCTGTAGGACAATTGTTGATAGATAATGGTAACATTGCAGACTGTGTAGTATGTTGAGTTGACGTTCTTACTATAGCCACATATTTATACGTGCTCTTATGTTGATTGTTTTCTCATATTATCACATTCTACTGGTATATCGCTTGTGCTTTCTCTTCTGTCTCGTTCTTTTGATTAGTCGATGTTTTTGGGTTTGCAAGTTTATATCGTTTAAGGTTAAACGCGTACGCATTCATGGCTGAAAAAAATAACTTTCATGATGGAATAATGTTAAGACGTGGCTTACGTAAATTTGATACAACATTATTATCAAATGATGGAGGAAAATATTCACCATCAATAAGAAGGCTTGTATGTTATCTGTTTATTTGTTTGAATTAGTTGATCATAGAAACATAACTATGTAATGAAGCTATTATATATTTCAATGTGAATTAATATTCTAATATTTATCGTTCATTTAAAAATCAAGGTTTCTCTTTATGAGTCGATCAACAACGGTTTAGATGTCTGCGTTCGTCAATAATTTAATATTAATATAAATACTAAAATATTTTTACAATTAGTATCGCTATTTTTCTTATCGTTAAATAAACTGCTCTACGATGAATATATTAAGCATGTCATATTTATATTAAAAACAAAGAATCAATAATTCATTATTTAGAAAAAGAACAATTTATTTTTGATTTATTTATTTAGCGACAAAATTATTTGCATGATACAAAATCTTTTACAGGTAAACTCCTTGCATCCCCAACGCAATCATCATTGATAACAAAGCAACTTAACAAGCGAACTAGTGGTCCTCAATTATCTTCACGTCATCATCATCAATCATCGATTGACCTATTGGCAACATCGTTAAAATGTGATCATTGTCAAAAAAATGAAGGTTTATTTCAATGTTGTCATTGTAATCAACGTTTATGTATTCGATGTTGTAATAAACATTTTAAAAAGGTTACAGCTGAATGTGAGCATCTACATGAATTAAGTGATTCTCTATTAACGAAAATAATTCATAAAAAAACTGATCTCGAAAAGCAAAAACAAAAAACAATTGAACAATGCCACAAATGGCGTATTGATACAATTAATACAATAAATAGAGCACATAAACTTATGATCCAGACTATTTACGATGAATATGAAATACTAAATAACGAATATGAATTATTTATTCAAAAAGAAATGTCTCATATAAATATTGATGGAAATGAATTAATAGGAATGCATGAAGGAAATTCTAGTTCACTAGTTTTACAACCATCATCACCTATGACAACAGCAAGTTCAATAAAATCAATTGATACAATAAAAAAACGTATTGAAACATTAACTAAACAAATTGATGAAGAAGCAAATTTTTCATTGCAAGTTAAATTACCAATATTAGATATTAATAATAATAATCTTCAAGTAGAATCGCATTTTGGTTATAATATAAAAATTATTAATGCACCGTGGCAAAATGAACATTCTAGTTATGATATATCATTAAATGAATCTGAAGAAATATCTAAAAAAGTAAATCATGAAAAATACAAAACAAATTTTTAAAAAATTTTCTAGGAATTGCCGTCTGATTCTCAATCACCAACAAGCAACACAAACGATTCATGTTATTCTTCTTCTACGGAAGAAATGCCATAGTTCAAGGAGATCATTATATTAGTACTTATAATTTACTTTCATCTGCACTATGTCAAACAATAAACTAAGTTCAACAAAGAAAAACATGTTTTATTCTTTTAAATTCCACCGAAAATAATATTATTTATTCAGTTTAGTTACTTTTGTTACAATTGGTATTGAATCGGTCCTTTTTCTATTCAAACTGATGTTTGCTTGAAATTGATCATTAATTGATGAAATAAATGATCGAAGTCACATAATCAATTGAATAGAATATTTTTATCATGCAGAAAACGAACGAGTTTTTGTAACAAGAAACAAAATGCATTAGAAATAAGTATACTTGAAGAAATTGTCATCTAGAAAGATGATTCAACTCTATTAATAATATCGAAGTATAGAATTGCTTACAAGAGCATAGTCAAACCAGATTTTCGTCAATGCTAAAACAAAATAGATATGTTTTTGTTGCGAAAACTAAACATCATTCATGAAAGTAGATAAAATCTAATGTTAAATAATCTTGAGGCATTAAACTTTCAGAAATAAGAAGAATAATATCAATAAATGACTTCATGGGATATTTGAATTTGCGGCAAACTCAAAATGCTTATACCACTATACTGTTATAGCGGTATAGCGGTAGCTAGATGTCACGTATCCCTTACAGAGACAGAGAGACAGGGGAGAAGGTATCCCCCACACCCACACTAAGTACCCTATCGTATGGTATAGTAGTATAGCGGTATACCGCTTATACCGCTATACCACTACAGTTTTTATTTTGTCACAAATAGAGATGATTTTAATGAATTCGATTTTGCTGCAAATTCATATTCTCCATCATATGCAATAAATCATCACAGACCTAAAACTCCAAGTGTTATCATTTTTTCAACAGCTATTTAAATATGACCGAGAGAAAATCTATCATCCACAAATAAATCCAAACATATTGAATATAAAAGTGTTGAAACAAAATAATATGAAGAATATTTTATACATGAAACAGTATCTAATAAAAATGAACGCTTTCCTTTACATTCAATTTCATCATATATTTTACACAAAATCGACATTTTTTCAATTTTATTGTAACGTTCACCACCAAACACGACGATCATTCTTTTTCTTTAATAAATATATTTTTATGTCAAAAACAAATATTCAACATGATCGAGTGTCATTTTCAGCTATTTCTTCAATTGATTCGCATTGATAATAATTAGATGATCTACAGTTATTTTAGCAATTAATAATTGTTTTATTGAAAATCTTCTTACAGAAACTGGCATCCCTAATCCACTCTCCCCCGACGACTCCCCGGGGAGTCCCTGTCGTGATTCCCGGGGACTTTTTATTTGGGGGACTCCCCGGGGATTTCTCTGGGGAGAATCGATGCAATTTTTCAAAATAAAAAAACTTTTAAAAAACTAAGAAGAATTTACTAGTAATTAGATATTTCATCCATTTCCTCCAGACAACTCCCCGGGGAGTCCTCAGGGAATCCCCGAAAACGAACAAAATCCCTAGGGACTCCCTGTTGTGAGTCCCCGGGAATTTGTCAGAGGACTCCCTGAGGATTCTTTTAGAGAGAGTTGACTAGGGATGACCCAAGTAGACCAAATGGATCAAAATTTTCATTAAATATTTCTTCATTTTCCCACGTTTTCCCAGCAAAAATCCATGCAATTGGTTCACCAATCACATTGCTTAATTCAATTTAAGTCAGTCCATATTTTCTCAGTGTGTTTGGGCTCTAAGCTTCCCATGAGAACCATTCCGACAGTAGGATTCTATCGGATTACGACAAGGGTCAGACAGTGAATATACCGAATACCATATGGGTTTCAATAAAACCGACGAAATCTTATGGGATTTTCTGGACACGGACCTACAGTCGGATCCTTGGTATTGGATCCGATCAGATCCGATGTTGGATTTTAACGGAATCCAACTCTAACGAATCATCATTGCGCTCTGATGGCTCAAAATTGTTATTTGATTGTGAATAAGAAAATGATTTTTTTCGTCGGAACTGACAATAGGTCTGTGTCCATGAATCCTATCGGATTCTGTCAGAGAGCCGGATCCCATAGGATTCGATAAGATCCGTTGTCGGATTCATTCATCTGGGTTGATCAAACATTTGATTTAATTTATAAAATGAGAATATTTCATTAGGTCTTGGACACACAAAATAAATTAATAACGAGCAAAGAAAAGTTATAAATTTTGCTACTTAGAAGCGCCAATCATATACGTCACCTAATTTTAATTCGTTCAGTCTGCATTGAACTTTATCGTTGTGGGCGTCAGGAATTATTCATGTGTTTTCTTGCTTATTTATAAGTCAAGTTTGCATTCATTTAACATTAACACTGTCGATCATTACACAATAGTCACAAATTAGAAATATATAGCTTCTGATGCATTCGTTGATGCTTGTGTTGAAAAAGACGCACAAGAGTATGAAAAAGCAATTCACGTATGTAAAACACTCCTTTTTAATTAGTTAATTTTTATTTTATTTTATTTTCAGTCGTTCACAAAACTTATTCTTGCTCGAAACGATGAAACAAAAAAAAAGTTTCTTAATTCTGCTCTACAAAAACCGAGCAGAATGCTACTGTAACTTGAATGATTTTCAGAGTGAGTTTTTTTTCTCTCTCTATGTTAATAATTTATATTTTTTGATGTAGATGCGGTTAACGACATTAATAAAACAATTGAAGAAGGTTTTGTATGTGCTCGAGATGATAAAATGTTCTACATGCTGAAGTACGTTATTTATTATTAATAATCAATATTGAGAGATTATTTTTTAGTCACTCTATAATGCAATCAACGTCACAAAACATGATCAGCAGCTTTGAAGATCACCCAGGTCGAACAGACACGGTCGTAAACGACCGTATACGGAGAAATACATGTCTCAGTATTACGATCGTATATCTCCGTGTCGTATATGGCGAAATATACGACCATATAGGGAGACAAAAAACGATCGTTTACGATTCCTGTACATTGAGCCCGTATACGATATCCGTATTGCTCCGTATTTTGCCGTACCCAGGTCGAGCAATCATATTGTAAGATCTGATAAGATCTTGCATCTGATCTTATGTGATCTTGCACGATTATACGAAAATCATATAAAAAATCGTAGACCCTGAGACCTTAGATCAGGTCGAACAATCAGATTCTTCAAAGATCGTATTAATGTGTAAGATCTTTCAAGAATCTGATTGTGCGAATTGATCTAAGATCTTAGGAACTACGATTTTTTGTCAGATTCTTGTAAGATTTCGCCCGTATTCCAAGATGTTGTATGTGTTTCATAAGATCTTGTGTCAGATTTTTCGACCTGAGCATATGGTTGTATTTCTCCGTATACGATACGGTGATATACGATCGTAATACTGAGCCATGTATGACGGTCAAATACGATCGTATACGGGAGCAAACGGAGCGTATGCGACCATTTACGATCGTATATGGACTCCGTAAACCTCGACCTGAACAAATAAAACTTCGCTGTACGTAATCTCATTTAGATAAAAAATTTTATTTGAATTAAATATTGTCTTTTTTAGCTTGTATGGACTTTTATAGAGTAATAAGAATGTTGAATAATTTAAAACTCGGAAATATATTTGTTTATCGGTATTTTTTTAGTCTTTTATTAATAAAAGTAATCGACGCATTTTATTTTTTTATAAAGATGAATCTCGACAAGAACGTGCACGTTCACAGTCGGCTGACCCAGTGAAATATATTTCGAAAAAAAACGGAATAGAATGGTTTCATGCGGATATGAAAACCTATCTCCTATGTAGAGAATGCGTTCCTTGTTTGAGCGAATGCGTTCAGAGTCAGAAAGAAATATTCTCGATCTGAAGGAACTCGTTCTTTACCGTTCAACACTAGTATGGAATACTTTCTTCTATACTGAAAAATCGTTCCCTATTTGAAGAGAAAGCATTCTGAATCATTCTTAAACTAGTAGAATTCATTCTAGTTCATTTTCTTTCGGAAAGGTTAACATAGCATTTCATCGAAATAAAATAGCTTCCTTTTACGTTCTCTCACGAGCCTTTAAGACAATGGATTCTCTGAAGAGATGAATGCTTTCTTTTCGAAGCAAACCACATTTTCATTCTAAAATGAAAGGTCTGAAGCAAAGTAGGTTGAAATTGATGTGAGAAATGATGGAATCTTCATTCAATTTTACTTTAGGCATATTTGGTCTGATTTAGAAAAATTATTATTTTAATAACGGTTTCAGTTACAACGAATTGGAGTACACCACTCGATAGTGCTCGTCAAGTTGCATCAGGAACAGTCTTTTGACTAATTGTAGATTCCTCTATTAATGATCACCCAGGTGATCAGAAAGATTAACCGTTTTAAAAGAAGAGAAAGCGTTCCACAAGTGGCAGAATGCGTTCTTCACTGTTCCATTTCGAAACGACCAAGAACACCTTCTTAGAATAATAGAATGCGTTCTAGTTCGTTCCATTTGAGAACGGTTTCCATTTGTTGTGGAACGTTTTCTTTTCTCAAAAAAAAAGAGCTTCAGTTCTTTTGGAACGCATTCTTTACCGTTCTTTTTTAGTAATATTTTTCACTGGGGATCGTTACAAAAGAAGTAAATACAACTGAGACATCGCATGCATTTCTTTTGTTGTCGAATTCAAGCAAACATGATATTTTTGACAAGACTCATTAGCTATTTGTTTAATCTTACATAAAAAAATAAAACAAGATAATAAATAAAAATAAATATATTAATTTTTTTATCGAATATTATTTAATGCGAAAAGAAATTAATAATATTGAAGTATATTAGAAATTGATTGGGTGTGGGTGTGAGTCAGAGCTGATCACAGAACAGGACTGTCCTGGTGTCCTGTCCTGCCGCCCGCCAGGACGGACCAGGGTATCAGGACAGGGCAGAAAAACTTGTCCTGTGCTCAGCTCTGGTGTGAGCTCTGACTTGGATGTGGATCTGTCCCAGGATCTTCTCTTCATACACACGAACACCCTCAATATTTTCCTGTGTGCTCGTCTTTTTGATTCACACACATTGTTAATTCGTTATTCATATAACTCTCACCCACCCACTAGAGCCCTTCGAGTCGGGCTCGGGTATGGTAGTCTCGTTTGGACCGAGGTCGTGTCTGATTATAGAATCGCATGTTAAAAAGAAAGAAACTAAAAATTAGATTAAAATCAAATGAAATCTTTCTTTAATATTGAAAAATCTAATTAAAAGAGTGCTATTATAATAGAGTTTCATCGGATTTTTAGCCGTTTTTTTTTAGATAGAATATTATACTGATTGGGTATGTATTTTAAGAGAAAATTTCACACATATAATGGTTATCGGACCATTTAAATGTGTAATGTGCTTCTTTGCCGAATATAAAAACTAAATGTGATTTATTCTATCTTGGGAATGACTATTGAACCCGACAAAATAATAATGCTGAGACTTTTACGAGTAGAGATGGGCCATTTTTTTTAACGGAATTTAATTAATGACATTAATTAATGACTTCCATTAGCCATTAATCTTAATGGTTAATGTTTTCTGAGAAAAACTTAATTCATTAATATTAATGATTAATGAAAAACATTAACATTAATTTTAAAATTAATGTTTTTATTAATCATTAATATTAATGCTTAATGTTTTCTGAGAAAAACTTAATTCATTAATATTAATGATTAATGAAAAACATTAACATTAATTTTAAAATTAATGTTTTTATTAATCATTAATATTAATATCAATGTTCTTGAATGATATTAACGATTAACGGAAACATTCACCATTAGTATGAATAGTAATGTTTTCGTTAATATTAGGGATTATATTTTCATTAATCATTAATATTAATGAATTAAGTTTTTTCTCATAAAACATTAAACATTAATATTAATGGTTAATGAGAAACATTAACATTTATATTAAATTAATGTTAATGGCCCACGCCTATTTACGAGTACGGTTGGGTTCCAGAACCCCAAGTGCCGCATCAATCGAATTTGGATTCAAAATTTTTGATTGGACAAATGAGGGTCTGGATTCGGGTCCAAATTCGAGTACAAAAATTTTAGCAGCCCACCCGCTCTATCACCCACACCCTCAAGAATAATCATAATATATGAATTTCATATTCACATCACGTTAAAAGTTGTCTTCAAAAATCAACATAGATGTTTGTTATCATTAATAGGATGAATAATCAATCCGCTATCATTTTTTAAACTATAATGGATTAAAAAGAGTTCAAGTATTAACGTTTTTTTGTGTAAATGTATAATATTGTTTTATTCAATGTCTACTCTTTCGTTTATCTTGTCTTTTCTACATGATATTTATTTTGTTGAGCTTTCATTTGCTTAGATCGTTTATATTTATGAGACTTAATCAAGAAATTATTCGTTTCTTTTGTTTGTTATTGTATTTTGATTAATAATTATAACTTGTGTGTAGAAAGTAAAAGTAGATGCTATTCATTCATCATCTAAAAGAATTGAATTCATTGAATGAGTCTAATCAACAGTGAAGCTATCGAGGAAAATGTTTTCGTAGACTCTCTACTATATGAATAGTCAATTGTTTCTTTCATTCTGTCATTATTCCGCCGTATTACTATTATGGTTATATGACGCTGTTGGTTTTTATTTTTATCAATAGTGCTTGATTCATCAATGAGTTGAATATATGAATGATAAATGTAAAAGTAATGCAGTAAAACACTATAAATAGTGAATCCTTCTATTATCGATTGAATCAATATAAATGATAATCTTTAAGAAGACATAGATTTTGTCAAATAATATATTTTCTAATGAGAAAAAAATATTTTAAAAACTACTCAATTGATGATTCACTATAAATCACACATAACTGTTACATTAATATAGAAAATTAACTAAATCTTCATTGTTTTTATTTTATTTTAAGTACAGATATTTCATCAGAATGATGTTCTTTTTTGCTATTGACTGCTCTGAATTGTAATATGGTTTCAATGAATCATAAAAACTCAGTAATCGTATTTTGTTGTGTATAATAGCGTACCAATCGAATCAAGGTCTACACATTTAGTTGTTTCGTTTTCTTTGATCGGCTTCAGCTCAGATCCACGTCATTTTTTTATCCTGTTCACATTGAAAATATGCAAATAAAAATGACTAAAGTATATATATATATATATGTGTAATTGCATCAAATGAATTCACAAAAACGAATAAAATCAAGTTAATCGTTTTTAATACTTGCATGTAACAATGTGTAGCCTTCTTTTGGCATTTAATAACCAGTAAGCAAATGAAGGTTAGAATTAGATCATTTCAAAAAATATGATTTTTCTTTTAAGCTATTTTCTCTGTAAGATTATTTCAGCTTTGCTATTTTTTTTGTTGAAGATAATAATTTATTTGCTTGCTTTTATTTGTTTTCTTCCTTTCTAGTCGAGAAAAAAGTCTAGCATAAATCCGCTTTCGTTATTGAATTCATAGTATGTGAAGGCCGTTCCTCTTTTTTTTTATCAATCTTCGTATGTGACTGCGTAGAAAAAAACACGGCCGATTTCTATTTGTCAGTCGATGCTCTTCACTGTAGGACTGTACTCACTTAGATAGACGAGTGCGCGCAAAAAAACGAGAAAACATGGCTTTGGTGTTGTTGTTCTTGCATGTTTGCGTCCCGATACGAACTTTTTCTGTTATTTTGACACAAAAATGACACAAAAGAAACTCGCAGAGTCTACCACAAGCTTTCATTACTATGTTCGCCGTATTTTACGCCTATACAGAATAGTTTAGTGAGTGAATATACTATGACAAGCAAAGGGAAGATCAAATGTCTATATCTTGAATACACAAAATAGAGATAAGATTTTTTTTTATATGATGAGAAATAAGAGAAAGTTTGTTTTCTTCAGTTACTATTGTAATGTATATCCATTAATTGTCTTTTTCTGATTTCTATATCATTTACACCTGCCGACAAAGTTATGTACAGACCGATCAATATAGTAAATATCTATATAGTATATGTAAGGTAAACTAGTGAAAGAACTAGAAATATATGCGAGATCTAGTATGTTATTCTATTTTTCATGCCGAATGAATCTTATTAATAGTCAACAGACTATGACAAATGTACACGAACAAATATTTGAGCTTGATGACAATCAGTACTCTCAAACTATTTAATAGATTTTACATTACTGCATGATATAATTATATTGCAAAAGAATATTTGACGTTGTTATTTTTGGCTGGTAAGTTTTATAAGAAAAAAAAAGAAACCAAATGAAAACATCAATAGCAAAACTAATAGCATTTGCTTGATTTACATCAATGAATATGCCGATGTTGTCATTATGGCATTTGATACAAATTTTACTTGTGAATTTCTAAAAAGCCGTTAACCTTGATTTGCAGCTGTGTTATTCTTCGCATTTTTATGGGTATGCTGACGAATGTGCGTCTATAGAACAACTGAAAAACAAATAGAAACATGTAGTTTTCTTTCTTTGTGTTCTCATTTCCTTCCAGGAAATTTATTGATAATCATCTATGCAAATTCAATAGGAAGAGAATGTATCAGATCTTTTCTTTTGTTATATATGTATTTACATGAAAAAATATCACTCATGTTTGCTCTTGGTATGCGTTTAAAGACAACCATTAGTATGAGAAATATTAAAATGATTGCTTTTACTAGTAAATATACAAAATATATTTTAGTATTGAATAAAATTACGAATCGCCTCTGGTCTAATTAAACCTGATATATATGCGCGTGTATGTATTATTGTACAAATATTCCCTACTGCTTCTACTATAGCAAATACCAAATGAAACTCGATCTAGTTGAGCTCGTCGTTGTTGTACACTATCAATATTTACTGCAATCAACCTATTCAGACATAATGTATATAAGCGTTCGCCGCTTATATTTTTTTCTTTCTCTTCTTTCACATCTAGACTCTGTTACTCACTTCAATACACTCATTCTTCTGATGCCATTTAGCTCTAATGCTTTATATGAGGAACTATCCATATCATATACGTGCAAGTCATATGCAACATGAGTGTTTAATAGTGTCATCGAAGGTTGTCTGACTACTATGTAATTTTATGTCTATTGCCTAACTTTAGATATAACAAAAGTGTATAATATAATGTACAGTTATGAGCATATGCCATTCGGCGGGTTTGTACCAGGTAGACGACGCAGAACATCTCAATATCCACCATCAATGTCTCGACCAGTATCGAAAAATTTTAATCGTATATCTGATTTTATATTTCCTGATACAGTTCATGTATCTTTGCCACCATCTTCTCGTCAGCATCATCATCATCATCATCATCATCAACAACAACAACAGCAGCAGCAGCAAAGACAACAGTTCATTAATCAGCGATATCAACGAACTGATAATTATAGTTTACCTGTATTAAATCAACGTGATTTAATTATTGTTGAACGTTTACCTATTGACGAATTAGATGATATCGATTTTGTGTATCGTGAACAGTATCATCAGCCAAATCGATCCATTCAACGTCGTTATTCATCAACTGGTTATGAATATCAAGTATTATCGAATGAAAAACATTCCACCGGCTTAAAAAATCGATCCGGTGCATATCGTGAGAAATTACGTGACAAACGAAAACGTCATACAACTGATAATGCATACCATTCTATATTAAAAACAATTGTAGAAAAAGATCAACAGCCATGTAAAAGTAAAAGTAATAGAAATTCTAATTTGATTCTTTCATACAGAACAACTCTCGATCCAATTACGGATTCAGAGTCTATGACATCTATTAACCAAGAAAATCATCAAAGAAGACATAATAACGATACTTCACGTTATCGAGTACCCATCAATGGAGCAGAGCCCATTATGAATGAACATGCACGTTCACGACAATTTAGTTCAACAATCAGTACTCGAGATTCATCAAGTGATACAGAAATCACTGAAAGACATCCAAAAACAATGAATTGTATTCGCTATCAGCAAGATTCATCAGTAAGAAATATAATGACTTCTTAATATTGATACTATGCAATTTATTTAGTATGTTATTTCACCAGATATTCCTGCACATGATTGGGAACATCTTTCATCTAATGATGTACATCTCCAACATCAACCTAATCGATTCAATCCCATTGCTCCGACAATGGTAGACGCCAGCAATTATGAAACAGTGTCTAATTCGAATAACCTGATCAGTTCATCAGTATTAAATAACGTTATTAACAATCCGATAAACAATCAAATATCATCAAAAGACTCAACTCATCATGTTTCTTTGTGTGTCAATGACTTACATACAACATTGTTTATTGATGAAGACACATTGAATTCTACAAAGGCAAATATCAGTAATAATAATGATAAAAAAGGTAATTAATCAAAACATCTACGGCATATTTTTCATAAACAATTCTAAACAAAATAGAATAAGAAAGTCTCATGAACAAAAGCAACAACGACTATTTTATTTCTTCTTTAGCAGTTATAAAAACTTTTATCGATCGAATTATCAAACGATTACAACATTTTAAATGTTCACTTGATAATGGATTAAGTATGCGTTCTTCACCATGTAGACTCACTCCCTGTTTCAGTTCAATGCATGTTTGTGTGCTTTTTAAGATAATAGTCGTTTTTTTATATGAATTAAAAATTTATTAAAAAAACCTCAAATGATACCATTATGTTTATTTATTGTAGTTCATATGCGAAAAAGAAATACACTAACCAATGGTTCGATTATTACTGACGATAATTATTCACATACGGAAATACGAAAAAGAAAAACTGATATAAATCATCAATCAGTCGATCTTGCAGATGAAAATAAACGCATTCGACCTTATTTTTTAATTAAACCACAATCACTACTAATGCTACCGAATGAAACAGGTAAATTGATATAAAAACACAATAATTTATATTTTTGAAAAAACTATCAAACTTTTGTTTATAGCTAAATTAAAATGTTGCTTTGCTGGTGATCCACAACCGACTCTTGTTTGGTCACATAATGAGTCTCGCATACCCGATATGCAAACTTCTAATGATACAACATTATCAAGGTATCGAACACATAAACTGCATGATATTAATTATTTAGAAATTGGACCAATTAATCTCAGTGATCATGGTCAAATAAGATGCACAATTATGAATGGATTTGGTCGTGAAGAAGTCATTACTCAACTATTGGTTGTTCGTAAGGAAATCAATAAAAGCATTGATTATTTATTATTTATCCTTTTTCTTTAAAGCTTCACCAGCTGATGCTACACCATATATTGTGCAACCACTTAATGATATCATTGTTGTTGAAGGACAACCATTAAAACTGTCATGCGCTATTAATGGTTTACAAGTGACGGTCAACTGGTTTCATAATGGAAGAGTAAAACTCCTTTTTTTTGTTCTTTACATTCTTATTTAACTATTTGAAAATTAACTTTAGTCGATTTCATCAATGACACAGATAAAAAGTGATTATAATAACGAACGTTCTATTTTTAGTCTCTCTCCTGTATGTATCGATATAATTGTTTTTAGGAATAAAAATATTCGATGATTTTTCTTTAGTGCATGAAAGTTGATGCTGGTACTGTTGACTGCCTCGTTAAAAATCGTTTCGGTGAAGCAAGAACAACTTGTCATATTGAAGTGGTCAGTAAATCAGAAGTTGGTAACCGGTGATTATGATAAAAGAGCAAGAGAATGACTCAATCATATTTTATTTACCTGTTTCGGTTTTCTCTCTATTCCTTTTACTCAAATATGTTAATTATTATCATTTTTTCTTTTTCTTTTCTTTTTTGTTGTTGTATTGTAGCATTCTATTGCTTTCCTTTTCTGTTAACATAAAGAAATGAATCAGTAATAAGAACGAATGAAACATTAGCATATATGAAATGCAGAATGTGTTTTTTTATTTCTGATTAATCGTAATTTTGAATGGGTAAAAATAGCAAATTGACGAGACATTGACAGGTTAATTTTCGTCACGATGGGTATCGCCTGTACAAATGTCATACCGAGAGAGTCACACCTTACACTAAATCATACACTCAAAGCACAGAGAGAACTGAAAGCTTTCATTAAAATATTCTTTCGATGACTTCTTACATTCACAAAACTACATGAATCTATTTCAATTTACATCATGATAAAGTAAGCAAGTATTACCCTATTGTATTTCATTGATAAGATAACATATTATATTATACCGACAAGACAATAACCATATTGCTCATGGAACATACAAAATAAAACGAATATCAATATGAACCAGTAAAACGACGACTAATCGAAAGATAAGAAATTACGATATCACGTTTTACTATATCAGTGATAGCATTTTACAATTAGTTATGGAAAAAAGTGAAAGCATGTTTTGTATGGGAAAATAGTATCTTATGAACAAGATGCAAAGAGTAAAGTCTATTTTTTTATTAGACAATATATTTCTGTTAAATTATGCATAACTATTGTCTCAAGAGTCATTGCCACTTAAAAAACAAATGATTATTGACATTCGCTAGGCGCCATCTGTATCTTGGCAACTCTGCAGCGATACACGTCATTTTTACGCAGGAAACTATTAGTCCTTTGTATCTTCCAATAAGAACTATAAACTCGATTCGGAAACAATATGCTACACTACCAACTCAAAATCAATCGATACTAAAATGAATAGAAAGCTGAAGATTGATATTTTTCAGGCATCTTTTTTACGCCATTTGTTCTTCAAATTTTGCGCAACATACTAAGACGTCAAGTGGGTAAAACGGAACTTTTCTTTTACGTCGAATTAATTTGCATGATGAATAAAGATGAAGCCTTTTTTTCTCTATATTATTAACTGTTATGATATTTATTCCCAAGGTGGTACGTAAGTCTTCTTTTAGATTCTATCTAGTGCGTCGAGAAAGATATCAAGCACAATCAGCTACTACCATTGTAAGTTGAAACGTCGTATATTGATAATGACGAATATTATTGTACTTCTCGAACTCGTCTTGCCGTGAGATAATAAAAAAAAGAAAAGTATTTTAAAAGAGAATATTTTTATACAAATATCAACTAAGAGAAGTTAACATTTGATTTAGTTTTATTTTGAATTTTTCAGATAAAGCTTTAATGAAAAACTAAAATTATCAAAATGTAGGAAAGTAAACTTCAGTCGAAATACAATGTTTTCATTAAGTCAATATCATTTTATTGATCGTCTTCTAACATTCGATGATTTATCAAAAAAATCCCAATGTAAAAATATAAAGTTCAAACGCGCTTTTGAATTTCTTCAATTACTTTTTCTTCAACGTGTTTATGGTATTGATATTATAACTCGCTCATCAATCCGACAATTATCCAAGCAACAACAACAAAGTGAATTTGAAGTTTTTTTAGGTGGATCATGCAATCCAACAACATGGAGATGTGAACAAGCTATTCCTTATTTTCAAACACATTCAGTTTCTTATTATAATCCTCAAGTTGCAAATTGGACACCTGATTTAGTTGAAATTGAACATAATGCAAAAGAATCTGCTTCACTTTTATTTTTTGTTATTGATCATGATACACGATCATTAGCAGCCATAGCTGAGGTATGTTACTTAGTAGCACGAAAAAGAACTATCATTGTCATTATGAATCCAATGCCAAACGACAAATATCAAACAAAATTTATTCAGCAGAAGAAAAATTTTAATGAAAAAGATAATCAAGCTGATTATGAAAATGTTTGTGAAGCAAGAGAAACGTTACGGTTATTACTTCAAATAAAAAATATACCAGTTTTCGATAATCTCAAAGTAGGATTAGAATGTGCACAATTTTTAATTACAAGTAGAAAACAAGCTATCAACAATTGTAAGCATTTTGATGAAGAAAAACATTGCAAAAACAATGAAAAACGTAAGACAACATTTATTTAATAAATTTTATCGACTATCTATTTTCTTGGGAAAAAGAAATCACATGCTACTCTCGGTTAACGATCATAACTCAAGTGTATCTTGCAAAAAGAAAATTTGCACAATAGTTGAGACATTTTAGTTAAGAAAAAAAGAAAAAATAATCTTTTTGATCATAAACTATCTTTCATAGAAAGTAATCATGGCGTAGTCTGTACAGTTATTCTACTACATTGAATAATTGGAAATCACAACTAGGCGAAGATATCGTTCAATGAGTCACGTTTAGTATTTACACGAATAATTCACATTTTTTTGTATGATTAGAACCATATTTTTCTAATCGATTCTATAGCATATCTCGTGTATGTTAGAAGAGCATACAGTACTTTATCGTGACTGTCAGTTTACTCGTAGCATCTCGACTCTTTGTGCGCATATGTGAAGGCGACTTATTCGTTTACTATAATACATTTTATAAAATGTGAATATATTTTAAGTGAATTTCATTCAAGTCTATATATTTTTTTTATTTTATTTATGCAGCAAAGCTGTGATCCGAGAAGGATCCTTCCAGCACCGGGAATAGAGAAGAAAAGAATGAGAAAAAAGAAAATGGCGGAGAGAAGATATAAAGTTATAACTCGAAGACGACATAAACATAAACAACCATGGCTGAAACAGCAAATAAAACAAACAATGAAGACAATAACAAAAAAGTCACACCGAAAGAGAAAGAGAAAATGCGTTGCAACATAGTAGAGAACAAGAACAGAAATAAGCGAGTTATCAATACGGGGATCAGAATGTTTCAGGATAGTATTGGAGAAGTTGAACTTCTTCCATCTCGAAGAAGGGAATAGAAGAAGAACCAGGGACCGACCTGAGCCATGACATGATTTTTCCGATAATTGATGTATGGCTGATGAATCTCTTCGATCTTCTGAGACATTTCAGAGGGAATTCTCCTTCTAGCCAGGCTTGTCTGAACTCGTTAGTGTTGGCTTTCTCTAGGAGAAGTTCACCGTCTGTAGAGTCAGCTAATGCAATCAGATAGTTTTCCCAGTATGATAAGCACCGATCCTCAAGTGACTTCATGTCCATTGCATACGCGAAAAAGACTTCGTTCCACTGTGCAGCAAACAAGACTCTACGTAAGCATGTGAAGTAAAAATGCGATAAATCTTGCCTCTGGTTATCTGAAAATAGTGGGAATATCCATGAAAACAGTGGGAGAATAAATGAAGTGAACAGAGCCTGTCTAAGCTGAGGGGAAGAACAACCATTAAGTTTAAACGATCTGCTAAGGGCTACACGTTGCCGTATCTTCGTCATCGTTTTCCATTCAAGTCTATATTCTCTAGATATTCTATTAGTTTACTAGATGACTTGTTCGAAGTTGAAAATTTAATAAACGAGATGTTTGATAGGAACTTGAGAATCAGCACTGTTTACTTGCTAATGAAAGTATTGATTTAAATTGATTATCTATTTCAGTTGCTCGTTCACATTCAAATCAAACCAGTTTTGAATCGCCTGATAATTTTTACCATGATATACATCAATCAGATATGATTGAGTCATCTTTAGTTCCGTTTTATCGACGGCATAGTGCCACATCAATATCAAAGACAATTTTATGTTCGCCATCCCTGAGTCCATTTGCTCGTTCAATTCATTTAACAACTGGTATTCATGATTATCAATCATCACTTTATAGAAAATCACAAATATCATGTTCAACAAATGAAAGTGATGATGACGGTTATGGTTCACTAGTATCCAGTAATTATACTTTATCTCGGTCACCATCATCATGTGTAACTTCGGATTTCTATGAAGGTTTCACTGAATATCCAAGTGAAAATAATTCTTCAAAGTAAAAAACTTAAGAAACTAATTTATCGAATAATTTTTTTAAAATATCATTTAGATTTTCGCTATCTACTTCTTTGCTGAATATTATAATATCAATATTTTCTGCATATATTTCATTTTTGAATTTTCCAACAACGTCAAATTTATTAATAACACAATCGATTTCGATTCTCTGTAGAATTTCTTTTCGTTCTATAGCGAATATTCTTTTTTCTTCCATTGAAAACCTAATAACGTCAAACAAAGAGTCCATTCATTTGAATTCTTCGATTGATATATTCGATCTTTATATAGCTTCCGGTGGCCATGATGAATATTGGTTAGATACGTGTCTATTACCAATTCTTGCAAAACTGAATGTGAAATATGTAAAAAGGCACAGCTCTCATGACAATGATCAACTTGATCTTGTCTATGATATCTATGTACGTTCGCGCTCACGTTTATTATATTATTTAATAAATGATATGGAACGTCTTTCAAATCTTGTTAGTGAACTTGCATATCTTATTGGCGAACGTAAACATCATATTATTGTCTATTTACAATCAACCATTGATCGAAATTCAGATAAAATCTTAACAAAAACTGAACGACAAGATATTGAACGTTCAAGAAAATATCTTGAAGATTTAGCAATTAAGGAACATATTTTATTATGTCAATCACGTGAACAAAGTTGCCACCATGTTTTAGCTTTTTTCCTTCATAATTAATACGAAAAATAATAATAATGTCCCATAAGACTGTTAACATTTGTTGTGACAAAAAAAATCGATGAAACAATTTAATTACGTTTGTTTTATGACGGGTGATAAATGTCTAGAATAGATGTTTTTCTTTTCTTTTCTTATCCATATGTTTATTTTACGTTTAATTTTTAATAAAAAAATCAATAAACGCTGTTTGGAAAAATACATATTCTTACGATAATTATCAAGTATTCAAGCATCGATTCTACTTGAAAGTTTCTTTTATAGATTAAGATAAGAGAAAAACTCGTAGCATTAAAATAAAATGTCCATATGAGACAAAATAATAGAAACCTGATAGAATTATTATTCGTATAACTGATAAAATCAAAATGTCGTTTAATCATGGCAAAGCAACATTGCCAATCGATTCAAATAATGATATAGAACATTTCTTTTCGAAATCTGATCACTCATCGTATTTAATAACCAAATTTTCATCTTATCTTCGACAAGGATTTCTTTGTGATGTTGTTTTTATTTGTAACAATGAACAAATAAAACAACGAATCAGTGCTCATCGGCTTATTGTTTCAATATTATCAGATGACGTTCGTAATTTATTGGAAAATCGTATGCAAACTGAAATTATTCTTCATGATACGGATGCTGATGCTTTTGAAAAAATTATTCTGTATGCATACGAAGGTAAAATTATCTAATGAAAAAGTTAATTTAAAAACTTAGAACCAATATTTGTTAGGTCATCTTGAAATCAATTCAAATAATGTAGCTAAGATTTTGAATATTGCATATAAATTTCATATTACTGAAATAATTGAAGCGTGTTGTAATTTTATTAAAAAACGAGTTCAACCGTCCAATTGCTTTGGTGTATATAGATTGGTCTTGGAACGCAATTTCGTGGATTTAATACAAATTATTTGGCATTATATTCTTGTGCGTTTTGAATTGATTCTTTCATAAAATACTAGATTGATTTTGTTTTCGCAGGGTAATTTTTCGATCATTATTGAAAACAATCGAGAATTTCTTGAACTATCTTCCGATGAAATGAAACGAATATTAGCATCTGGTAAGTAGATTACTTTTTTAATCATTATCTAGATATGTCAAAGAGCAATTGGTGTTCAGTTAAAATTGAGATAGAAATATACAACAGAATATTTTATTTCATATTATTCTAGATGATGTCAATGTTGAATCTGAAGAAAAGATCTATGAAGCACTTCTTTCTTGGCTTGACTACGATTCAAATCGATATAGTGATCATTTAGTTGAACTATTTAGCCTAATTAGATTACCTTTAATCAAAAGAAAAGTATGAACAGTGAGGTTTTTGGTTTCAATTGATATTTATTTCTTGTATGAAAATAGTATTTGACAGATCATATTGATACAAATGAAAAATTTGAAAAAAATACTGCATGCCAGATGCTGATTCTTGAAGCCATGCGTTATCATTTGGCACCAGAAAAACGTTTAGCTATGAAATCAATAAGGACTAAGCCAAGAAAAGCAACACTTGGTGCACTTTATTGTTTTGGTGGCATTGATACTGCTAGAAGTAAGAATATGTTTAAAACTAGCATTTATGTATTATTGTGACATGAACATCATATAGATCCACAAACGATTGAAAAGTATGATTTTCTAAATGATTGTTGGTACATCGACAGCCATTGGAATAGTCGACGTTCTCAATTTGCTTGTATTCGATTAGATAGAAAATTATATGTATGCGGAGGCCAAGATGGTATAAAAGTGTTAGTATAAACTGTTAGTTTGTTCTCATGAATGATTCTTTTCTCTTTTATTTAAGATTGAATACTACTGAAATCTATGATTTTCAAGCCAAAAATTGGACTGTGGGGCCATCGATGCTTACTAATCGTTATGGTTTAAGTATCGGATCGATTGGTGGTCTTTTGTATACTATCGGCGGTCATGATGGACGTGTTATTCTTAATACAGTCGAGCGTTTTGATCCGACAACATCTGAATGGGCTTACGTAGCATCAATGATCAATACAAGATTCACATTAGGTGTTGCTGTACTTGAAAATCGGTGAGATTTCTTTTTATATTTGATTTGCTCATAAATTGTCTGTTTTACTTCTGTAGAATCTATGCTGTTGGAGGTGAAGATAATTCCAGAAGTCTCCGAGAAGCGGAATTTTTCGAACCACATACTAATCGTTGGTCACAATGCGCATCAATGATAAAATGTCGTGCTAGTGTAGCTGTTATTTCTTGTAATGAATTTTTATATGCTATTGGTGGTTATGAATTTTCAACAATAAATAAAAATGTGACTAGATACAATGATGGTGAACGTTATGATCCAAGATGCAATCAATGGACATTAATTACTTCATATAGTCGACCGAAGGGAGGTTTAGGAATTGCTGTAGTAGATAATAAATTATATATTGCTGGAGGTTTTGATGGTAAGTCTTCAAATGAAATGGAAAAATATGATACAGAGACTAATCAATGGGAAAAGGTAGAAAATCGATTGTGTTATTTGATATTTATGAAGACATGATTACATCTTACTTTTCTTCTAGTGTTCTCCGTTAGTAGTGAAAAGAGTCGGTGCTTCTCTTATTCATCTACCTAATTCTATTCATGAATCATTCAATTTACCAGTGTTATCTCAAGAAAATAAAAATCATTCAAATATTCCTCATCAAATGAATCGTCCTATTCTTTTCTAAATTATGTTTACTGATAAAAGCTTCTATTTTCTTATTCTAAAGTTGTTTTATTGTTTCTTTTTAATAATTATACATTTAAATAGTATAATCAATGAAGTATTGCTTTCTAGGTTTTCTTGGACAATACAAATAGGATTCAATTGTCTTGCATAGATCGTATATTGAAATTTTTGAACCGACGAACTTTTATATTCAATCGGAAAACGATAATAATAAAAATCTTGTTTTTTCTGATTAAACTAAAACATATTGTTACTAGCATACGCTTATTTATTGTTCAATTGCTCACGGTAACATTTCATCTATCGTAATGAAACAGATCTATACATTCGATAAAAGTAGTGACAACAACAATAAAAGATTTCTTTAATAGTGAACTGTCGTGAATATAATAAAGGTAATTTTGTTGAAAAAAGTCATTGTTTCACTGTGGAAACATCAACCGTGTGTCATCAATGCATCGTTAATTCTACTTATCGAAATATAAAGAATAGAATAGCATCACTACAAAGTTTCCTTTTCTAAGAAAAAATTGAATTTACGTTTCATTATAGAACAAATCATAACTCATTCAACATAACATTTCCGTACGATGAATAGTTTTTAGTCATGTGAATAGGATTTTCTGTAAGCATTGTTGATACTCTTACATGAGCACTATTGCATAAGCTTTATTATCTGTAAACAAATAATATTTCAATCTTACTATTGAATTTTAAGATATCCTGTATCGATCAAATTGAAAGCAATTATGAATTTGTGTGTTCTAGTTGATGTTAACTTTGCAGTATTTTCTAGTTTTGTGATGTTCGTACCTATATTCATAGGTTTTACTGATATCTTCCCGACAGTACTCGGAATAGACAACTTTTGAAGTATATTTTTAAATAGAAAATAAAAAATAATTTCCCCTAACTCATACAATAATCAGTTCAGATAACTATAGATAATTCACTCCTGAATTTATTGTATTTACTGTTGCAAACGATACTGCATCCACGACCATGATTCTATACGTATTAATTGATGAACAATCTGTTTCAATTGAACTTTACATAAGCCGGACAATTATTCTAGATCCAAAACAATATTTTCGTTGTTTTTAATTCTAATATTGAAATGTATATGTACAAATCAAAATTATCAAAAATTAGCACGATGAAAAACAAAATAATCACAGCAATAACTAAACTAGTCACGTTTGATTTTTTTTTCAAACTATACTTAAAGTGGTTAACTATCAATATTCTCATATTTAAGTTCTTTCAAACAAATCTCATCAATCATTGCATCATCAATTGTGTTTAATTGTTCACTAATCGTATTTGCTGATTTTAAAGTCAATTTCGCTGATAATAAACCACATGCAATAGCTCGATCAATATTGTTAAAATTTATTTTTAACAATTGATTCATAACACCTGCAGCGAAACTATCGCCAGCTCCAGTGACATTTTGAATATCGTGTTGATCGTTTTCTGTTATTAACGCTTTATATTTTTTTAATTGGCCATTAATACTAATTAATACACCCTGAGAACCAATCGTTATACAAATTAATTTTAAATTAGAATGTATTCTAACTAATTTTTTCAGGCTGATTTCTATTGATGATGATTCTGTAATAGCTTCGAATTCAAGACGATTACAAAACAGTACATTTATATCTTTTAGATATGGCTTAATTCGACGAGCTTTATTTGGACCACCAGCAGATATAAATACTGAATTCTTTTTATATTTAGTGGCAGTATCTATTAAATATTTCATTGCCATTTGACTTAAATTTGCATCAAACATAATCCATTGACTATTGATTAAAATTGAAAGATTTCTATCTAAAAATGATGGTGTTATTTGTCTTTCGTATATTTCCATATCACCAAAACCGCAAATAAGTTCATTCGTTTTTGAATCAAGTAATGAAATATAACTTGCTGTTGATTCATCTTCGATCTCGTGAATAAGAGCCGGAGTAGAATCATGTTTTCGTAATAAATTCGAACTACCCGCAACAGTAAGAAGACGAATAGAATGATTTTTTAGCAGATGAAGAGCATGCGTAACGTTATATGCAACTCCGCCGAAATTCTGTCGTACACGACAAGGAATAGTGGAACCTTTATGCGGTGTAAAATCAGCATTAAGTTGAATATGTAAATCAATATTTCGTGCTCCAATAATAACTTTATTTATTGAATAATAGAGTGTAAAAAGAAAATGCTGTTTTCTTTTTTTATTATAACGACTTACTTAATGAAGATGGCGAATTTGATTTAGATGATGATAAAGCAACAGCAATTTGTGATGCAATACGAGCATTTTTATAGATTAATTTCTGATTCGTTATTATTGATTTATTACCCGTTTGCCGACGAATTTCACTTAGAACAAACGGGGTAACTTTGTTTCCCGTAATATTTTCTTGAGTGGCTCGTGCAAGGGATTCACGAATAATAGATTCAATTTTTTCGCCTCCACCTACTTCCAATTCATCTTCTTTGTCAATAGGTACAGCAAGTAATAAACCAGAACCAAGTTTAAGATCGACCATAGTTCGAACAAGTCGTGCTGCTTCGTCAATAGTACGAATAGCTGCACATGAACAAGATCCAAATTCATTTGAACGTGTAAAAAAATTTGGAAATTCATTCGTATCCCCAAATGTATATACTAAAACAAAAACGAATAATAAGCATTAATGCGTAGCTATTTTTTTTCCTTCTCAAAAATACCTCCAACACCTTTTGTTTCAAGATATTCAAGTGTTTTAGGAATATCAAGAATTGATTTAACACCACTTGAAATAACACAAACAGGTGTACGCCCTAATTCATCTAAATCTGATGATATATCGCCCGTTGTTGTCGAATCTCGATGAACTCCACCGATTCCACCAGTCGCAAATATTGGAATACCACAACGATGAGCAATAAGCATTGTTGCTGCCACAGTTGTACCAGCGAATGCATGACGCGACATAAGATAAGGTAAATCTCGACGAGAAGCTTTTTCAACATTATTCAATGATCCAAGTTGTTCTAATTCTGTTTGTGTAAGACCAACTTTGATTCGACCATTTAAAATAGCAATTGTTGCTGGTATTGAACCATTCTCACGAATAATTTGCTCAATTTTTAAACATGTTTCAATATTTGATGGTCGAGGTAAACCATGTGTGAGAATAGCTGTTTCGCATGCAACTATTGGTCGATGTTCATTTAGCGCTGATTTTACTTCAGGATTAATATCAAATATAGATGAATTAAAAGTACGAATTTGACGGCAATGATATGATGATAATAGTAATTGTTTAACTCTTTGCATGTTATTCAATTTCGTATTTTTATTTATATCTACTCGATTTGTTTCTTAATAGCTGTTGAAATGAAAGATTAAATAGATAAAAGCTTGTCAAACGAGAGAAAAAGAGGCCAAACGTTGCACAATGATTCAGTTTGATATGTAAGATAAATAGTGGTGCTACTATCATTGTAGTATAACTAACAAATAAAAAGAATTTCTTTCAGTCAAAAACTTGCTCACGTATGCATATATAAGTCGTGGTCATTAATTTTTAATTTATTTGAAAAAAGTAAATAAAGAAGAATACAATTTTAAAAAGCTAAGAATATTGCTTATCTATCTATAAACACTCAAAATCTTTCGAACAAATTAGTGAATAGAAATCATTTCTAGTGCAAAAAATTATTGCTAATCTAATGACAAAACTCATTAACCCTTGCCATCCCATCATTTCTTGCGGTCCGTCGTCACGATCAGCTGTATTTGACTCTATATATATATTGAAGTCAATATACATATACACTGTCAAATATAGAATGCCTTTATGAATTTGCAAACGATATTCTAGAAATGTCAATACGAATTCAGTGATAAATTTCTACTTTTTTGAAAATAAAATCCTGGTATTCAAGTTTCAATTTAATGCAGGAAATCAGATTGAATTTCAATTATGGAGAAAATCAAGCATTGTCTAAATAATAGAAATTCGATAAAAGAATGATAAAAGTTTGAATAATTTAGTTACTAAAGTTGATTTTCTACAAAATAGAATTAAAAAAAAATGACAGTGTAAACCCATTTTGATGTCATTTAGACCCTTCGTCTTTTTCTTAGAATACAACATATGATATACGTCGTCGAAGAAGACGACAGAACGAAAAAAACTTGTTTCGTGTTCTTCATGTCATCTCGTAGATGACATGCGGGATTGAAAGGGTTAACTAGTTGTCCACAACTAAACCCTCAACCACACCCACACTCACACGCTCGCGTATATTTATTTCGTTATATCTTTTGTGTTCTTTGTGTTTATTTCGTTAGCTAGATTGGACGATGATACCAGAGCTGGGCAAAATACTCGAAGTGCTCGTACTCGTACTCGAGGGTCTTGCACTCGTGCTTGAAATCTTTTTTATTTTAGCGAATGTATTCTTTATAAATAAAAAGAAGAATGAAGAGCATACTAGATATTTTCTTTGCTGACCACAAGTTGCGGCTGACGCACATATAATGATAGGTATTTGTACGATATAAAATCGTATGGTCGTCACCATATTTCAGTCTTCCTGTCCTCTTTCTTATTATTTTATTTACTATCCATTATAATACTAGTCATACAATTGGTTCTTATCAGTGTTTTTAATGATTATAGCGTACTCCAGCAGAGCAAAGTGTACGTACACTCTGGTTTTTGAGAATACACTTTGTTTTCCCATGAAGTACATTCTGAAAATAAAATTATTGGCTTAGCAGGGTGTACGCGTACACTGTGCTTCGAAATCCTATTAAAAATACTGGTTATTATACGTAATACGAACGTTTTGTTTTCTTTCTTGATTTTAGAATGAAAAATGAAATTTAATTGTTATAAACACCTTTATTGGTTTTGCTACTACGTCTCTTGCTTTTGAAAGAATAGTACAAGATGGAATAGCCAATTTCAAACAGTAAAAAAGGTGGTTGATATTCCATCGTCAATACTTAATTCAATTTTAAGTGATTTAAAGAGGAATGATCTTATTCTTAACAGTAAAGACAGAAAAGTTTTAGAAGAATTTGTATTTTTGTTTGAGTTATTTAATGAAGCTACTGTGTTAACTCAAGGTGAATCTTATGCATCTATTTGTCTTGTTGGTCCTACTGTTCTTGGTATACTTTTTGATCTTGAACGTGAACTTAGTTCTTCTACTTCAACTCTTGTTTCTTGATGTGAAGCCTTAATTGCATCAATTAAAGCTCGATTTAGGGGACTCCTTCGTTATTTTGAAATTGATGTACCTTTCAACACATATTGTATGTCAGAACGTTTTTCTGATGTGATTTTTCTTATTTCTCCGCTTTTTGATGCGCGTTTCAAATTGTTGTGGCTCGATAGTCTTCATACTCTTGTAAAACTGCGCATTGTTGAAAAGATTCGTGATGCTTATGTTCGTTATTATTCTAAACTAAATTTTTCTGTGCTGCAGAATGCTGGAGCCGATGTGCTGAACACAATTGAACATAATATTGATGTTATGGCAAAAAATACAGACTCACTTACTAAACGAAAATGTCTTTTCCCATATTTGAAGAAAAACAAAAAAATTCCGAATGAATATAAATCAAGAATTCTGATTGAACTTGATGCCTATTTATGTGAAGAAAGTCGTGAACAAAATTTACTTTTTATCGAAAAACATTTGTATCCTTGTTTATATCAACTTAGTTTAAAATATTTGTCAGTGCCATCGACATCGGCTCCCATTGAGTGAGTATTTTCGCAAAGCGGCTTTCTGATGCGTCCACATCGAGCATCATTAACTGCAAAAAATGTTTGTTTACTTACTTTTCTTAAATGTAACAAGCTTTTGTTATGATTTAATTGCTTTGAATACGATAATAAAATATAATACTAGTAATGTTTTGATATTTTCCTCTTGTAATATTTTATTTTGATATGTTTATATAGTACGTTATAAAACATTAGGTGTATTTTTTGTAGAAACTAATTTGAAAAATTCTATTCTTACCGACACCATGGTATGGATACTCGTACTCGTACTTGTACTCGGGGGGTCAGTACTCGTACTTGTACTCGAGAAAGTCTGTACTTGCCCAGCTCTGGATATGATACTATTGACGAAAAACGCTAGCCAGTGAAAATTGCAAGGGGGAAACATGATACTTCACGGTACTTTACCGTACTTTGCCGTACTTTAGAATACTTTGAGATACTTTGAAATACTTTAGCGTACTTTAAGATACTTCAAGATACTTTACCGTACTTTAAAGTACAAAAGTATCATGTTTCCCCCTTGCGTTTTGCACAGCTTAAAATGAGTATTACGTTGATCATTTATATTTTATTTCTCAAAATAAAATACAATAAAATAAAAATTGAAAAAAACTTTATGATAAAATAAAATGCATAAAATAAAAGAACTAAAATTCTAAAAAGTGAAAAAAATGAGATTAGAATAAGATAAGATAAATAGAATAAAATACAAATACAACAAATAAAATAAAATAAAATAAAATGAATATAATAGGTGAAACGACAGTCTAAGTATGTATTTTCCCATATTTATATCTAAAAATAGAAGAGATGTAAAACGGCAAAAAAAGGGTTCTCCTTAGAGCGTAGTCGTTTTCGGCAATACGGAAACTACCACCTAAAATACCACCGTTTTCCGCCTTATCATATCGTTTTCCGGTGCTTCGCTACTGGCCATCGTAACGGCTGCTGTTTTTAGTCGTTTACGGACCGTTCTATACGACAAGGGACCTTTTGTGCACTATATGTTTCTCCTCGTTTCGAATCTGAACTAGGAGATATTTTTTGCATAGAAAGTTTTCGTGCAAAGCTGTCTGATGTTTTCGAGTAAAAAATGTATTGATAAGTATGTTTTAGTTACCGTATACAGAGAGAAAAAACATTAATAAATAGATGATGATATCATCTGCTATAGCAATTGTTTAACTCACAATCTTGAAACCGTGCAGCAATGGCAGAAACTCTTTTAAGTATTTCATACGTATATAATTATATGAATCCTACTCATCAGCAACAGATGAGTCGGAACGGTGTGAATCATTTACGAATGTTACCTTATGAGCGTACTCAGATAAAAGTTTTGAATTTTTGCATAAAAAAACTAGAATTTTGACCCCGTGAAATCAAGTTCCCGATATTCTTCATATGAAATTTAACTAAATAAGTCATTAAATATCGTTATCAGATTTCAAAATGTCTTTTTATGTCAACATATAAATGTGAAATGATATTTAAAGTATTTTCTATCTTGGATCTGCTTCTTGTTATAGTGATACTTTAGACAACAAGAGAAAACAATCATAGATATACTTTGATATTATTTCCACCGGTTATATATTGTCGTTAGTTCAAATAAATGTATTACACGAGTAATTATTTGCAACATAAAAGTCATAATATTTAGTAATTTTTGTTTTACCTACCTTCTCTTTACTAAAACGGAAGTACTCCGCTCGAAAACTACACGAAGGTCTAATCATCATTAGCTGTCACGTACTATGAGCATAAAAATAATTTTAACTGCGTGCGCAATATTATTAAATCGCTTAACCGGGGATTTTTGTTTTGAGCCTGTTTGTTTCGGTATGTCTGCTCTATTATAAAAAGTAATTAGGATTGACAGAATAATATGTACCCCATTGATTAATGAAACCATTTATTCATTCATTTGAATCGGTACATGAAAGGAAAAGAATATCGTCTTGCAATAAACGTGTTTTTACTAAAAATATCATATTATTCGAAGGCATCAATCATATCTGTGCTTTGCGCATATATTTTTTTTTCTTATTTACACATTGTTCGCGGAAGAACCTATCAAAATAAAAAGCAATATCAAGTATTTAGATGAATTACAAGGTGAAACGTAACTCAGCGAATAGGATACTATCGTCAATATAAATATTTCTCAAGGAGAAACATTGTCTCGCGGTTACAAATAGTACGCGTAAACAAGCGTTAATAAATATCGGGTACAAAACACGGTACTTAATTAGAAGACAGGATTCGTTCGCGATATAAGTAGTAAGTTGATTCTCTCACTCACAATTATATTACATAAAAAAATCATCTAATCAATTACATACCATTTGATTCCATCGAATACAATGTTGGCACAACGCAAATCTATGAAACCTGCCCAGTAAAAGTTTGTTTTAATGTAAAAATTTATTTTTGAATTCATTTTGAAACTAGAAGCAGCAGTATAATGAAAACTGGACTTCCAGCTCCTATAGCTATTTGTTTTTTGACTTTTGTTTTATTTCTGATTGCTGCAACTATAGTTCTCTCACTTATTCCACTTTTTGTGGAATCACCATCCGCACAAAGAAGTACAGGTAAATCATTCAACTATGTATTTTTCTGTTAATAATAACGAAATTTATACTATGTTAGCTTCAGCAAAAAGTTCTCCAGTCACAATGCAGATGAATACTGGCATCACTGTCAATTCTAGACGAAAACGGGACTCAAATTCATCAACTTCAAATCTCCAAGATCATATTGGTGACAAATTTGGACCAGATGGCATTACCCAGTTTAATGGTCAAGTATGTTTTCATCGAAACTTTTCATTCTACATATAACTGAAGCCTACAAAACAATCGAGAATAATACTGTCTGCTACTTCAATTCTATTATTGCATAGCTCTTCCTTCGTCTATATGCATTCTTTACACTTCAAACTCATACTATACGTGAAATCTTTTAATAAATGATATCCGAGTGAAAATAGGAATAGAATGTTCACTTGATGTCGAGCAGAAAAGTTTCACAACAACCAATTCTAACTTTTCTTTCGTACAGAACCTAGGAATTCACATTCCTTCATTTATTTCTTCTCATTTTTTATCCTTCGATAAGTTCAGAGTACATTAGATTCTTCTAAAAAGTAAAATTGTTAGCGTCAGTAGTTGACACTCACTGACGCTAAACGTTTCATGTGTATTATCTATTTTTTGAATCTCTAATTTGATTTGTTACGTAATCTCTCAACTATGATTCAGCTCGTGATTATCTTTTTGTATTTCATTATTACGCAGTTGTTGCTGTTCTATTGTATCGAATACTCGATACTCAAATATATTCTATATATGACACGACGACAAAGCCTATTATTGAAACATGTTTAGCTCTTTGTTTTTGGCAGAATAAATATTAGTTCTACCATTGCTACATAATCCCGAAAACGAGAGCTAACAAAAATCAATGCATTAGCTTTCAATTTCTCTTCTTTTGTTCACGTTTTTTCAGAATTTGAGCTATTTTTTGGTTTTAGTTGGGCCCACTTTTAGCAGGATTAAGTCCAAACTTCGGCGGTTTGAGTGACGTATCTATCACGGTTGGAGTGTCATATAGTACAAAAAGGCGCCGGTGAGTTAGAAGTGTACGCTTTGAAACTGATTAAGCAGTCAGTCACATATTTTTAGTGCAATTAAAAAACGTGCCATTGGATATATTGTCTTAATCATAGAATTTATAGTGGTCTTTAGCCCGAAATGTACAGGGAGATGTCAAACCGATACTGGTAATTCAATAAGAACCTTGCTTCCCAGTAAAGTGACAGTTAATACCGTGGTTCTCACTAATATTATCTTGGTTGATAAAAGTGGACAATCTGCCGGAGCCATTGTTGTAATTCATGTTCTTGAAGTTTTATATATATCACCTATAAGTAAGACTCATTCATTTTGAATAACTAATATTTTATAAATTGATCGTATACTCAGCTCCCGTAGTGATTTCTGAGCATAAACCAACACATGCACCACCGACAGTCTTTACCTTAATATCAACAACAGCAACAACGAAAACGACAACAAAAACAACAACAACCACACCAACAACGACAACAAAAACAACAACAACAACAACAACAACAACCACAACAACGACAACAACAACGACAACAACAACGACAACAAC